TTTTTCACAGCCTTATCAAAAGTCAATGTGAGACCCGCCACTGTAAGGCCTCCCGAATAGAATCTTCATTGCCCGTTCGTGGCTAGAAGAAGGATTGGGGATACACAACTAGATTTGTTTCTCACTGCCAAGTATTGTCATTTCCCCTCTTCGTGGAGTCTTGAGAATTAACTCATTTCTCCGATGATTGTGATTAGTGCAATATTCATGATGCGAGTCAACTCCAGGCCCATCTCCGGTCGGAATTCTGCAGTCATCAGGAGAAACCGAGAACTTCAATCAACTTTTCCAGTGTAGTGCAACTTCTGGTTAATTGGGTGAACGCCTTGCACTCTATCACCCGCGTTAACGATAGAATTCACTAGGGCTAGTTTTCTAGGCCAAAGGCTTGCTGTCAGGTGTTTTGTCGAGGTGGATCTAACGGCTTCCGAGAACATCAATAGACTGAGACGTCTGAACTCGAACCTCTTTATTTCTTTGGCATTTCCCTCTGCGACCAAGAGAAGACACAACACTCTTTTGTCAGATCACCGCTGTAGTCATGGCTTCGACTACGTTCATTCTTTTCTGTTTTCTTAGTCTTCTCTTGACATCTCTTCCACTGTCCTATGCACAAACGTGTAGTGCTTCAAGCCCCTGTGAAGTTGGATGCTGGTAAGTCATATGTTCTATGCGAGTTTCATGACAGCTTACACGTCGGTCAATGTGAGAAACTGGCAACGTTACCTTTTCCACTCTAATTTTCAAGTATCAGCTGACCAACGAAATCAGCTCCAAGTTTGGCCATTGTGGTTTCGGACCAGACTTTTGTGCATCGGATGTTTGCGTCTCTGGCTGCGACCGCAAGTCTGACTGTGATCCCGGATTCGGTTCAGAATGGGCCAAGAGATCCACTTGCCCTCTCAACGTGTGCTGTTCAAAATTTGTAAGTCAGTCTCGGTATACAAGTTCCTTTGAGCTGGGTGTCTGTAAGTACTAACAAGATATTCCTTAGGGATTTTGTGGAACAACGAAAGACTTTGTAAGTGACAGTTGCCATTCTCCTACCTCCTACAAAGCATCAAGCTCACTAGCATACTTTTAGTGTGGCAATAAGCAAGTCAAACGAGAGACTTGTGATGAAGATGGCACTCTTAATAGGGTGGTTGGCTACTATGAAGGATGGGGTGCCCGAAGGCCGTGCAACGCCTTCTTTCCTGAGCAGATTCCTCGTGGCGTCTACTCAATCATCAACTTTGCCTTTGCCACGATCGATCCCCAGACATTCGAAGTTCTACCCGCGACACCTGAGGATATACCACTTTACAAGCGCTTGACAGCGCTCAAGAAAGATGACCCCACACTCCGCATCTACATCGCCATTGGTGGCTGGACGTTTAACGATCCAGGACCTACTGCAACTGTCTTCTCAGACATCGCACGGTCTGAAGAGAACCAGAAGAAGTTCATCAAGTCATTGATTGCCTTTCTGAACAAGTACGACATGGATGGCGTTGATCTTGATTGGGAATACCCCGAAGCTCCGGACCGCAGTGGCAGACCCGAGGACTTTAAAAACTTTCCTAAATTCATGGAAAACTTGTCTAAAGAGCTTCGGCAGACAGCTGGCCGCGGTGGACTGTCTATTACACTCCCGGCATCCTTCTGGTATCTACAACACTTCGACCTTGTTAAGCTAAAGAAATCGGTTGACTTTTTCAACATCATGTCATATGATCTGCACGGCACGTGGGATAAAGGTTCGAGTTTTGACTCTTCTTGATCTGATCTCTTCTAACGTCTGATACAGGCAACAAGTGGACTGGTGAATATCTCAACCCTCACACGAATATTACCGAAATCGATGCCGCCCTTGATCTCCTTTGGAGGAACAAAGTGGATCCAAACATGGTAGTTCTGGGTCTCGCATTCTACGCGCGAGCTTACACGCTCAAAGACCCAAGCTGCACTGAACCCCAGTGCCAATACGCATCGGGTTCCAAGAAGGGTCCTTGCAGCAACGAGGCTGGTATTTTGCTCAACTCTGAAATCGACGACATCGTTAAGAAAAAGAGCCTGGTGCCCAAGTCATGGGAGAAGGAGACTGTGAAGATGCTTCACTGGGACGATCAGTGGCTGACCTACGACGATGCGGACACGTTCAAATTGAAAACCAAGTTCGCCCGCAAGCGCTGCTTGGGCGGCGTTATGGTATGGGCTATCAGTCACGACACCAAGGAGGCAAAATACACGAAAGCCCTGGCAGCAGCGGCCAATCGCAAGATCCTTCTCCTGCCTAGTACAGAAGGCCCTGAACAAGAAGTCAAGATTCCGCATCCCCAGTGCAAATGGACAAATTGCATGGATGGAGGCTGCCCCTCGGGCTGGCAGCTTATGAAGCGCAGTGATGAGCATGCACGTACAGATGAATGGATGTTCGATAACTCTGGGTGTGATGGCGCGGGTATCCATCGCCTCTGTTGCCCGTCGTCCGAGACGCTTCCAACGTGCGGTTGGTACACACTTCCCAAACGCGGCGGTAAATGCGATTCAAAATGTCCGGACGGTACGCAGGAAGTTGGTTCCAACTCGAACTATTGCGACTCGGGCTACCAGGCCGCCTGCTGCACCACCTCGGACTCGGACAAGAAACCACTGCGCGCCATGGAGCTCTATGAGGGCTGCGAGTGGTCAGACGCGCCAATGTGCGATTTGGGTAAGTGCACGTTTGCTGGCTCAGCGTGGCCGACGGAACTAGTCGTCTCAGCAACGGGCAGTGGTGGTGCCATCTGCAATATGCGTTCTGCGGGCTGGGAAGCAAGTACTTGGCAGGTCCAAGAACGCAAGTACTGCTGCGACACGAAGACGAACAGCCGCAAATGGAGCAACTGTAAATGGGAAAAGTCGCTCGGATGGGGTTCCGCAGGAGCCCGATGCTATCCCAACTGCCCCGAAGGCAAAACACGAGTAGCCATGGACGGTTGGGGCGACGACTGCAAGACTAGTGGTGCTCGAGCGTACTGCTGTGATGCGGACAACTACGACACCGAGACGCGTCCGTCAGATGCGATACAAAAGTATCGCGATGCCATGAAGGCTTGGGTCGAGAGTCCAACTTGTCCTCGGGGAACGGGGTCTCTTCAACGACGTTATCTCCTGGAACGAGGCCTCATAAGCCACGAAGACAAATCCCAACTCCTCACTCGGCAGCAAACACCCATTGGCGGCAATGGCATGACCAACGCTGAACGAGTCCTGCAGCTGCTGATACTAATCCTCTCAGCCATATACCAGACGCCGACCGACATGAGCAAGGCTTATAACAGTGCTTGGGACGACTACATCAAAACCAAGCATGAGGGAATGCAGACAGTACCCATGAAGTCATTTCTTACTGACAAGTCTCGCTATCCTGCCTTTGACCTTGAGGGCCCAGAGATCACTGCAGAGCGCTTCGCTTGCGAGCTCGATGTCACCGACGCTCTGATACGGCGGACACAAGTTACCGTCGTCATCTGTGACGCCGATATGTGCGGGATAGATGGGCTGTGCTTCGACTCCTTTGATGAAGATGCGCCTGGCACCTCAGATAAGCGTGGCATGGGATTTGGGTCTGTGAAAGCGCGAGGCACCCTCGACACATCTCCTGCAGGACATCACGGCGCTCTTGAGAAGCGCGATAACATGGACGTTGAGTTTGAGTGTGTAGACTCGGCGAACCCCAATGGCAAGAAGATCAAGTGGAGGAAGAGGCCGTGGACTAGCGCTGGCCAGTGGGACAACAATAATCCCATCTACGACAATGCCCTGACCCATATGTTCGAGGATCATTGCTCCATGACTAACCTCAGAGTTTCTCAGTTGCCAGATGGCGAATACTATGCCAGTAAGTTGATACTCACTCTTTCTGCATGCTATAGATGTAGTTCTCCTTGCATGATCATCATCGCTGACTCTTGATCCCACACAGCTGAACACATTATCGAGATACAGACAATGGCTCTGTTTTTCACCGATGCACCGGGCGACAGAAGGTGTAAAGTTCCATGCGACTTCTTCATCAATGGCTTCAACAACCCTATTGCGAGCGGCCCATCTTTGCCTGGTGGATTCATGAGTCCAGTTCCCAGTGAGCGTATCATGGACGCGCTCGGTAGTGAGCTGAACACAGTGAACTTCGTCTTGCTGCGTACGAACCTGAACGGGATGAAAGCTAGGGTATGTAGCCGACATGGAGGTATTCATGGATGAGACTTAGACTGACCATGCTGCCGTAGATATGGAGATACTTGGATCCCATCAGTGATGCCAGTTGGCTATTAATGGTCGCCAGCAACGAGCCTCGGGAAGCGCTACAGTCCATCCGAGATGTGAGTATGGTAGGCCACTACAACGATCAACATACTGACACAATCAAGGCCATTGCGGTATTCAACTATCTGAACCATCCGTATGTCCGACCCAAGCTCATAGGCATCAACAGAGTACTCCGAGAAGAGTTCCAGCGAGCATCTGATGGATACAACTTTGGGCACCCCAACGCTGGCATCAACATACGCGACTGCTGGGACACTTGGTTCAGAGAACACCTAGAAGATATGGCATCGAATACACGTACGTGGGTGCGCGGTGCCATTACGGATATGCGCCGGGCATGGAGCCCGTTGAACAATCCCAACGATCAAACGTATCAGGCGAGAGCGCTACAGGTCAACCAGCATCTTGACCGCTTGGAGACGCTCGGTATTACCAATGGGGAAATTTCCATTGACACTACGAATCTGTGGTAGTGGTAGTCATTTGTCCGCCCCTATAGAGTAAATTTTATTGAGACTGTTCCTTCATGGCTCCGACATCCTGCACTAAACTCATCCTGGCACAGTACTCCGTACCTGTGTTCGTTCCAGCCTTGTGCAGCCCATTATAATTAGCTCGTGTCAGTTTAGCGTGTTTGTATCTTCAGCCTCTTGAGTGGGTCTTGTTGCGATAGGCTTGGCATTTCATTTCGAAGTTGCACCTGCCTCATTTCGACATAATAGATGCCGAAGATGATAAACGGATAAATAACGAAGAGATGTCAAAGACCGTCCCGGATACTCCTGACTTGAACACCAATTTCGTCTGCACCGGCCAATAATCAGGCCTCCTTCCAACTGCCCCGCCCCCGCCTCTACAATTGAGATTGCTCCACGCTCTCACCTCTCACCCACTGCGGCCAACTTCAGAATGGCGGAGCAATCACAACTTCGAGATCTCAGTGGCCTTTCAGCGCAGTTCCGCAGCGCAATGGAAGGTCTCACCCACCAATGGGGCTTTGTCGTTGTGCGCACCGCCTATGCTAATGACAACGACGACGCACAGTGGGCTGCCGCCTTGAAGAAGCTACACGACTACGCTACCCCGTCGGAGAGTGGGGCTGAAATGGATCCCGACACGTTCGCACTACCCGTCATCTCTGACAGTGCTCTTCTGCGCGGGGCTGACTATGCCTCGGTGCGCAAGGCGTTTAACCAGTGGATCGCAGATTTTGTTGGCCGGGAGAGAAATGAAGACGACGACGACGACGAAGAGTGGCCGTCGGACGTCCGGCGCAATGTGTGCATTGTCATCGACGAAGCTGTACTGGCTTCGTTGCTGAATGCGCCAGACTTTGCTCGCGGCAAAGTCCCGAACCTGGACCTGGAGCCGTGGGTCACTGTACTGGACGCCGAGGACCCGGCCAACATGCCTTATCGCGGAGGGGCGCCGTACATGGGCTTCACAAGAGCCTACGCGCGTGTTCTCAGCCAGCTGTTCGATGATCTCGACTCGCGGTCTCTGGAGAAGCTGAGTCCGATTCGTGTCTACGATGGCCAGATACCGCTTTTCACTGGTTCTTCGCAGGGCAAGCTTGTCGATCCGCCTGGTGGTGTGGATGGAAGATACAAGTTTCCGCGAGGAACACCGAGGGGTGCGCAGGGAGCGCAGACTATGTTGGAAGAGATTGAGCGAGCGGTGGGGAGAGCAGGCATGGGTTATTGATTCTGATGAGTTGGAGGACATCAAATGGAAGAGGACAGAAGTGGTAGTGCAGCCTATGCCTGCTCTTGTTCTTTTAATTCTGAGATGAAACTCAAAAAACTGCTTAAAATGTTGTAGCTAGGTTACAACTTGGTAAAGAGAGGGTATTGCCTTCACCGACCCCAGGCCAATGTTCAATGCAGTGCAGTAAGCGTCACGTGACCAGCGTTCAGTGTACCAGTCGGCACTACTTCTCTTGACTCAATTTTAGCATTTCCAATTCCTGTCAGAACCAAAATGGTTATACCTTCTTACTGTGCTACAAATTACTCTGATTTCCATTTGACACTCAAATCTACAGCCACTCCCATGATCCCTCCTATTTACCCGCCTATATTACTCCATCTGCTCCATCAAACTCTATTTCATATCGCTCCTAGAAAGCTACACCAAGACGTGCACGGATACCATCGTCCCACTCATACATTCCCATGCGACCAATGTCTCGCCTGTTCTATGAAAACGCAACCCAAGCCCCAAACCCACACGCCTCAACTAACAGCACCAGAACACCAATCGCCATCCCACTTCCCACCCGCTGACCCGGTCCCGCCGTCTCCTGCCCATCCCCAACATGGCCCAAAACCACCCAAGCCAACGCCGCTGCGACACTAATACTGAGCAAGACGGTCATGACAACAACAATTCTCGTCGGTGAGACCATATACACCAGTTCCAGAGTCGGTACATGCGCTTCCTTCGGCGAGGCAGAAGACACAGCGATCCTTCTCGCCCACGTAACCATCATGTACTTTTTGAAACCGATAGCGGGATTCCTGTACAAAGCGAGTAGATGGGTCTCCGAGGGGTGAGGTAGCTGCGCCGAGGATGTTGTTTGTTTATCTGCGCTTCCTCTCCGTTCGTGTCCCGTGTGGTTAATACTAGCGATACAACAGACATTGCGCCTGCCAAACTGTACACCACGCAGCGTCCTCGCGCTGAAGCGGAAAGATTGCCCAAGTAACTGGCGATTAGCCGATCGTAGTCTCTCAGCAAAAGCCGTATCGTCGAAGTCGATTTCAGCGCTGTTATGCCGCGGATCTCGATAGCGATATCCCTGCTTCTCATCATCAGCATCGCTGTCCAAGAGCTTACTCGGTACAACAATCCCCTCCAACTTCGTTTGTCTAAGTTCATCATTAGCCCCTCTCCCTCCTCCGGTCTCATTGCGCATCTTCCACGTCCACCTCTTCATCCCGACCCAGATAACCAAACCGCCTGCGCTCTGCCTCGCACTGCTATCTTTCCTCCCTTTCCCATCGCCTGGTTCGGCCTGACCCCGTATCAAACCCTGCGCACTCTCATTCCTCTCTCTTCGACTCCTCAAGTCCAAGCCCTCCACGCTCGTCGTCACAAGACCGAGTACATGCTTGCCTTTTCGAGCGTTGTAAGCGGTTTCGGGCTTGTGGGGCAGGTAACTTGTAACTCCCTCGGGGGAAATACTGGTACAGGCTGAGTCCAACCTAGCATAGTCTTCTGCACTACGAATACTAGGATTGGAAGCGGGGAGGGAGAAGTTGGGCAGGCAATTGGAATCGCAGGTGTAGCCCATTGCCGGGAAAGATAAACTGGTGTCTGGCAAGGGTGTGGCAAACGGATTCGTTCTATTGACGTCTTGGGAAGCAGCGCAATCATCGCCGCATCTTGCTTCTTGTCCTCGTTTAGGTGTCACTGTTCCCATTGACAGAGCGCTCAGCCTGATCTGCCGATTCGCAGATAACGAGGTTACAGACTTGGGCCAACTAGTCGTAGTACCCGAGTTCAGATAATTACGCCCAGCTTCCACCTTCCCCACTCCTTTCCCCCCACTCCTCTCCAAATTCTCGTTACTCTTTGGATCGGCTCTCAATGCCTCTAGCGCACGCATCGCATGCACATGCGCATTGATGATAGAATCTGCAAGTACACTATCAGAGCTGCTATCACCATCTGAAGCATTCATCTGGTGATGACCGTTCCGGAACGTAGGACTCTGCGGTAGAGGCGTGAGTGTTTCCTCGCCATTCTCACGCAATTTATCCCTTGAGGTCGCACTAGCTGAGAACATGGCGGCCAAGGCTGATGCAGGATATGCTGGAGATATGGGGAGAGAGCTGTTGTTGTAGCCGTTGAAGATGGAATGCCGGGGTGAGTCGATACTCGATCTGAGGGATCTGCCATCCACCAACCGTACATTCTCCTTATTGAGACGCGTCAAAAACATCTTCCGGGCATGGCTTGGTGCGTCTCCGTCTTCCATCACGACAACTCCCGCGGTATGTTCTTCGTTGAAGCCGCTGTAGTCTGAGCTGTTGACTGGTAGGCTCGTCACGTTGGAGAGCGCGGTGGTGGTGCGACGGTGTCTGCTTCGACCCCGTGGCACGCTTCTATCGTCGATGTTTGTGGGATGTGGTTGGCTGCGGTGACCAAGTTCAGGAGTGTCCGTACATATCCTTGCGAGTAAGGCTGCGCTGGCTCCGGAGTCGGACTCGGATGAACAGTCGTCGAAAAAGTCGGTACCAGGTATTAATCTGCTGTGCATGGTATCAATTTCTCTCACGTCCAGGTAGACAGATGAGCGTCTCTTGGAATCGGCCTCGACAATCCTTGGACTCGATGCCAGTATAGGACTCAACCTTTCAAATGGGTGGTTGAGGAAGATGGTCCTCGTCGATGTAGTATTCGACCCCGGACCAGAAAGAATAACAGGAACAGCGGGATTCACTGGGTGCTGCCTAAGTGGATCAAACCTCAGTCCAATTGGTGTTAAAGTCGACGGGGGCTGGCCAGTGTCCATCCTCATATCCCGATTTCTCACCACTATGGTCGGCCCGTCGGAGGGCAATATTGGCCACTTTCCGCCCGCGCGTTAGCAGGATATCCCGTCCATCTTTTTAGAGAGATCGACAGGCGTACGGAAAGGATTTCTGAAACACATATATCATGAATACGAGCAGCATGTTGCTGGAACAAAGAGGAACTAAAGGCAGGTTGACGCCGTGTGGTCGCGAGATACATCGGAGGATTAAACTTGAGGAAATAAAGAAAGCATGCGTCAGGGATTGCGAATTCATATCCGGCATTTTGACAACTCCACACTTCGGCATAACACTGGAAGAGAATAGTAGTTGTTGGTTTGCTGTTGTTCGGGATGAAGAGGAACAGGGAGAGCAGCGGATGCATCCGCATTCTGCCGCCCCTCACCTTCATCCCTTGCTATGACCGACCACATGGCCGCCTTCGGAACCGCTCTGTTGGATCATCAAAGATTCATCGGCATATCTTGGGGCGTGTGTAGAAATAGTATCTATTGGCGAGAAGACGGACGAAGGAGACGCCATCTAGGAAGCCCCTTACCTACTCTATACATAAGCGCTGGAGGCGTACAAACGTAAAACAACGCCATATGCTATGCCACCAATATCGTCAATCGTCGTTTCGCTCGATCAACATAGAAATGAACTAGACATGGAGTATGAAAGAGATGAAAAAGCGTCCTCTGTGGGATATCGCACGAAGAGCTTGGAAAAGTCTTTGATCGTCGTCGCACATGATTTCGCCTCCACCAAATGGTTTGGCGATGCTGGTAGGGCCCTACTCGCCGTCGCGGTCGAACATCTTGGTCATAGCCTTCTGCGCAAGTTCTACGCCAGCGAAAGTAGCCGCGTTGGCAGGCACTGCTCGTGCCATGGCAGGTCCAATGCCAGGGAAGAAGGCTTTGAGGCCACCACTTGCGTGAATGCCTTTGATGGTTCCACTGATTGTCGGTCTGCCCTCGGCACTCTGTAATCGCGACTTGATGGTGTCAACGGGGAAGACTGGTATCCACATGGCGATACCGGCAGCACCACCCGCCACCATGACCGCGCCCATACTCAGCGATCCAGGCTGTCCCGTAACAGGGTCTTTGGGAGTCAGAGTGCGTTTGACGTACTCGTACGTCGCAAAGTAGAGGGCTGATCCTGGGCCGTCACGCGCCAATGTCATGGCAGAGCCACGGTAAACGGACTTTATGCCGCCCTCCTTGTATAATTGCTTGACAACGTCCATACCACCAGAGTACTTGGGTTTCTCGCCAGGTGCTAGATTCTTCTGTCCCTGGATCTGTAGGAGCACTTTTACGCGCTCGAAAGGTGCGGTGATGATGGTCATGGGGATGGCGCTGAAGAAACCGGCGGCGGAGACTTGTGCGACGCTGAACTGGTTGTTTTCGACTTTGGACACGCTAGAAACGAGCTGCTTGCCGAGATCGTAACCCCAAAAGGACACGGCGACTGGAGAATGTCAGCTAACGTTCTAGTCCGACTGACCCATACACGGCTTCTCAAGGGCACTCACACATGGGCGTAACACCGACAAGCGGCGCAGAAACACCCGCATACAGTCCCCTGGCCAGTCCCTCCTTTGCGATTGTTTTCCTCACAACGTCCATAGCGCCCGTGTATACACCCTTCTCTGCCGTCTGCATGCGCACCTTGACTAGATCGAACGGGTGGCCCACAACAACCGCAAACACACCACCCACGCCTCCAGCTAACAGCGCCCGTAGCGACTGCAGCGACGACTTGGAAGCGGCCTTGACATCTTCCTTGAGCTCTGCCGTGTTGGGCAGCTTCTCAATCACCGAGTCCGTCATGTTTGACATGGTAGAAAGCTGTGGTGGGGGTCGCGTCCGTAGGTCCGGGGGGGGGGGGGGGGCAGGATGAAGCGATTGTGCGCGCGCAGAACCTCGTACAACTATAACAGGATCCGGTATGGATACCAAGAAAAGCTGTGCGAAGCAAGTGAGAACCTACGCGACTCTGCCCACAGTGATTGCGAAGAAAGAAAATACAACAGCGAGGTGGGAGACTGTGGCATGTGCAAGCTCCAGTGCTCCGGAGAGCTGGGCCTACGTCGGTATTCGGCTGGTTGGCTGGCTATTCCACTTGCCGAGGCTGATCGGCGCCGAAGAGCCGCGCACCTCGTTATCCTGCCATTGACTTCATAGCATCATGTGAGGGGCGGACGCGCCAAGGCTGTGGAAGCATAATGTTCGGTCGTCGGGAGAGTATGAGGGTTGGTGGGGTAGCCTTATATGACAAAGAGGAAGGACTTTACAGGAGTGACCTCACATGCAGAAAGCTTGTCCTACCGGTCCAACGGCGCACGACACAGTGCCTGTTTACTGATCGACCCATGAGATGGATACATTGTGTGCACCACGGTATTCCACGCAACGTACTAATCTCTACGCTACTGTGCCATTACTCGCGAGCCTCGCAACCTCGCTGCCACCACCAGTGCTCGAACCGACAAACACCACAAGAACAGCAACATATGTCGCCGTAGACACGAGTCCCTCAATATTTGTCACTCGTACTCCGAAGGTCAACACAACAGCGAATAGAAACACTGACGCCGACACCGTTATGAGGCTTTTCGCCGTTGATGGTCGGATGGCCATGATCAGCATCGGTCCAACAAGAAAGAGCCCACCGATCGCAGCAATAATGAAGCGACACAGTCGATCAACAGAACCGGAAACTTCCTTTGGTGGCTTGCCATCTCTATATTCTCTTTTGCGGGCTGCTCGTTCGTTGCGTGAGTAGGTCATCCATACGGGTAGTCGCTCCATCAGTAAGCTTCGTAGGGTATCAATCTTGACGTCCGTTACGTCGAAATATAATAGTGTGATTTGAAAACGCCTATGTCTTTAACCTGAGAGTGAAAGTGGGCCTGCAACAGGAGTTTTCTTTCCACTGCGTCATTTGAGGTTAGACTCTTTCTTTTCCGCAGGGAGTGGTAGTTTTGTATTGCAGTAGCTGACATCGGTTAGAAATGTACTGTACGAAGCGATGCGGGTATGCTTGCCATATTGCTCTAAATTCGTTCTCAGTTTTTCAAGATCATCATCAGAGATAGTTGACGCCTTTGACAACACGTCCTTCGTGCGAATGAGCTTCATCTGCAACGCGACAAGGTTGGTCCTTTGCAGGTGCTCGAAACGCAAGAAATAGAACTCTTCGTCCTCATCGAGCGATGCCTCGACATACTGCAGCAAGCCCACATTCTGAGCCTCTACTGAACCCAACGCTGGCGCTGCAGGTAGTGGTGTTGTGGGTGGCTCTGCTGCTGTGGTGTGCACGTTGGCCATCGTTGCCATAACTCCAGAGACTTTGAGCTTGAAAGATTATCTCGAAAATTGCTACCAGGCGGGGCGGAGCATAACAGGTAGGGCGCTGCATACATGTATGTAGTCAGCGGCCTCAGCCCCAGCTGAACCCGCCCACCTTGCATGGAGTCACAAGCTGCCCTTGGTATCTGCCCATATAAAACCTTCGTACTCGAAAATTCACTGACAACGAGCGCAAAATTCTCGAAACCACAAATGCTTGCCACAACTGCTGACCGCGCTCGAAGATTGGAAGAGCTGACTTCAGCCCAAGATAGTGTTCCCCATCGGGGAAACAAAGCTGTATTCATTGGACTGCCTGATATAATATCCCGTCATCAAAAGGTTACTTTGCAAGCTTTTCCCAAATGGTCCACCAGATGTAGGTTTCAGGGCATATGGGTCGAACGAACTCCAAACTTCATAAGCTTACAGGAATACGCTCAAGAGTTGAAGGTACTACTCAAGAAATCAAAGGATGTCAAGGCTTACTTCGATTCCCTCCAAGATGAGGGAGCCAGACAGACTGGTGAGCTGGACCGTATTCAAAAGCTTTATCTCCGAGGGTGTTTACTAATCTAATTTCAGTCTTGCGAGATCTCGCCATCCTGTACAAACACATGAAGGAAGTCTTCAATCAAAATTCAAAAGAATTGAGAAAAAACAAGGATTCAGAAAACGGAACCGTCAAACCAATTGGTATCCAAGCGTGTACCGAAAGTGCAAAGAGTTCAAGGGTCCGGCTTGGAGCGGTCATGTCTACCGGCATCATTCGTGCTGGAGGCACAATGTTTGGGCATTCGAGCACATGAGGGGAGAATTTCCTTTGCTTCGATCATTAGTATCTGGAAAGACTTGTTACAAATAACAATCTGGCTTGCCTGTCGCTGAGTTCGGAGACAAGTGTTTGGGGTATCTTTCGGCCAAACATGGAAAGTGAGCTTCGGTGTCTCAAGGTCGGAGAGGAATACCAGAGTTGTTTCCACAGGGCATCATTCTTCATGATCGCGCAGTAGATCGCGTGCATCGCAACATGTAGGGGCGTTTACAGAGGGATTGTAGTTGTCAGTTCTATGTTCAACATGGCGAAGTGTGGAAAACAACTTATGCTTTGTAACATAAACTTATCTCCCCCAGTAAGACTTGAGTAATGTGATCGATGATCTTTCTCAAGATATCTACCTAGGTAGCGCTGAGCTACAAATAGCGACCTATGCCAGACGAGCCAATGTAGTGAATAAGAGTCGCAGAGAACAACCATGTACCTGGGTGCTGATACATGGCTCAAAGCACACGATTCTGGGCAATAGCATGAAGGAAATGAGCAAGTCGAACGTAAATATAGTGCAGACGCTGCAGAACCCTAGGACCTTTTCGCTAGGAGCTAGTCCAGCTGAATCCTTATTCGGCCCCACCCTGCAAGGCAGCGGCCTCGCATCCGCAGCTTTCAACCACCACGCGCCCCCAAAACCATGCTACGACAACAGGGAAGCGATAGTTCACTCTGGTACCTGGAAAGCTTCCATATTGCGGAGCGGCCGAAGATCATTGAACTGGGTAAGTCGTGATCAGTCTCACTCGCGCGTGGCTTGCGTCAACACGTGCCTTCCAGGGGCTACTCCAATCACAGAACACGCCCCAAACTAGTGTTCATCGATAGCGCGACTTGCTCATCTTACTCCGACGTCCCCTTTCCCTCGCGTGGTTTCGTGCCTTGCACATGGCCTGATGCGGACGACTTTCGACTCATCGTCTTGCCGAAGCGCAAACGCGATGAACGCCTTGGTGGCTGTCATAAGGGTCTGGACGAGGCTATCGTGGACTCTGTATGGGAGTATGCAAGCCACGTCGGAACCATTCTGTAGAGCGAGAACTTCTTCTCCAGGCAAAGGTAGGTATAAACCTGTGGCCTCTCAGCTTCTATCAAATCGTCATCTCGTTTCACTCTCTACGAGCATCCCACCAACAGTCATTCTCTCGCTCTTTGCTCAGTGTTAATAGCATATTCTTTATTGCGTACATCTTAATTATTAATATCATTCGCGATGCGTTGGCATCTTCTCGTTCCTCTTGCAGCAGCGGCGACGCTTGCCGCTGGCAAAGTATCGACGAACGCGCGATGCGGAAACGCTTACAATGCCTTGCCCGGTGGCATGAGCTGTACAGGCTCACAATGGGGTAACTGCTGCTCTCAATACGGTTACTGGTAAGCACCTGATCATAGAGTCTGCATGTCGTCCAGGCAATCTAACGAAATTTTCGCAGCGGCAAGACGAAAGACTACTGCGGAACTGGTTGTCAGTCATCGTTTGGAACCTGCAACGGCGTTCTTACATCCACGCGCATCTCGACAACATCAAGCCGCAGCATCGCCTCATCTACCAGAGCAGTCTCGTCGGTGGCACCATCTTCTACTGCAGTAAAGGTCAAGGTCACGACGAATGCTCGCTGCGGAAACCTGTACGGCGCATTACCAGCAGGAATGACATGTTCTGGTGGAAAATACGGTGACTGCTGTTCTCAGTACTCATACTGCGGAAGTTCAAGCGCTTACTGCGGGACGGGTTGTCAGCCAGGGTTTGGAAAATGCGATGCCGTTTCTTCGAGCTCCGCTGTCAGCTCTTCGACTCTTGACTCATCCAGCTCCCTCAGCAGCTCCAGCTCTAGTAGCGCTTCCTCCTCTAATCTGGTTGTAATCTCCACCTCTTCGGCCAGTGAGTCAACTACCAGCACTTCATCTAGCGAGTCGTTGTCTAGTGACTCTTCAACGGTAATTCCCATCCCGGTCACCTCCAGCACGTCCTCCGAGATTACTGTCACTTCGACCTCAACCACCGCCGCCTCTCCGTCACCAACTGCCGATCAGTTCTGTGGCATTGAAGGAGTCGACACTGTTGATCTCCAGGTGATATCTGGAAAGCCTTTCACGACTCTGGATGCATGCTTGGCAGACTGCCAGGCCCAGAGCGCATGTGGGAGCATGATCGTCTACTCGAATACGTGCTACCTTACCAGGATACCGATTACTAGCACCAACGTTGCTCCCCAACCAAATACCGGCTTGAAGTACTACAACCGTAATTGCATAGCCAATCCCTTGGCAGCCACCACCCCACCCTCAACATTAGCAACATCTACCGTGCCTACCTCGACCAGCACTACCAGCACATCTACATCTACTGTCTGCATCCCCCCAGCACCAACAATATCTTGTTTCGCCTACCCAGAGTGCCAGCAATTCACCGCAGGCCTCGCAAACAGCTGCCCCTCCTACGGTGGGCAATGCCAAGACAACTACTTTGTCCGTTGCGGAGAAAAACCAGCTTCAGGCTCACAAGCTATCCTCGACGTCCCCGGCATCTCGGTAGATGCTTGCCGTGAAAGGTGTGACGGAATCGATAACTGTATGGCCTTTTCATACAAGGCTTCCACCTGCTATCTGTGGAAGTATGTAAATGGGTTCATTCAAGACGACGAGTCGAATGATTTTATCAGGATTTGTCCGGCTACTACGTGTTCTAGTGCACCGGTTCGCCGGGGAGAAGAGAGGAGTATCGCTTTACAACGGTGGCGGAAACCCACTTAGTATTGGTATGTAGAATGATAGTGTGTAGGCGGATATGCTACAGAGTAGTTCTCTTCTTCTACCTTGTGCTCCGCCAAAAGTTTCAATGAAAGTATACAGTGTATTCTTCACTACGATAACCATCGAATATAAAATCTTCCCCGATCTCGAATCTTTCTTCCTCGCGCACACACGTAACCTACATCCATTGTCGAGACTCAAGATGTCTAGCCAACCGAGTTCAAGCCGTTTACTAGACCTACCTAGAGAGATCCGCGATATGATATACGAATACGCACTCACTGAAGATCAGGGTCTCCTTCTTGTTGAGCACGACGACACCCAGAAGAGTTTCAGAGGATGCCGACCGACTGATCCTAGCACCGAGTCCAACTGCCTCAAATACATTTGTCGTCAGCTATACTACGAAACCAAAGGCTTAGGTCTTGGTCTGAACAATCTTACCATTCGCTCGGAATGACGGGAGCAAATCGAAGATTTTACTACTTTCTTTGCTACATGCTCGGCAAGCCAACAACAGTGCATTCGGAAAGTCACTCTGTGCACTAGCTATGTTCTTTTCACTGGCTTGGAAAAAAGTGATTCGGAGTTGCCTTTTGGTCGACTGCTGCAGATGAGCGTCTCCCATCCTCACATCACCTTTCACCTGTACCTCGCATACCTCGAGGAATCCTCCCGCGGCGACAATTTCATTCGTGAAGCCACCTTGTTGTACTATGCGAAGCACGGAGATGTCAAGCATCACGTCGTCAACAATGACTTACGCCGGCTTTGTAAGGAGGGGCATTTTTTCTCACCTCAAATACCTAACCAGGTTCGGGTGTTTCCTGGTGCGGGACCAGGCCTTATCCAATGTCCGCCCCGCTCCAAATTCTCACCGAGTAGGTGGAGCGAAAGGAGAGTGACAGTCTTCCAGGAAGAGATTGAGAAGTGGTGTTGTGAGGGTATCTAAGTACAGCGAGGAAGGCATGTCCTAAAGGTATGCACTTGGCTGATGCGCTACAACTCTGACAGGAGAATACTAGCATATGACTCCGAGGCAGTTTTTTGTGGCCATATGGGTCGATCATGATGAGTATTACAGGTTCTAAGTCGCATAGCTAAGCAAACATAATGCAAGATAATACTAAACGATGTATAAGTCTACCATGCTACTAATCTGCGGACGTTTTCCTGTCAATTCTAACGTAGGATGCAAGATGGGGCTTGGTATTTCTGTACCTGCCTGATATTTATCATGTATGAGGTAAAGAGGAAGACATATCCCAAAGACATAGTGAACTATGCATTACAACTCTAACACGGAGATATTAGCGTATGCCTTCAAGATAAGACAACATTCACACGGAGTAGCAGCTGATGATGAATTATTTGATGATAATGTATTGAGTATGTACTATATAAGCATACTCTTGCATTGTCACATAGAACGGACAATCATTTTGAATTACAACTGATAAATTTTAGGCCGTCACAATCCACATCCAAACGTGAATATAGTCCTTTCTCCATCGTAGCCTCATTCATACGATAACCAGCCTTTTAAACCTGGTTCTCGTTGCGCTCAGCCGGCTCCAAGATACCGCCGTGGGTACCAGCCTGCTCAGCCTTGCTGAAGGTACGACCACCAGCACCCATGTGCAGCCTGTCGGTGTCGACGAGGCCGTCCTTCTGCAGACTTGATGGGTCCCACTTGGCGGAAGTGATAGGGTTGACGTGGATCATGTACATGGTGTCAATCTCTTCGAGCGAACGGCCCTTGGTCTCAATCATGAAGAAGTAGACGATGACGAAGAGCAGAACCAGGGAGACAGCGAAAACAAGACCGTACAGGTAGTGGATCTCGTCGGTGATGAGGGTGGAGCAGAAGGAGATGATGAAGTTGAAGAGCCAGTTGGATGCGGTAGCGAGACCCATGCAAGTAGCGCGGTAACGAGCAGGGTACAACTCTCCGACGATGGCCCAGACAAGGGGTCCCCAGGTAGTGGCGAATGCGGCAATGAACAGGCAGGTGAAGACGATCATGACGTTTCCAGCCGCAGGTGTGGTCTGGGGTGCATTGCGATCGAGACTGTACTGGCCGACGAAGGAGTAGATGAACAGACACATGGCCATCCACGCAGCACCGACCATCATAGCCTTGCGGCGACCGACGTTCTCAACAACCCAGAGACCGAAGATTGTAGCGACAACGTTGACGGTACCGAGAATGATGGATGTAACGTAGGAGTTCTCGAGACCGGTGGCAGAGAAAATGGTTGTTCCGTAGTAGAAGAAGTAGTTGGCACCAGTCAACTGCTGACCAGCCTGGAGGACCATACCGAGCAGGGTGCGGTACAACATGCGGGGACCGGTGAAGATCTCGTGCCATGGGTGGTCACCACCAGCAGCCTCAGCCTCGAGCTTCTCCTGGATCTCGGCGATTTCAGCGTCGATGAAAGCACTGTGGGGGTCAACACCGTTGAGACGGGCCATGTTGGCGCGAGCCTCATCGATCTTGCCCTTGCGGTATGCGTAACGGGGAGACTCGGGTAGAAGCAGGATGGTGCTACCAAGGATGATAGCCCAAAGTGCGGAGAGACCGTTGGGGATACGCCATTGAGCGCTGTTGGTGTAGTCCTTTGATGTACCGTAGTTGACCATGTACGCAGTCCAGATACCGAGTGTGATGAACAATTGGTAAGAGGAGACGGTGGCACCACGGATGCGCTTGGGGATCGATTCAGACTGGTACATGGGGACGACGGTGGAAAGGGCTCCGATACCGAGACCGGCAGTCAAGCGACCCATGGCGAACTGAACCCAGACGTCCTTGCTGGTGATTTCGATAATGACACCAGCGATGTAGAAGAAGGCCGAACCGGAGATAGTGAGACGACGACCGAAGGTGTCAGCAAGAGGAGCTGAACCCAAGCATCCAAAGAGAGTACCGACGCTGATAGATTGTTAGGCGTGCTTCTTGTTTTCGAAAACGATTACTTACGCTAGCAGACCGACAATAGCACCAGAACGGGTAGCAGAGAACTCAGCGTTCTCACCGAAGCGTTGCTTGAAGTCGTCCATTTCGAGGAAACCAGAGATCTGTCCAGACTCGTATCCGAACATGAAACCACCAATACTGGCGACGGCACCGAGGATGATAGCAACGGCAGGCACGCGGCCCTTGGGCTCAAGGTCGGTGGCCTGCACAGCAGAGTTACCCCTGGAAGGTGTCTCCGCAGGAGTACCAGTGGCTGGCGTTCCCTTCTCGTGTACCTCCTCCTCAACCGCCTTCTTCTTGTAAAAACGCGACAAGACTGTCATGTTGGGCGCGTTGTAATTAGGAACTGATGGAAAATAATATAAAGTGTCGGTCAAAGATGAGCCGGTCTGCAGCGCGGGGTAGACTTCTCAGGAAACCGAGCTGGAGAGAAGCTGGAGAAGAGGAGACCAGTGTGGACTTTGAGGAGAAGGCTGCACCGTATAAATAGCAGAATGCATGCGGAGACGGGTTTGTAGGGTCTATTGACAGTGGAGCCCCAGTGTCAGTCTCATCCGCATATCCATCCGACTAAGTTTTTCCAGAACGCCCTAGGCATGGAGGCGACAGGAGGCACTCTCGCACGAGCGCCCTGGCAACGGAGGTATGATGACATCGCATCGTGGAGCTGGAACCGACAATGGGGCAGCCTGTCACGAGTACGCTCGAGCCGGAGAGCTGCCGGTTGTGAATTTTCTTCAAAGTCGCGCAGTATCGGAATGGTTGGACACGCCGAGAAGCACAGACGGTGATAGTGCAATGATCGGCCCACCGCACCTATTGCAAGTACACGACGGTTCCAGTTCTGGGCAATTGTAGACTCGTTCGTATGGAACATCATGCGTGATCTCGCCCAGGCAACTCCAAGAATAACGGCGGCGAACGGTTGCCCTCCCGTGGCCACCGTGTATCGTGATGTTCGTGGTACGCGCGAGTATCGGCGAGCTACGCGATCCGAAGTATCCAACGCTGAACTTCACCTAGCTGGCCTATCAGAACGTTTGGGGCTACCCGGGATGTTCCTCATGCAGGGGCATAGACGCGTCTATAGTGCAGATGAGGCTGACAAGTGCTTCATGTCACCCAACATATGCAAGAGGTGTACGCACGGACGGGACGGTTCTCACTAGATGCCGCAGAGCCTCAAGTCGCTTAGAGCGTTGAGTCCGGGTATTGAGTCCAGAAGGTCGTCATTGGATGGAAGCCGGCGCGACAAAGTTATTCTCCGACCCGTGCTGCACATTTTGTTCCTAGTCCCTGGTGATTGGTACGCCTGAACTTCTGCATTCGAAAGATGGGGGTGGCCGTTCCTGCGGGACCTATCCAAAAATTCGCGGAGCGCGGTATCTCACGGTCAACGACGTCATATGTCCACATGTGCCTCGCTGGGGTCTTTCCTTGCTGGCAAATTCATTCGCATTCCTCGACGGTGTCCATGGTATCAACTTGGCAAGTTTGCCCGGAAACGCCGGTCTTGGCCGACGCGCAACAAAAACTCATCTCCGACTCCGAGGTTGCAGCGCTAGCGGCCCGCTACGCGCGACAAAGCGTGAAAATCCTGAGCCAAGAATCGTGAAGTTTTCGAGAAAAGAGGGTCCTGGTGGATCATAGCGAGAGTGTCGCGAGATGAGCAATGTAATCTGTGCCGTTTTCCAGATCACGATGCTTTGTCCAGATTGTGAAACCGGGTGATGTTCGGAAGACCGAGGGGTTGCCGGTAGATGGGAACGGCAATGTGTGGGATAACAGTTGTGGTGCGCATGTGGGGAGACATGTTGATGGAGTCTCCAGATACCTCTGCAATGGTTAGCTTTTACTCCGTGCTATAGTAGAGGCATTCCCCATGGGTCATGCGTGTATGGGGTGCTGGTCGCAATGAACAAAAGCAGCATGTTGAGCCAAAAGAAGTAAATCCACGTACCGGTGTCAACCATTGGAATCAGCGCACCAAGTCCAGAGAGCACTTTCTCTCAAGCTTGGTGCCACCATGCTGCCGACGTTCTGGAAGAGCCAAACAGACGTGCCACCCCGTGGGGAGCGAGACCTCTTATACAAATTGCTTCGGACGCCTTTCCTCCGGCTGTGGAGATGCCTCGACTCCAGAAAGGCGCCGATCCACCAATGAATGATGTAGTCCCGTGATGAACGAGCCGGCTGCCGTTTCTATTGCCTAAATTACCGACTCCTTTAAGCCTTCTTTTACGTTTTGCTTGAGTCGTTCAGTGCGCGAAGGCTTCCCGCTTGTCGGATGGCATGCTGCTTTGGGAAGAGTCTAGGCCACCTCCGCGAAGTACGATGCTGCCGTGAATATCGCGTTTGAGCTGTGAGGGCGGTAATCATTCAAAAAAGACTGGTGTAAAGGCGGAAGCTCGATTCGGTGCTTTCTTGACGATCGTGGTCATTGTTCCCTTCGAAAGCTGCTTTGGTGAAGGGTGCGTTGGCTCTTCTTCATCGGATGGGGCGGGTTGGGGTGTGGAGAAGGAGGCTCTGGGGTAATGCGGATTAGTTATCGCCAAGCGCCGCTAAACACCAAAATGGAGATACCGGCGTGCCCTCAGTCGACGAGCATCCTATTTGTGAAATGACATCCTGCATAGAGACATTCAACGTGGTTTTGAAATAACCATATTTCTCAATGGCATCGTCGTACAGAATTTCACTCAGCTGGCACGCTTGACGCACAAACTCACCGTAGACCAACAATGCGCACCTACCTTGAACATTGAACCTGGGCAGACCGAGCTTGTAAAACGGCTCGGCGTGCACGTTCAATCCCTACATGTGGATACTGACATCACGAAACGGGACACTGTCAAACAAATTTTCAGTTATTCAACGACCTTTGATTGACGAGGAGCATTTGTGAACTTGGTATCGAGAACCCGCAGATCGCTATTGGTTGTCAGGGTGGACATGGCTGACGTGCTGGTTTGGTAGCCAAGAGTTTTGAGAAGACGGTGCCCTGAACCTTTGCTCTAGGAATGTTGCGTGGCCCAATGAACAAGGTGGTGACAAAACCATAGTGTACCAGACAAAGTATCCGCAGCTCGTATGTGTCAAATTCCGTGTTCGTACCACTCCCTGATTTGCGCCAACCATTTCTCAAACCCTCTCTTCTTTTCTGTTTGCGAGTGCCTCAGTTCGGCTTCGTTGTAAAAATCCTGTGGAAAATATTTGAGGTTATCAGGATAGCGGAAGCCCTGTTCGAAGCTTCCAAAACCGTGGCGGGTCGTCATTCCTCGTGCGACTTTGTCGACGTCGCTGATGAACGTGGCATCAACATTAAAGTTCACCCTTTTTCCTCGTAAGATTAGCTGGATAGCAGCTCCAGCGACAAGGAGACCACGGCAGCCTTGGGTGATCCTTAGACTATTGGACAACACGATAACCTCGAGGTGGGGGTGTGCTTCACACAGCCTGACGTGCTCGTCGAACATATCGCTATCTATGAAGTAGTAGTCTGGTTGATTTTTGCAACGATCAACAACCATTCGACGAGGATTGGAGGGCAGTCGGACCAGGATGCGAGCATGTTCAGAGGTACTCTGGGGATTTGGCCCTCCACACAATGGTTGAATCTGGAGATGATTAGGGCAGACAAAGACTGAGTCAAGGCGGAGAAAGACTGAATCAGAGCGGTACTCGAGGATTGGACTGCAAATGACTTCACAGCTCCAAGACACGTGTCCAATTAGATCCCCTAGTCTCGAAGCGGAGCTGCCGGCAAGTGTGCACCAGTCCTTTCACGGCATGAAACCGCCTGATCTGAGCTGCAGTAGGCAACTCATCTTCACTGGGTCCGACTACATGCAACGGTCTTGTCTTTTCTAGTGCGTACTGATAGATGGCATTGCGCATCCCGCCGGGTAACATGAGCAGTGGACTCTGAAGCTGGACGACAATCGGATTTGAAACTGTTAGACACGCTTAGTGACTGGACAGTAGCGCGAGAAGCGGGACTCACCTGTGCGCTTCCTCTTGCGACTCGTAGCCGCATTTATACGGGGCATATTCAAGTTCGTCGCCAGTTCTTATTGTAATCGTTGTTTGTGCACTGGAGTAGAGAAAATTCGTAGGTCGTCGCACAATGCTGCATTTTATGTGGATGGAATAATTTCGAACCATGGTACAATCAGGCGGATTGATTTCGTCGAGCGACCCACTCGTTGTAAAGATGATCCCCCAGGGCCGGCCTTCCGATGACCTCTACCCTGTAAAAGGTTAAGCTTAGCGCTAGACGCAGTGTCTCAACATAATTCAAGAGCTCATCCGGGCTATAAGATCCTGATCTCTTTAAGGCATGAATTAGTTTGACAAACAGGACAAATCGAGAGAATGCATAATCTGGCCTGATATTGAGTTTCTCACGCTCTTTCTCGTTGATCAGAGCAAGCAGTCCGTACATGCAATCTCGCACATCAGCACACTTCGTTCTTATACCAAAGTTGTCGAGATGTTGTTTGAGGGAGAGCTGTTCGGCATGTACGTTTCGCACTTCTCGTGCCTGCAATAGTCGTATGGCGCAACTCCCTGCGAGATAAGGAATATCGAATACCACATGCACCAGCCACTTGATCTTTTCTGGATCGACTGAATCGGCGCCACACCATATTTTCACATCTTTTGCTAGTAGATGCTCCTGCACGACCCAGAGTCGCTCCCAATACTCGAGTTTGCATAGCTCTTTCAGGCCTGTTTGCTTACGCTCCCACTCATGATCACCAATGGCCTTCCGAACCAATTTGCGGTTTTCAATCTTCAGGCTGTGCATGTCATGGAGAAGTTCGGCGATAAGTGGAGTTGACCGACCGAGCCAGACTAGAACTTCCTGCGCTCGTGAGGATATCTCTCCCATCATTGCGACTTCATGATTTCGTTTCTCCACTTGCGACTGGTCAATGCATATAGCATCAATCCAAAGATAAACTTGTTTCTCCTCGGCAATGTATGTTCCTGGGAAGACGTTGCGCCAGTACTCGCCAGTAAACGTCGTATCATGCGTAAAAGTTCCGCGGGTACAAGCCGCGTTGAGGAAATCTCAAAGATTGTCCCGCACCCCGAAGGGCTTGCCATCTATCGAGATCGACCTTCTCGCATTTGGTGGACCCGATGCGTATGACAGAGCTAGGTAGCTTTCGGGTCTTTGGCTCCTTCGTTCATCGTCCTTCCACTCGAGAGATATCGTCCGAAGGTTGCAAGATATCCGTCCTTCTACATCGCGGACCAGATTTTCGATGACGCGAATGTTCGTGCTAGAAATGTCTCGATCTAATGGCACCGCTTCGTAGATACTGCTTATTGTAATGCTTCCAAAGATCGCAGTCTAAACGAGAAAGGTGTTGGATAACAGCAGAAACAAGGATTCGAGGTGCTACAGAGTACCATCATATGGATATGCCTGTGCCGGCGTCAAAGAGGAGATGGAGCGGCGCAGAGTGTTGGGCTAGCGCGTCAAGGCAGTACGCCTTGCTCGCAAAGAGAGAACAGCGCTCACCGGAAAGCCGCATGTCTCCAGTTGGTAGGCGGCACTGTCTGCGCAGCCTTTCCATGCTGTGTCACTATGCTTTTTCGCGATTTACCAATCAGACCGGGGTGCAGCAACGATCCTGAATCGCTCTTAACTTTTCTGCCTTGGACATTCGTGAACTCAATAGCCACCTTGTCATTAGGGAGACTGCTACATGCAGAGCAACGACAAATTTACCGTACTTCACAAGAGATGAAACCTTGGGGATTGTTACTATGTGACTGGAATGCTATGTACATGTATGAGGCGCTCTTGCCCCGCACTACGTTAAGACCCAATCGTCACCGCGCACGGATACAGGCACCCGTCGCGCCCTCGCTTTACGCTACGATCTAGGCTCTGCGCTCTACATGCCGCGCGCAACGTCCTGTCCTGTTCCTATCAACTAACTCTACTTGTGATCGGTGCCACTTGTGCACTTGATGAAGATATCGACACAACCCACCAGAGTTTCACTGTCTTGCTTTAATTTGTCGCGCGCCCTTAGCCAGACCGAGGGAGAGAGCCGGCACGTCCAGCTGGATTTGCGCTCACAGCCACAAATGATTGTGGTGGCTTGGGGACCAATGGACCACACGGACGAGGCCACATCAACAGCGCGGGGAGTGGGCAGCATATGGGGGTGCCGGAGTAAGCGCTCTGTGCATAACTGTCTGCGCCACCTCTTTCCAACCGATATAGTGCGCTGCCTGGTATCGAGAAATGCGACAGCGTTCATTCTCGGTTCAAGTTTATGCGCATCTTTTTGCGAGCGTGAAAACCATAAGCACATTGCGCAACACTCATAATATACTTGAGCACAGCTTCGAGGATAGAAACGTATCTCGGCCTAGTGTACAGCACCATATCTCTGCCCCGCAGACAACAACGTAGCTCAGCCTCGCGCACATCAACATACCGCAGATTCGTGGGCATCAACGTATCCAGATACTTCAGCATGGCCGTAGGATTTGGATTCTCGGTGGGAGATCTTATTGCCGTGGGAAAGCTGGCTCACGATATCGCGGTTGCTTTGAGTGACTGCCGGGGTGCTTCTGCGGAATACAGCTCCTTGATTGAACTCCTCGGATCTCTGAAGACGTCTCTCGGTCTGATCAATAACTTCATATCAAGTTTACCTATCGCCACATCTTCGCGGGTGGACCAAGCTTTTATGAACGGTATTCTGTTCCATGCTGGATGCTGTTATAGGCTACTGAACGAATTTGCTGTATGTGATCCATCATAATGAAGTCACTTCGTTTTGTCGACAAAACTCACCGAACGTGTAGGCGGACTCTCGAAAGTACACTCAAAGCTTGCTGAATGGCAATGGTGCTAAGACGAAAATTGCATTTCGGAAGATCAAATGGTCTCTATACAGCGCAGAAGATAGCCGACGGTTGGAGCGAAGACTAAGCACGCACATGGATGCTTTTGATCGCTACCTCCTTGCAATCAACATGTGAGAGACACTCGGACACTGAAGCGCAGATGCTGATTTTCCGACGTGTAGTCAAACTGAAACCAATTTCGCGGAAGAGTCTCGAGGACAAGTCAATCAAATCTCCATGAAAGTGGCAGCGATATTCGACACGGTCCAAACCACGAAGAATATGATGCCTAAGATGCTCGGATATCCATGGGAAGGCGACGTCCTCTCTTCGCATGTTCACATCGAGGACGTGTTGGGTAGACCGATAGTTCTACCAATCATGCTTTGTCGTACAAGAGAAACGTTGAAAAGCACCATGAGAATCATGTTCTCTGATCACCCCGGGTTGAAGGAAGTAGTGGAAGGCAAGTTTGAGCTCGTTGACAAGCAAAACCAGGTTACAATCTTCGATGGCCGCGGTAATACGCCTGGGATGGAGAATCCTTATTCTCCTTCGGATGCTGTCCAACCTGGCGCTAAGCTGTTGATGAATATCTTGCGTGTAAAGACTATTCATGCTCCAAAAGCCTCCTTAGTCACTTCCGTTCGAACCCTTGAGACCTGCCCAAGATGTGGCTTCGCAACTCCTGGCAGGCGATTCAGAAAATGGTAGGTACGTAGTTTGGACTGTCAGACTTCTGCTGACACCCACAGCGAGAATTGTGACATGGACTTCAAGAAGTCTATACAAGAGGTCTCTGGACCGATGCCGAGGGTGGTCGAGTTACGTGATTGGCCAGAAAAATTCCCACGTGCAAATGTAGATGCTGCACCACCCTTAGACTACGGACCTATGGAATTATCCAATCAAGACATGGACACTAGATATATTCGACGTGTCCATGAAATTACGGAGCATCTCGTCCCTATCCAGTACTGTGCCAACCACTTTGGTAATTCAAGGCTTCCCTTAATCCAAGCAGTTGGTCAAGGAGATCTTCATTGGGTCAGACAAATACTGCTGGAGACCGATACCGACCCAAACACTAGAAGTTTCCAAGGTTGGACAGCTTTACAACAAGCCTGCGCTATTGAGGCCGATTCTCCAGGGAGCAAAAACCAGGAAGCTATCGTCAGGCTATTAATGTCTCAGGGTGCAGATGTTAACGCTGTCCGTGGCGAGGGTTACGCCAGAACAGCACTACAAGCAGCATGCGAGTGTGGAAACGAAAGGATCGTAGATCTGTTATTAGAGAAAGGTGCTGACGTCAATGAAGATGTTGGTTCTTTCGGTGGACGAAGCTCTCTAGCATCTGCTGTTTGGGCACGCCATATCGGGATTGTGAAAAAACTTCTCGATCGAGGTGCAGACATTAATCAACCAAAGAGCGAGGAGCTTGGACATACCGCGCTATCGGCTGCGGCTCAGCTAGGAAATCTCGAGATGGTAAATTTTCTAATTGAAAATGGGGCAGACACACAAGGGTCTGCTGGCTCGTTTGCTTTGGAAAAGGCCATATATTGGGACCGGCTAGACGTGGCACAACGCCTTCTCGAGCTAGGCCTAGACGTCAACTATTGCACTGATGGCCCCGCGCCTCTGCACTCAGTAGAATCCATGGATATGTTAAACCTGCTGGTTTCTTACGGAGCTCGCTTCGATTTACCTGGCTCCAACGCCTCTGGACGTACTGCATTACAACAGGCTGCACGGTATCATAGCCTCGATCTAGTCACTGAACTCATACGTCTGGGCTCCGATGTTCATCATCCTGGTCCGCCAAGAGGTGGTAGGAGTGCGCTGCAAGCAGCCGCTTCAAGATGGTACGGAGATCATCTTCGCATAATGAGCTGTCTCGTCGAAGAGCACGGTGCGGATGTCAACGAACCACGTGCGGAAGAAGAAGGATATACAAGTCTTGAAGCAGCGTGTAATGCGACAGTCGGGCAGAAGCGCCAACGGAGTATTGATAGTGTCAAGTTTCTGGTCGAGAAAGGTGCCGTTATCACACCTTTTACGCTACATGTGGCCGCCGCGTGGAATCATACCAAACTACTCAACTTTCTCCTGCAAAATAGTGCGTGCATGGAACATATCAGCAGTCTGACCAACATTCCAATTGTTGAAGAATGTGATGGTGACTATCGCGAGTTTGGTCCGACTGTCATTGAGACTGCCAGAATCAATGGTCATATAGCGCTTGTAGAAGCTCTGGAGAATTGGTCACCATCGATCCCACTAGAAATGCATGCAGACGAGGGAGATTCAGACGAGGGAGATTCAGACGAGGGAGATTCAGATTGACTGTCTAGTTCCACGACTAGAAAGCACGTCTAAACCTCGAAGACAAGGAGCGATCATTGTATTTTCCGACGACACGACATCTGAGAATCAACGCTAGTCCCACATGACTATGCACAAGCACATCCTACACTACAAAGGCGAAAGGCTTTGGAAGAGGTAGACAAAACTCGAGTATCCCACCCACTACCCCACCAAATCCCCCAACTTCCCCGCCTCCCCAGCACCACCCCCAGCACCACCCGCAATCCCCACCTCCCTCTTAAACCTCGACAACCAATTCGGAAAATCCGCCGGCGTCTGATTCCACGGATCATCCCCATCATACATGATCCACCTCGCCTGATGCTGAATCTCCTCATCGCTCGGAACATGGCAATTCGGATTCTTGGGCGAGAGCGTCGACGCCGCCCACCGCCTCATATCGCTATCGAAGATGCGGTAAAAATTGGTGTCATCGGGTAGCAAAGAGCGCAAGCGACCATACATGTCTACCTGCGTGGCAGTAGTCGTCGTCGATTCGGTCAGCATGGGAGGAGGAGGCGTGTCTTCTGGGAAAGCGGGGAGGGAGGAGGTGAAGAAGTCGTGTGTCTGTTTGGAAGGACTTGCGGTGCCGAGAGCCGAGATTGAAGCTTCTTTGTAAGGAGAGTTTGGCCAGGAGAGGTCGAGTAATAACTGACTCGAGTCGGTTTCTGTTGGGAAATCGGTGGTGGTGACGGTATCGTAGATGGCAGCGCGTTGCTTGAAGGGCAAGATCCAGTTTGTGCCAGAGTAGATGCCTTTGACGATCCAGTTCGCAAACACGTCGGATGGTGTGCTAGACTCTTGTTCCATGCGTCGAATGATCTGGCATGCTTCGTTGTACAGTTGTACGTCGTCAAGACTCTCCCCCGCTGCAGTACGCTGGGTGACGAAGCCGCGGAGTTGCGCCTCCAAAGGGCATTGCTCGAATAAATGGTCTTTGGCATTTATCCGTAACGGAAAATGCCTGCTCTCGCGGGAGGATCGGACGGGCTGAAACCTTGCGCGTTCGGTCAACTCAGGAGAGGACATCATCAGGTCTCGAAGCCATGAAACCTCATTAAGACGATCTGGCATAACGGAAGTAGTCTCGGCCGCGAAGATGATGCGACAAGCTTCCAGCTGCATAGTATCGTTGTCCGGTAGGTGGCCATGCTTGTCGAAATAGCGCTGGATGAAGAACTCGGTCTCAACTTTGAGCAGCTCGTATGCGTTTGGCGGGGTACCCCAAGATGGATCGCTGCCTTTCATAGGAATAAGAGTACCTCTTTCCCAATCGATGAGATCTAGAGCGATGTCAGTTTGATAGAATCTCCAAAGACCAGCCGAGCAGTATCGTACCAGGAGGAATAGCGGTCTCGACTAATGGTACAACAGACGCGTCGAACCCCCAATCACCTTGCCAACTGGCCATTGTCACACCAGACTTGAAGTGATCAGCAATATGATCGGTTCTTTCCGACCATGTACTCATCGTGATGCCACAGAATCCGCATCTTGATCTGACGTCAGGTATAGGCAGCATCCAGCGGGCCATGGACCAATCCGAAAACTCGACGCCATGCACTAAGCGGAGGTGCTGGACTAGGTGGTCTTTGCGGTGAAATGTGCGCTCCTGGAGACTTCTCTCCTGACATGCCGAGTAGTGGTGCGCTTCAATATGTGCGTCATCCGGCCGAACCTCGCCGCAAAAGACACAACACTGCTCTCCGAGCGACTCCTTGGTAGTACGAGGGCCCTGAAGCGCGCAAATCCATCGCTCGAGTGGTAAATGGAGCGACTTTTCGTGACGCTGCCAGTCGTATTTGGTCTTGAAGACTTCCGTGCAGAAGGTGCATTGGTACGGCATGCTGATAGGTAGGGTGATCTCTGGTTCCAGACGTCGGCGTCGTGCGACCCTTTTCTTGCGTGGAGCACGACGAATTTTGAGAGAGTTTTGGGATCCCGATGAGCAATGGCCTGAAAATTCACTCGATTGCGATGTTCTTGCACTGCTTGCTGAGGACATGGCATATGGTGACTGCCATGGCTGATGGTATGCAAAACCTCCAGCATCTTCACCTGAGCACAGTTAGTAAAATATTCTCACTGAACCGAACAAAGCGCAGTGGTTGCAAGGTTGACAAGATGACTCACGTGAAGTGGAAGCCATGGCACGAGCGATATCGCCAACAGCCGCAGGTTCATGTTCTGGTGGCGACTCTACCCAGCGCTGCATCGGATCTTTGTGGTTCGATGCCATTTTGACAGCAGGTGTGCCAGGTCTCGGGATGATATCGATGGGAGAGGTGGGTGAGTTCTTTACTTGCGGCGAAGTCGGTCGAACGCTCTGCACTTTGCCGCGTCGACGGGCATTCGCAAACCAGTTCGTGAGCTGCGCCTTGTTCAATCCCGTACGATCCTGGAGGGCCAGCATCTCACTCTCAGTAGGGTAAGGGTGCTTTTGATGAACAGAAAGCCAATCTTTGAGCGTACGGATGACTTCTCTGGAGAAGCGGCTGCCGAGTTTGGGTCTGGAGATTGAAGCGCTTGGCGTAGGAAAGGGCGACGAAGATGCAGTAGAGTTGTTCGATAGATCCAAAAGCGACGAATCCATCATCCAATTTTCGTTATACTGACAGGATGCAGCGTTAGAAGCTGCCAGTGCTTCGGACAAACCGGCGAAAGTGCCATCGTCCAAGGTTTGATCTGAGCCGAACTGGTTATCCTGAAAGGCGAAGAAAGCATCCAGATCTGCTGCACTATCCATGTTGACGATTCCTTGAACTTCACGAGCATGAAGAGAGAGTTTGCGGGGTAGGAAGGTCGGTTTCCAGGGACACGCTAAGTTATTCTGATGCTAACGAAAGAAGGGATAGCGCACATGTCAACTACGCCTTACGCTAGGTTCGTTGGAAAACTCCGACCCAAAATATACTTGCTCCGCGCTCGTGTTCATGCTAGCAGTTAATCGTTACAGACGCGAATGTCCACTCCTGGACGCTGTCCTTCCACGCGGTTACTATCTGAATGCATTGCTGAATCATACAAGGCGTAGCGGCCGTTGAAACCTTTGCTGCTTCTTGGAGAAGCAGAGTATCAAGAATGATGCAAGACAAAAATCCGTACATGCGCACGTCCATAGGGGCCAGATGTTGTTTGGTTACAGCGCGCAACTGTGACAGTCTTCCAAGTAGTTGAACATAAAGACTCCAGTTCACATCCGCCTACCCTTCACGGTCAGTACCCAACACTACTCATACAGGTCTATAAGAAACTCACTCATCCACTCCCCCCTTTCCTCAACCTCGCCCAAGGGTCTTCAACAAAGCTGGGCAGGAAGTACGCTGTATCTCCATTCTCCGTCCTGACACCGTTGCGCAGCGAATTCAACTCTGTTCGAGAAATTGAAGGACCGCCAAAAGACACCATCTCCCCAGCAGATTGCTCGGCTGAAGCTGCCGGAGCTTGAGCACTTGCGGTCGGAGGCGCGTGTTCAGGAAGATTTTGGCCACGTGCTAGGAAGCTGGCAAGACCTGCATCTGCCGTTTGATTCTTCTTTTGTCTACCCAGCGTATTACTTTGGGCCTGCAGTTTCTCACTCTTGACATCTTCTGCACTCGCCACCTTTTTTGTTCTCACGCCCAGTGCAGTCGAGTTGGCACCGCTCGCGTCATTCGCATCGGGCTTGGCTTTGGGCGAGTGGTCGAATTTACGTTTCTTTGTACCGCCAAACGAAGCGAACCCCATAGCTGCTGCTATCTCGTCGTTTTCCTCGTCGTCCATATCCATGTTGGCGGATTAGTGGTGTGCCTGTTGAGCTGGGCCGCGACCAAGATCGCGATGAAGAAGCTTGCCTCGCTGAGCTACCGAGACGCGTACGTGCACGGACTGCTCCCTAACATGTCTGCATCGGCACTCGGAGCTTGGCAATTGCTACCTGCACGAACCCCAGCCGCATCCGCATTTCTCGTCCCACTATCCCCAAGCCATCACGGAGACCCACACTCCGAGACTACAACGGGGATCCACGCACCGGAAGCAGTATCCCTACCTTCACTACGTATGTTTACATATTTCCGGAAAAACTTACCTATAGACCTCGTTCCAGCAGAGAGCGATGATCTCCACTCCAATGGAGAAGGTCGCATCGTCGGGGCGTTCTTCCTCCGCACATGATGTCAACCGCAGGCGATATTCACGGGTACTGGCATAGTCGGACCGGAGCCTCGGGTTGCGCGGATGGGCATATAAGCTTCGATGTAATCCTTTGTCGTATGCTTGTGTCCAAGCCACATTCTTAGCATCTTTGGGTTCTCGAGATGAAAGCAGCTCTTCAGGTGTTGTTCGCCTCGCTGGCTGCGGGCTCTGTGCTTCCGAGAGGAGGTAATGACAGTGCAATTCCAGACGACGACTTTGTCTATGTGGATGGACTGCGATTGTATAATAGCGATGGATTATACTATCTTACTGGTAAAATCGTCTTCAGGTCTCTTGATGCCACAGGCTGACCATGATCAAGGTATCAACTACTGGGCTTGTATGAATCTCGCCGCAGGTCCATCCGCAGGCGGCAACTACTCGCGCCTAGTCACAGAGCTCGACCAAATGGCATCGAAAGGCATAAACCACCTGCGTATTATGGCCGCATCAGAAGGCGCTCCAACCCCACAGCCTTTTAGAATGAACCCGCCGCTCATGTCCGCCCCGGGCCAATATAACGAAGACGTCTTCACAGGCCTCGACATCTGCCTGGCGGAGATGTCAAAACGCGGTATGCGCGCCACCATGACGTTGAACAACGAATGGCAATGGAGCGGCGGCTTTGCCCAATACGTCTCCTGGGCCAACAACAACACGGCGATTCCCTACCCAGAGTCCTGGAACCTAACCGCACCACCGCAGCGCGAAACACCCGGGACGGGATGGGGAAACTACACCGAAGAAGGCGTGGACGCGGCTCCATACAGTAACTTTACGCGCTTCGCCAACTTGATCTACAACAACACGCAAGCCGAGACGTGGTACAAAGACCACATCAAAACCGTCATGAGCCGACGCAACACCATTACTGGGCGTTTATATACCGAAGATCCAACCATCATGACCTGGCAACTCGCCAACGAACCCCAGCCGAGTGATGAACTGGGGTACACAGGCCCATACAACATCTTCCTGGAGCCGAATCCCGACGACCTGCTCTTCCCCTGGGTCGACCGCATATCAGCCTACATCCGGTCTCTAGGCCCCAAGCAGCTCATCAGCGTGGGTCTCGAAGCCAAGCAAGGCGAATACTACTTCAAGCGGGTGAACAACTTTTCCACCGTCGACTACGCCACGACGCACTGCTGGGTGCAGAACTGGGGCGTGTACGACATGTACAACGCCACCGACGCCAATCTCGTCGCTGCACAAGATTTTGCGCGTGACTTTATGAAGAATTCGAGCCAGTGGGCCAAGGACATTGGCAAACCGGTTTTCCTTGAGGAATTCGGCATGGCGAGGGATAATTGGGAGAATGAGGATAAAGAGTATCCGTATCTGTCGACGGCTTCGACGACGCATAAAGATGCTTACTTTACTACCATTATTGGCGCCGTCATGGACGAATTTCGTAATGGCGGCGCGTACATTGGTACCTCGCCCTGGGCTTACGGCGGTATCTGGAGACCCGAGACGCAGCTTGCGAATGAGTTTGGTATGGTGTGGGCGGGCGACCCACCGCATGAGAGTCCCGGGTGGTATGATTTGTACGATGACGATCATGCTATGGAGATTGTGAGTGCGCAGCAGAAGATGATCAAGATGTGGATTGAGAAGCAAGGCAAGAACCAGACGGGTTATTAGCTAGATTAGCAAGTAAAGAAGAATTAATTCCTCTTGCCAAAGTATCAGGTCCTATCGATTGGACCGAGGAAGTGGACGTCTCCCTCGTCTCTGGCGCATATCGTCTCCTTTTCAAGCCCGAAGAGATCATGTTCTTCGTAACGCACGTGGTACCACAACTCTGATGAACGATATACTGCGATGCTGCCATGTATACCTATGAGATTTCCTTTGTTATCATACATCAACCCCTCTCTTACAAGAACCTGGTTGGCGAACTCTTCTTCAACACCAACGGATGCCTATGCACACTAGGCATAAGCCCCAGCCCAACCGCCCTCCGTATCGCCTTGGCAATCTTCCTCTGATTCTTAGGCCGTAAGCCCGTATCCTTTGAATGCTTTATTCGGCCCATCTCCGTCATGTACTCGGACATCATGGTAAAATTCTTGTACTCCAGGACGGGATTGATGCCCAGTACATCAAAGGCATCTTGCTGCGGCTTCTTGCGCCCGTACTTCCACTTCTTCTGCTCGGTCCCGCTGAGGTCGTGCGGCGAGTACACGTCGCCGGGCTGCCATTTGCGGTATATCTGGCGCTGGTACTGGGCTATGCGTTCGGATTCGGCGAGCTCGCGCGAGGGCGTGGTGCTGTCGAGACCGGCGCCGCGGGCGAAGCGCGACAAGGCGGAGGTGGGAGGGGGCGTGGACGGGGACTTGGATGGGGAACTCGGAGGGAATGGGGCACCGGTGTTGGAAGGGTGGCGGCCGGCGGTGGAGGTTTTGAGGATGTCGAGGACGTCTTCTGTGGGTGGTGTTAGATTCATGTCTGTGTGTGTGTGTGTGGAATAGAGGGATTGTCGGCTCACCTTGCTTCTTCGAGGCCGAAGAGAAGTAGCGCATGCAGGTTCTGCCTGGCGAGGGTAGGGGCCGAAGTGGTAATCGCATCACGGACATGTTGGCAGGTGGTGTGTCGCCTTTGCCGTCGTCGTGGTGACTTTTCGGGATGCGATGCGGAGCGGCCTCGGTGGTCGGAGGTTGGACTTTCTTAGCGCCATATGATTTCACGGCAGAGAAGAGCTTCCCGCAATGCTCCCCTCATTCGCACCTTGACCCCCGCGCTCTACTTCCGTCTCGTCTTCTTCGTGTAAATACTATTCCTCCGCCTATGGATACCCTGTTCGTGTAGATACAATCTTTCTCGGTGCGCCAATTGCACCCAAACAACTACGTCACTACGCTTTTTGTCCACCACTTGGCCAACTTCGCCGCCATGCCCTCGCACCTGACCCGCGTCGTTTTCCGCAACATCATCGCCAACGAGCCGCTGCTATACCGAGGATGTCGCTACCGAGCCCTTCGACCCCGCGTAGTCACGCAGCACGGCGCCCGCTCGCTCCCACAAACCCAGCGGCGGACCTTCTTTGGAGATCTGTTCAAACAGCGTCGGAAGCTCAAGCCTGCAGAGGCTCCGCCTGGACTGAGTAAAATGGCCGAGGTGTCATATGCGCAGGCGAACTCCGTCAGGCCGCCGAAACCGAGCGAGGTCGCGGATGCAATCAAAGACTTCTTTGCGCAGAGAAAAGGCACCTTCGAGGACTGGCACGTAGCGAGCGCACATCAAGCCTTTCAATATCTGCTGGGAAACCCAAGAGAAGACGGGCAGCCGTGGTTGAGTAGGCAGGATCTTGAGAATGTCATGGAGAAACTGCTGGATACTTCAAAGCGGCCCGAAGTTTTGGGCAATGCGCACATTATGTTCGGCCGGCTTGTCGTCGATCAAATGGCCAAGTTGATGGAGCAGCAGTCGGACAAAGGGGCGGATGAGAAGAAGAAGAAAGTGGAACACATGGGCATCCCACTCGACATGTACACCAAGTGGAAACAGATCCAAGTGTTGTCTTTGTTCGGCGCGACTACCGAAGCGAGAGACATGGCGGTGGAAGCGTTCAAATACGACGCAACTGCAAGTTCTCGGATACGTCATACCATACTGGCTGCCTGGCACACCATACTTGGAGGAGTCACCCGCGAGGGCGATTTGAACGAGGTATCCAAGACTATTGATGCTTTCGAAGAAGCCTCGATTCCCTTGACTAAACCCGCTCAAAACAAACTTGTATCATTCTACGCTGAGCGTAGAGACCTGGACAAGGCCAAATACTGGTATGCCCAGCCTGTTTACACCAAACTCAACCAGGAGCCTACGCAGCCATTGGGCAGCACCAGCTCTGCACTGCTCAAGGCTTGTGCCGCAGAGGGCGATTTGACCTTTGGTCAGCAGGTAATCGCAACTATGCTCAAAGATGACATGCCATCCAAAGATTCATGGGACGCAATCTTTCTCTGGTCCGTCGCGATTGGCAAAGGCCCAGACGAAATCGCTCGCATGATGGATGTTCTAGTACGCCGGAATGACGAAGCACGGCGCAAGGACCCGACTACCCCCGTGATACGGCCAGACACTACAACTATCAATGCCTTGGTAGAGCATTGCATGTCGAAACAAGACCCGTACATGGCCGAGCGCTACATTGTCCTAGGAGAAAAGCGCGGGATCCACCCCGACGAGACCACCTATATGATGCAGATGCAATACCGCATCTCCGTTGGAGACCTCGATGGGGCTAGGGCTGCCTACTTCAACCTACAAGGCTTCTTTTCTGGCGACAAGCGCAGTGTTGCAGTCATCAACGAACTGATCCGCGTCCTCTGCGTATCGAAACAACATCACTTTGATGAGCTCATGGCCATGGTCGACGACCTCCACGAGCGCAAAGCCAACTTTGACCCAGAGACTGTCGCAGCACTTACCCTTCTTCATCTCCGGAGAGGGGAAATCCATGACGCCATGGACCTCCTCCAAGTGCACGCACACCAGTACTCCCCCGAACAGCGGACAACCATCCAGGACGCGCTTTGCGTCTTCATCCACGACGGCGAAACCAGCACAGCAGATGCCTGGGACGGATACCAAATCCTACGCAACGTCTTCCCCGAAACACCCCGAGAAGTCCGCATACCCATCATGAACGAGTTCTTCAGTCGCAACCGTTCCGACATGGCATGCCACGTCTTCTTCCACATGCGCAACCACGTTTCCCCAACGCACACGGCAACCCGCGACGTCTACATTGCAGCCTTCACCGGCTTCGCGCGCTGCCAGGACGCCGAGTCGCTCGAACTCGCGCACAACCAACTCAAACTCGACCTCAATGTCGAAATGGATACCCAGCTGCGCAACGCCCTCATGCTGGCGTATGCGGCGACGGGCGAGAACCGGAAAGCACTCGGCTTTTGGCGCGAGATTTGCGAGTCGAGAGAAGGGCCGAGTTATAATAGTCTGGCGATTGCGTTTAGAGCGACCGAGGGGACGCACGCTGGAGGTGAGCATGCGAGGGCGATTTGGAAGAGGTTGAGGGAGCAGGATGTTGAGATTGATAAGAGGATCTGGACGGCGTATTTGTGTGCTGTGGCGAGGAATCATAATCATGATGAGGCGTTGCAGTTGGTTGAGAGTGTGGAGGAGGATTGGGGGTGGAGACCGGATTTGGATATGTGAGTTTTTTTTTTCTTTTTTTTTTCTTTCTCCCCCCCCCCTTCTTCTCACCCAAATTGCGTTTTTCTTGGAATTCTTCAGAGGATAAGTTTTTTTGCTAACGAAAGACGAAATTAGTCTGGGTGGCTGGTTCAATTGCACGGCGAATATCGAGAGGCAGCGCAGGGTCGAGGAGTGGATTAAGATGAGGTATCCTGAGGTGTGGGCTGAGATGGAGGCCCTGGGCCATTGGGTCACTATGGATGGATTTGGCTATCGACAGTATAATATTAATCGGGATCTTGATCCGTAGAAGGGAGGCAATGTGTGGGGTTTGGTGGTCTGGGGAGGCGGAGGGGAGAATGGTGGACGTTTCTCTCTCTCTCTCTCTCTCTTTTCTCCTCTGCTGATTTCCCTGAGCCTTGTAGCGCAGAGGTGTTCTATATAGCATCTGGCATATCGCAGACGCAGGCTGTGTTTGAATATAGGAGGGAAAGGAGGGAAATCAGTTCGTCGTCCTTTCTTCCATTACTTTGGTGATGCTGGACGTCTCTTGTCGGTCGTGGGTCATCGCTGTAGCATGGTTGAATGGATGAGTCTCACTGACCATCACGCATTCTCTTCTCACTGCCCCTCTTACTTTTCACTCGCATCTTGTTTCTCCTACTGGTCGAAGCTCCGTTTGTCACTCACGTGGTAAGAGCGCGCCTGTCAATCGCCCTCTTTGGCCTCGCTGTCGCTCTATATCAATTCCCTCATTTTCCTCTCCTGCTCCTTTCTCTTCCACCTACTCTCTCTCCTCTACTTCTTTCCTCAACTTGGCTGTGAAAGCCACTACCAAGACTATTCGGTAGCCCTAGAGCTGCTACTATAGCCAACTCAGTCCACCGCTGTTTCGGTCGGTCTAGCGACTGATTGGACAACGTAGGTGACTTGCCCGTCCGCAATAAGCTACAGAACCATTAGGCAATTCCCGCAGTAGTGATCATGCGAGTTCATAATTTCCTCGCTGGTTTGCTCGGCCTCGTCGGCCTTGCCATCGCTGCGCCCACACCACAGTCCTCCGCCGTCCAGCTCTTCCCCGACGTCTCTCAACCCACGGTCGAGTCCAATCTCGTGCCTGGTGCGCCCCCTCAATGCAGTACCTTGGACCCCGAAAAATGGCTTCTTCATGTCTGCGGCAGCCACACCACTGGCATCACCAACCTTCTGGGTCTCAACTTACTGAACCATTGCACGGCCCTTAGTCTCAATGTTAAACATGAAGTCACTGCTATGTCTCAATCAGACGGTATCATCTGCTATTTCTACGATGGGAGTAACCACTGTAATAGCGAGTATATGATCGCGACCGTCAATCGCCATACCGACATCCCTGCCCCGTTCGGTAAGCGAGCTGAGTTTGTAATGTGCAGGGGAAAACAGATGGGAGATGTCGCTGAGATCGAGGCCAGAGGGGAGGATGAATCCTCCCCTGACCTTGACTCTTTCGTTCAGCCCGACGAAAGCCGAGCACTCGTTTCTCCAGTCTCCAATTGCATCACACCCGACTCCAGGAACCACTTTCTGAACATCTGCACCGAGGATTCCTACGGCAACGCCTTTCCAAACAGGTGGATAGATACGTGTGTGCAGCTTTCTCCAAATGTTGCGCATCATGTCACCATCATCGTCCAGAAGGCGGGATTGATGTGCAAGTTCTACGACGACAGCAACGGGTGCAGCGGCAATGTACGGTACATCACCCGGACCATTGATAAGCCCCATAGGTTTGAGCCACCCGCAGAGTTTGGGAATAACCTCAAGTACGCATTGTGTCGAAGGGGCGAGTGGAAGAGGGATGCTGGCGAGCTTGAGCTTGAGACCCACGACGAAGATGTGACTCTCGATACGACCATTGGTCAGTCCACCAGGACGGATACCAATGAAGTCACCACCTCGACCAAGACAAAGTATCTCCTTGCGAGGATCTCCAGTGACATTACCAGTATTGAGCTCAAGGAGAACTCCATGTACATTTGTACCAGGCTAAGCGATCGCGTCGGTCGTCGTGTCGCGCACACGACCCAGCATAACTTTGCTGCCTGTCAATTCTTCGCATCCAACTGCGATGGCGCTCCTCTCCTGACCCTCAAACCTAACATGTTCGGATACCTTGATCAGGCCATCTCATCGGAAGTTGGCAGCCAGATCACACACGTCAAGTGTGGAATCTATGGCTTTCCTAACATCAGTGCACGAGACGAGGATACATCCTCTGACGTCGCCATTCCCACTGCCTCCAAGGTAGATCTGCCACTCATCGCGAAGATCATCAGTAGCACTACTAGCATGGATATTGACGAGGGGCTTGCTAACCGTTGTAAAAAGCTCAACAACCACGTCGCTCACGACGTAAAATACACGTCTTTACGATACGACATCATCTGTGCCTTTTACGAGAACAACGGCTGCGGAGCTGGTCGCAAGCCTCTTGTCGTTATCAGGCCCAAGGACGCGGCTTACTCGGACGAACCGATGGCGTCGGACCTTGGCAAGAAGATGACACACGTCAAGTGTGGTATCTGGAACATGCCTGATGAGACGGAGATGCCTCACGGCTCTGTTGACATGTATGCGCGCGATAAAGATGCGTTCGCCACCGCCGCCGACATTATATACGCGACAGACCCAGATACTGCCGACGATTCTGCCGTCACCGACGTCGTGTACGCCACGCACATGTACGCAGACACTCAGGTCTCATCTATCGAGGAAAGCGCTCTGGATCAATGCTACCGGCTTCCCAACGAAACGATCAAGCAAGTCACTTGGATCGAGCAGCCGCAAGGCTACGTCTGCGACTACTACCAGCGCGACTGCCAAGATGGCAATGTTTTACGTACCCTTGATACTCGGGAGGCGAAGTGGTCGTACCCGACTGAGCCGGAGGTAGGCATGCAGATTGAATACGCAATGTGCAAGCACCCTTTTGACAAGCGCGATGGTCCTGTGATGAGCGAGGGCACGATTGTGAACTCGCCGTTGTCCGTTGTGGCTTCGTCGTTAGTCACTTTAGATTCGCGAGTTCCTAAGCTTCCTGCTCTTGAACGGGGTCAGCTTCGCACTGGTGAAGATATTCATAATAAACAGATCCGCGCGGTGGTCAACGCACTAAACGGTTGCGTCAATTTCCCGACACACCAGTACCCCAATTCAACTCGCACGCTCGACCAATCTGGTCTCACGATCTGCAAGTATTACGCTGAGGCCGAGTGTGCTGAACCTCTTATGCTCGATGCTCTCAATGACGAGGAGAAGGATTGGAAGATCCGCAGCGACTTTGCACAAAAGATCAATTCGGCAAAGTGTACCATCTTCGAATCTGTCGCGCCTGCGAGTATTCGGGCCCGTGTTCCTGAGCCTACTCTCGAATGGGGTCAGCTTCGTATCGGAGAGGATCTAGGCAATACACACATTCGCAAAGTGGTCAGCGCACTGAACGGCTGCGTCGACTTTCCTACACCCATGTACCCCGATTCGATCCACTTCCTTGAGCAGTCCGGTCGCTCTGAATGCTTATTCTACAGCAAGTCCGCGTGTCCTGATGCTCCCGTCTTCCATACCCTGAACTCAGAAGAGAAAGACTTGAAACAGCCTACCGAACTTGCGCAGCAGATCAGCTCAGCACAGTGTACCATCTTGGAGTCAATCGACATTCCACCCGCGAGCATTAAGACCCGCAGCGAACTTCTCCCCCGAGTCAAAGCAAATGACATCCAAGTGACCGTTGGCCACTCAGTCTCAGCACTGAGTACCTCATCCCTCAAAGTCGCCGACCTGTATATTTGTAACGAGGCCAGTCTTGACCCAGCACACTGCACCGTTCTACACACTCTCAACGAATGTGTAGCCTTCCCAGGACCTTTTGCCTACCAAGCCAAGGTCATCACGCAAGCCAAGGGCTCACTCTGCAAATACTACACCAAGCCAGGCTGCATGGACGGCGACTTATACTTTAGCTACATGTCGAACCCAACCCAAGATGCACGGTTTAGTGGATGGGGTGTAGAGAAGCTAGCTGGAGTATGGTGTGGCGGCACCGGTGCCACCTCGACAGCCGACGTCAGCGCAGTCAACACACACGCCTCCATCGATTCCTCCACCGTCGTTCCCTCCAACCTGGCGAAGCGCGGTAACCCCTTCTATCACTGGTCCACCTCCCCTGGCTCCACATCCATCTGCCGCCAACGCAACTTCGCCTTCTGCACCAACAACGCCGTCAACGCGCTGCACCAATGCGTCAGCTTTGCTCCTGCAGATCAGGGCCCGGCGTCCATGATCCAGTATGCTGGGGTGTATTGTAAATGGTATGCTGATTCTGGATGCGCGAGTGGGGAGCATAAGGCGTACGATTTCCTTGATTCGCGCAAGGGGGATGCTTATGCGGATGGACTTTCTAGGCTTTATCGGAGCGTCAAGTGTGAAAAGGATGCATGGTAGACGGGCATCGAGGGCTTCTGAGAGACTTTTGGGGGTGGTTTGGTTACTATATGAATGAGGGTTAGTTGAATGGGCTCGTCATTTCATCGTGCTCTGGTGGACGACATGGTGGCTTCTCTAACTTCTTTGGGTACACAATGAATCTCTTAACAAGGAACGGATTGAATGTGCTCTATCATTCCTGTTGTGAGGATCAAGTCGCCTACGCACTATTTGTTCTCCTCACTGCTCTTTCATGATGTTGGAAGGCTTGAGGGTGAATTAGTGGGTGAGAGAGTCAAAGGAGAGTCGTGAGTGAAAAGCGGAAGGGAGAAGGAAGGAAAGCTGTAGCAGTAAAAACACATGGAAGCCAAACATGACGAGAGATACCACGCTGCTGGTAGTATCTGTGCGTATCGTAGAGCTACCAGTCTTCGTACAAGACATTCCTCAACCCCGCTATAAGTCCGCAAGACAGTGACGTCACCACTCACGCTCTCCTAAGCAATCCTTGTGTATTGGGGCTGCATCGATGATAACATACTATCAACAATAAACCATCTGGTAGTGCAGGATTTGGCGCTAGCCTACGCATCGCCAGGCTGTAGTCTGAGGTCAAGCCCTAATCATTCGGCACATTCGCTTCCTTCACATAGTACCCTGTCGTTCCTACATATGAAACACTTGACTTGAAACAATGATAACGCTTCAATGTCATCACAAACCCTACTAATCATGCATGTACCGGTATGCGCGGGATCGACGCGGGTGTGCGCATCAACACGGTCCTCATCCCTGCAAAGCTGACCGGAACCGGGACGATCTTTTCATCACCGCATGATTGCCTAGGCATGTCATCTCTACCTGCATGGCTATCCACACGTATGACCACTATTAACCCATCACAGGCGCTCTAGTGATCACCAAGGTAATATCATCGCTATCAACGGGTGGAGTTGAGATCCAAGAAGGCCGTGGTAGTGACTCCTCTTCCGCTCTAGGCGACAGTGAATAGCGCAAACACTTATCACGACCAGAACAACATCTTGACAAATTTCCAGGGTTGTTCTTTTCTCGTGATCTTCACAATCACACTCTATCAATCTCAGTACTGATTTTATCCAACAGTCGATTCTGCTCCAACTTGCGCTAAATATGGAGCCGACAACTCAAACACATGGGGACGTCAAAACCGTCCCTACCACACCACATGTCAAAGCGACTCAGACCATCGATGCAGAGCATACGCCGCCGACGCCTTCCAAGCCAAAAACAAAGGAAATCACACCCATACTGAATTACGAAACAGCAGATTTCACAGTCATCTGCGAGGGCCAGCGATTCGCAACGCATAAAAACGTTCTCGAAGCCTCGTCACCATACTTTGCGCGCATGTTTCGTTTCCACGGCAGCGTACATATGATCAACCGAATCGACGGCTGAACAATGCTAACCCAATCTCAGGAGAGCAGCGATAAGGAAGTAGAGATTCCCGACGTCGACGCCATCACCATGAAGCACGTCCTTGACTTTATGTATACATCAACCTACCAGTTTCCCGAAGGCACACCAATACCATCGACAGACTACTGCAACCACAGCACCTTCGCTCTCTTGCACGGTCCTGATAAAGGCTCGCAGATCTTCAAGCGCAAATGTCCTTGTGCTGGCAAGTCGCTGTCCGCTTCTCATCTTCTCCTTCATGTGCATGTCTACACCGTCGCCGATTACTTCGACATGGACGATCTGAAAATCTATGCACGACAGGGGGTGGTAGACGTTCTGCATGTGTATTGGCAGTACAAGGGCTTGGATCTAGCTGATGCGTTGGAAGAGGCTTTCACATCTACGCCGGACGACGACACAGGAATTAGAGATGTGCTGGTAGATGCGATGAAGGAGCATCCAGGACTGGTAGTTGATGAGGGTGATGTGGAGGGTTGGTTGGAGGAGCATCCTGAGGTGCGTGAGAGGGTCAACTGGGATGACTACATGAAACCGCTCAAGCGGGGGGAGAAAACGTAGACGAGAAGGCAGCTGAATCCGCGTGGGCGACGCGTCGAACGCGTTTCGGGATTAGCGTTCCATCACCTGACTGATGACGGAATGATTTTCATGCAGATCTCCACCAACCAGATATCCACATTGCGAGTTTCTCTTTCTCGTTTATACCCCGTCAACTTTCCGCGCTCTTCGCAAGTGAGAAGATTGGACATAAGTTTGGTCTCGAGGATTGAACGCGATAGGATGGCTTATCCAATCCATGAATCTCCGTGTCGTTGACGACTGGTCAGGTCATTTCAGTCGTTACATCACGCAAGGCTAACAACATCACCAGATTACGAACCGGGGCCTGGTTCAAGATACCTTGGCGCAGTTTGACGGCGGACGAATTAATAATATCATTGCACACGCATTGTGTCCTTATTCATACGACTCACTGACCATCATGTCAAAGAGCGCCAGCTAGCGTTGCTCTGGCTACACAACTTCTCTCTGCGAACTATGCATCGCACTCTTCTCACCAAGATCCTCTTGTAGCTTGTCCTCTGGCGCAAACTCAAATACTGAGAAAACAAGTTAGTCACGGAGAAACTAAGTCGGTGAGAAAAAGGACACAGAAACTTACAGTCGACGGTAGCAGTGCGGAACTTGCGGGCGGGCGTCTTCTTCTTGAAGAGGTAGTCGATTTCGGCAAAGGACCGATCCTTGGTCTCGGGAAGGAAGAAGAAGATCCAGATCACCCAGAGCAAGCAAAAGCCAAAGTAGAACATGCCAGTCTTCGCGCCCCAATTCCATGCGGTGGGATCGTTGTTGAGCATGCGGGGGTTGAGCTGCTGCACAGCAATCTGGCCACAGACGTAGAGGGAACGACCGATGACGATGGTCTGAGCACGAACACGGGACGCGGACATTTCACCCACGATGACATAGGTAGTCGGGCCGAGAGAGATTTTGAAAGCGATTTGGACGAAGATGAGGAAAACGGCGACGGGGATGGCGACGTCCGTGGCGGAATCCACGGCGAAACCCATGATGCCAACGATAAGCATGCAGAGGCCGATGGATGCAGAACCGTAGAGGTAGAAGGTACGGCGGCCAACCCGGCCCATTGCCCAGATAGCGATTGCGGTGGCGAAGATGTTGACTGACTGGATACCCATTGTGTAGCTGAAGGCGTTGGTGGCGCTCATACCGATAGCGCGAAGCATCTGTGCCGCATAGTTGGTGATGGACTGGCCATTGAAAATCTGGATGATCCAGGCCATGGAGACAATAAGAGTACGGCGCTTGTTCTCGCCCCGGAAACAGTCAGCATAGCTAGCGTTCTCGGCCTCCATCCTTTCCATTTCGTTGGTGTGCTTCATAAGGGCAAGAGTCTCGCGCATCGATTGCTCGGTGTAGTGTCCTGGGCGGGCCAGACGGCGCAGGCTCTTCTCGCATTCTTCAATCTTGCCACGGCGAATCAGGTACCATGGTGACTCGGGGGCGAACCATGCGACAAGGAAAAGAGGTGGGATCCACATCCACTGGAGACCGTAGGGGATCTTCCAGCCGGCGTCGCTTTCAATGGTGATGGTACCTTTGAGCACACCTGCGGCCAAGAACGAGCCAGCACCCCAGCACATGGATACCCAGGCTGTAAGGTAGCCACGCATGGCGGTGGGAGCAATTTCAGCAGCGTAGGCGGTGGTAAGGGTTTGGAAGATACCCCATGGGATACCGCACAAGATATTACCGACGAGAAGCATTTCTACACTTGTCGAGAAAAAGAGAATGAAAATGGTGGCTGCCATGAGGACCATCGCACCCTAAAGGAGAAGATGATTAGCGGGTTTCCAGTTATCGTGTCAAGAGGAGACCTACCAAGTACACCCTGCGAGAACCGTAGCGAGACTGTAAATAACCATTGACCAGGAGACCGAGGATGGATCCAACGTTGTTACCGGCGCCGATGATCGTTTGCCATTGTGTCGAGACAACCAGGTCGCCGTCGGCGTTGTAAGTGTTACCGAACCTCCGCTGGTAGGCGGGATGGGCAAAGAAGTTGTTGATGAGACCGACATCCATCCCCTCCATGACCAGAGCCATCGATAAAAGACAGGAATAGATGGCGGCAGGCCGGTAGCGCTTGAAAAGCTCCCCACGTGGCAGCTGAGTTTCTGCCTCAGAGGCGGCGGCCGCAGCCTCGACGAGCTGCTGCTGCGTCGAGTGAACGCCTGCATCGAAAGAGTCTGGCCGTGGCACCGACTCCATTTTGGCGGAATCCTGCACCGTAGCCATTGCGATATCAGCCAAAGGCAACTGAGGCCGTGGTCCGGTCAACTACACCAGAGGACTGATGCGATGGGTAGAAGATTCGCGGTGCGCGAGGCCACCAGGCGATGTTGGTGAGGAGGAAAGAAGGGAGAGGAAGAGTGCTGATCCGTACAAGGGGTGTGAGTATTAGGTTTCTATATGTTGGCACCCTCGGCCACCACTGGCCCGAAATTTCTTGGAGTCAATCGAACAAGCAGGTAACATAGTCACGCCCAGCGAGGGCGAAGACAGCCACGAGACCGCCACGAGAGCCAAGATGCGGGGATGGCTCCCCATGGGGTCGGTTGCGCCTAATGTGCAACCTGATTGGTGTACAAACTACGCCACACCCAGACGGGATTAGCAGCCAGCCGAAAACCAAGCTGATAATTGAAGGAAATTCCGGAGATCCGGACACGAATGACCCTGAAAGGAAGCAAACCCAGGTTCTTCCTCTGTCGGTCACTTCAATAAAAGAGTGACTGTCTAGGTCGACGGCGCTGTCATTAGCTTGCTAGACCGTGTGGTAGGCTAGCGGGGTTGCCGTGGCCGTGAACGTGGAAGAAGCCATACTGACGCGCAGCACCGCAGACCTGAGCGACGACTCTATCCTTGATCTCTCTCCTTGCTAAAGGTCCAGGTACTGCGATCGATAGTGTGGAGTTCTGAACTAGCGTCAGATGGAAACATGGCGATATGCTCGTCTGCTCATTCTGGAAGAACCGGATCTGGGCGGCTATACACCAAATGATAGAGACATCCACAGATGCTGTATCATGCAAGACCAAGGGTTTGGTGCCAGCTATCAGGCCACCCTGGTTCGTCGGGTTCGAGACTCGGAGATTCTGCCTTGGCCTGCACGCTTACATCCGAATCACGACTCGTCAGGACTGTGTCCAGCACAACGGGAACGTATCACTCCCACCTTTCGGTTTCATTTCGACCGGAGATACTGCACGAGGCGGCGACGTCGGTCTTCGCGGTTTAGTTGCAACGAGGTACTGGAAGCCACGGTAGGTAGCCACTATGCTTGTCTGTTGCACAAGGCTCGGCGCCGCCGCTTGCGCGCTTGGCTGGCTTACGATATTCATGTGAGATGAGATTAGCGCGTAAGGACCTATCTAGCGAGGCGACTTAAAGATAATAATCACTCGGACACGGAGGGATAATATGCAGCAGAGCCAATGTTGGCTTCCTCTGCTTCGCAGTCTTAGACTCTGTTGACTTTAACGAGCTCTCTAACCGGCAGCAGCAGAGCCTGATTGGACCCTACTAGAACATTGTGAGGCCAGAACCAGAGGGACAAACGACCACTAAATGAGAGGACTTCGATCGCACTGCCAAAGTCACGGAGAAACCCTCGTCGCAGCTCCGTAAAATCCCCGAACTGACCCAAGCCAGAGCACATTCGTGACGAGCAGCACTTTTTCTGCCAAACCAAGATTAATTGTCGTTCAGAAGTCGTGTGGGCCTGATTTACGATGCCGCGTATGCTACTAAATGATTCGAGGCGAAGGTGGGTACCTGCATGTAAGGCGTTGTAGTCGGTGACAGTCCCGGAGATACATGTCGTACTTGGCATTGGAATCAGGTAACGGGCCGCGAGATGTAATACAAGTCATGGAAAGAAACGTGATTACGCTCGATAAGGATGCATATGATGAAAGTAGCCACTGCTAGAAAGATTACCCAGACATCTGTTTAGCTCGCTTGCTTCCCAAATACCATTCGACATTCTGGTCTACATTCAGATTTGACGGATCGATTTTCGGTGAATCAATAGTAAGCTTATCCTTGACTTCATTTGCCATTACAAGCGCAAGCAAACATGTACTGTAGCTGTACTTTATGTCATTCAATATCGTGGAGTTCAGCTTATAGCGGAAGCTGCAGACATTTGCATATATTGTGAGCCTATCTGAGCAGATCAGGTTGTCACATCTCTCCATCGCCCTGAATAGCAGCCAGTGCACCAAAGATTTTGACGTATCTCTTTCGTAATAGAAAGATTCCAGCAAAAGCCGATGTACATCGGCATTATCAGATGGAGCTGGAGGGCGAAAAAACGTTGTTATGCACATGGTGCGAAATGAGAAGCCGACATCGTTTCCAATCCAGTCCAAAGGCAACTGCGCAGCAGCGTCGCTTTTGTTTCCAGCTGGAGCTAGCAATACGCATGCTGAAGCACATAATCTTTCCTGGAATGTCCAGGCGCGTGTGAACCATCGGTCGGAAAGTATAGAGGACATGATCTTGTCAGAGTTCTTCTTGAAGTCATTGTAAAGCGGCGAGATATCAACACCATCCGGCCAATTTTCAAAACGTGGCTTGGATGGGTGTTCATCGGTATCGAACTCAAAGCAAGACACTCGCGTTCTCTGATCGTCGTGGTGCGAATGGAGCGCCAGAGCGCTGAGCATGGCGTCGGGAACTTGTTTTGACAATATGGCAACGGTCCATTTACTTCTCTTGTATATCTTGTCCATGATCTGCAGGTGCCTCTCTTTGTCTTCTGCGTTGTCCTGATATATGCACTCTTGATCGATCCAGATGTAGGGAATTTTGCGTGCTCGCGCGAAACACCATGCACGGTGAAATATCATAGTAGGACAGTTGATCGATCTGGAGGGCGCATCTGGAGTAGCTTGGTCCTTGATCCGATAGTCTGGTATAGGCATTGATGCGTCTATCTCTTGCGAATGGGCCCAGGTGTATGAAACGGATATGTACTCTTCACCAGGTGGAAGTTCACCTGGCAGGGTAAGGGCATATTCGGAACAGTGCTCATCTGTCAGCCAGCCGGTGGAGAGCTGATGAGGCGTGATGTATCGTAGGCTCATGGGCGCATTATCCTCGACGACTTTCACTAGAGCTTTTTCCAGGATGTCGTTTACGCTGGAAATCAGATTTTCTCTACTCCCATGGATATCGCGGAATCTACGGTGCGAGTCTCTTTCCATGTTCGTTCCTTTACACAAACGGGCCGGCGCAGTGAGTTTGCGGTGGTTCCGATTGGAAAATCGCTTTCTGGAGTACAGAGCGTATGAAGTGCGGAAGGAAGTGTGGATGACTCTTCAGAGAGCAGCGACGACAACGTTGGGCAGAATGTGCGTCAAAAATTTCCTAGGGACGGAAGTGGTGAGTGGTGAGGGGTGTAGAGCCCAAATTCCGGTGGAAGCTGTAGTTACTGACACCAGGCTGCGTTGTGGCTGAGGCTATGCCAATGTTATGCAGGGATGCATGAATCTAGTGGCTATTCGCAGACGTCTGTCTTGATCGATCATATTTCCGTATTGAGGCGCAGTCGGAACGTGAATTTTGTGAATGCTTGTATTGGGGCTGCGTCTACGCCTATGTGGTGACTTTACCAGGCTGTCAGTGTTAGTGGTGGTTCTTGAATGTGGTACACGCTGCATTTTCGCGACTCCAGTTTTTGGAGTTACGTTTTAGACTCGAACAATCATACATCCTGCGCACTCTATGCGCAGGATGTTTTGCTTTAATATAGTTTAGTTGTTGTTGTAGTAGGCATTCCTGCATCTGAGAGTGGTTGATCAGGCGCCACGATCCCTCGTTAGTAATGATAGTGACGCTATGCATAGCGACGTACGAAGACTCGCATGTTTGAAAATAGATTCAGCAGCTTCGGTCTAGATTAGGGCTGCTTGCGAAGTCGATCCTGTCGTTGTCGTGGCATGGCCTTTGTGGTTGCGTCTTCTGGTCCCATTGCTAGAAACAGAATGTGATGCATTACATTTCTCCGTCAGGATGAATAAATTGCAACACGAGGCTGGACCATGGTATGTTAGCGCAAAATAACAAGGCCCATCTGCACCTCTATAGCGAGAGTGCACTGCAATTCTTAGCATGGACGAGCGACTGAAAAAATCGTAAGGCGGAAACATCCACCAAAGTCCTCACGTGAGGGCGCGACAACGTTGCAAGCGCTGTATGGCTTCGGCGCGTAAAGCCGTCGCAATTGGCCGGGAGGCATGTGCGGAAAGTCAGGATCTGCTGCAGGGTGATGCGGCCCCAGAAGCAATGACAAGCGAGAGAGGAAAACAAGAATTGGCGGGTAGAGTACACGCGGTCCGGCCTGTCCAGTGTGCAAAGCAAGGTTGTACCTGCGAGGTCAAGATGATGTCCAAGTTCAGGCGTTGCGCCTCCCGCGGAGCGTTGCGGATGGCTTTTATTGACATGGCGATGGGTAACGGGAAAGACAGTAGTATTGATGGAAACAAGTTTTGATCAGTAATAGAGCCGTGTTTGCGGGATGCGCCGGGTATGTCACGTCGTGATGTTGGGCGGTGCGGGAAGTGGTGTTGAGGGTTCAGCCTCCTATTATTGGGCCCCAGCCCCCATATTGCGATGAATAATTGCATCATGGCGTCGTAGTCAACCAGCGCACCGCTGTGTCAAATCTCACGCAAGCGTGCCCTGCTTTCCCTTTTCCTCTTTTACCTGTGACGGATTCTCGGCATCCTGCAATTGCATTTCCTGATCTATCCCCCCTCCCTCAGCATTGTCTTGTGTTGTGTTGCGCGCCCACACAAGATTGATCTGCCTCGCACCCCCACAACTAGCGCCGGCATCGTCGGTCTCAGGCCAGGAACTGCTGTTCCCCCAGACGACGCCCACCCAAACACGCCAAATCCTCAACACCACCGCTACCACATCGCTGCCAGAGCGCGCATTCTCGCGGCCAGTGTCGCATACCCGACTGCCTTTGCCATGCCGGCCGTACGCGACCACTACAATGCCATTGCGAACATGGCGCCCCGACAGCCTGCTCTAGACGTCCCAGCCATTGTCCTCCCTGCGCCCAAGACAGCACCCATGGCCAAGCGACAGAACATCATATACACCCAGCAGGGTATAATACCCACCTACTACAACCTCTCCGGCCCGGAGCCCGGCACCGTCGTCGGCATAGTCCTAGGCAGCGTGGCCGGTTTCCTCCTCATCTGCTGGCTCATCCAGTCGCTGATGAACACCAACAATAGGACGGGCACGACGACGGCCATGGCGGGAGAGGAAGAGATTGTAGTGAAAAGGCGACGCAATTCACATGGCGGACGCAGCTCGCGACGCCGGTCTGAAGTGCGCGAGATTAGCAGGAGCCCGAGACGGAATAGTGGGCGGTCGCAGATTATTGTCGAGGAGAGGAGGCAATCGGCGCCAAGAGCGAGGAGCATCATCGTCGAGGGACGGCATCGTGTACCGGGCGATGACGTCGTCGAGGTCATTGAAGAACACGAGGACTACCGCGAGAGGAGAGGCACCCGCGGAGGCCGGGGATACCGGTAAGTCTTGGGATGCTATCAGATGAGGAGACAGAGGTGCTAACATATTCAGGTGAGCAGAGAATAGCCGATAGCTCTCCCATCGCGCCTCATTTCTCCGATCAAACTCGTCGCAACACACCCACATTCTTACGTGCGACCTCTCTCAGCCGTCGCACCATGGATACCCCCAGAATACCCCCTTGCTTCTACCGTACTCTGTTTTCTTGCACTGCATCTACTTGTTTCTCTTCTTCTCTGTACCATAATATGGCATTTCCCTAGCACTTGGCGTTCGAGTAGCGGCATTGGAAGCGACGACACCCCAGTATGAAAGCGGAGGATTTGCAACGGTGATGGACATGTGCCGCATGATGCGTTTGATGTAAAGCGAGATGAGCCTCCAACCTTGTAACGTATGGGAAAATGATTGTAGTAATGCTCACTTGCAGGTATATAGTAAATTTATGATCCGTGAGATCAAAGTAGTGATAGCAAATCGGACCCAGCATTGACTTGCTTGCCACATGGTCTTCCTCACATCTACCCAATGTGCGTTCGTACATCTTGTCTGTCGCCGCGCTTCTCCTATCCTGTTTGCAAACGCCTTGTTGCAAGATGCGTAGCTTGTGCACTCTCGGCTTGACGAGCGTCTCGTCCCGGTAGCGCGCGGAACTTGCGCTGATAATTCCGCGCTCTACAAGGCTGTTTGTCACACGGCTGCTGTACCATCCGAGCGCATTACACACGATTGGTACTTGCTCTATCAACCACGACTGTGCAATTCGGCACTACGAACACCGCTCTGCTTACCAACATCCCAAACACGACCACGATACTCGGATACATAATGTCGATATCGTACTCTCTGTTTGGGTTATCACCGACTGAGGCAACATCACCGCATCAACCCTCCATAACAATAACCTCATGTTCTCACGCATCGCACAATCTTTCAAAAAAGAGACGGCATCACCCACCAGCAGGACCCATCGCTCTACCAGGAACATGAGCAGCAAGCCTAGTACGACGACAATGTTCCGCGGCCTACCCGTCATCCCGGACGAAACCTACACCACAAACACTCCACGCAAAATCTCCAAATGCTTTCTCGCCGCCGAAGTGGAAGAAGGCGTCGGAATGCGCGTACGTCGCGGAATCGGCCTGGCCAGATTACCTCACCTGAGCCCTTTTATCATGCTAGATCACTTCAACAGTACTTTTGGAAACGACATGGATGCCAGTGCACCCGACCATCCCCATCGCGTAAACAACAACCCATCTTCTTTAAACCCTTTGCACTTTCCCTTTTCCTTTCTCTTCCTCTTCTTCCCCCAGCAAAGCCACCAAATATCCTACGTGTTGTGAAACTGACAACAATCCATCACTTTCCCAGGGCCAAGAAACAATCTCCTACATCATCTCCGGCGGCGTCGACCACGAAGACTTCGCGGGCAACAGAGGCACGCTTGAGGCTGGAGATTTGCAATTCATGACTGCGGGGAGGGGCATCATGCACAGCGAGATACCCATCCACAACGGAAACGGGGAACCCAGTGTAGGCATGCAGTTGTGGGTTGATTTGCCCAAGGAATTAAAGTACTGCGAGCCGAGGTATCGAGATCTCAAGGCCAAGGAGATTCCTGAAGCCGGGGGAGATGGCGCGAGGTAAGTTCTTCCGCATTCTGTCGAAAAGTAAGGAGAGAGAGAGAGAGAGAAGTGATCAGAAATGGGCAATAGCTGACGAGGTGCCCGTTTTTTGTTCGCCATCTTTACAGAGTCCATGTAAAAGTTATAAGCGGCCTATCATTTGGTGTCGAAAGCAAAAAGGAACTCTCCTACACACCAGTTTGGTACCTGCACTTCACCGTGCAACCAGGCGGTTCCTTGCACCAGTCCTTACCGCAGACTTGGAACGCCTTTGCCTATGTCCTCGAGGGCGCTATCCAAGTCTCCAACGGCAACAGCAGCGACGCCAAATCTCCATCGCGATCAATCGGACAATTCCACATGGCCGTCTTTGAACAAGAGGGGGACAGCGTATCCATCAGCGTCAGCGCGGATGCAAAAGAGGCTGCAAACTTCATTCTGGTTGCGGGGCTGCCGCTGGACCAGCCGATTGTTCAGTACGGCCCGTTTGTGGTTACGAGTAGGGAGGAGGTGCAGCAGGCGGTGAGGGATTTCCGGAGGGGGGAGAATGGGTTTGAGAGGGCGGTGGGTTGGGTGAGCGAGAATAGTAGGTCGAGGAGGAATTCGGTCGTGGTGTGAAGGATGTTTGGTTCTTGGTGTTGTGGAAGAAGTAGTGGCCGTATATATTGGTGTTGGTTCAGGAAATGGCTCGAGAGTCTGTGGACAGTTGTGACATTTTGTCGCTTGTGGTAGAGCGCTATGTGGTGGGGGTGATTGAAGAGATTATGCTGGTTTCACTTGTCCGAGTATCTCACTGGTAGTTGTAACTATGAGTCTTGGACGCATGAAAAGCTTGTCTTGCCTGAAGTGATACCCCGACTGGCAAACTTACCGTAAAAACATACAGTGAAATTCGTGCTGTTATACCCTTAACAAATCTCCTATATATGCCCTCGAGGTATCTTCCCATGAGTCGCCACACTCAGTTTCAATGGACAATCTTCGACCCCGAGCCCGCCTCGTTCCCTGTTCCACCGTCCTACATGACCCAGAAATCAGCCTTAGCAAAAGCTCACAACGCCATAAACCCCATCCCATCACTCAAACTTCATCCACCGGCGACGCAACAAACCTCCCTCCAATCCCCGGATCTACCAACATGTCAGCGCACCACTCAACCACAGTCTCACAGATGCAAAAAAACATACCAGTACCATTCATCCCACACCCATCAACAAAACACGCACTCGCCGTGTGAATATACCGAATCCTACCCCCCTCCACCCGAAACATATGACTATCCGGCGCACCCTCAGTATTCCTTGTCCGATCCAACCCCGTAAACCCCATAAAGACATCCACAACACCCATCACCTCATCAACAACATACTTGCGATTCGTCATGGGGACATGTGCCGGCACCTGATCGCACGTGTTTGCCGAAAGGTTTTTGTAACCCGTATACGCACCGCCTTCGAGACGGGTGCAGGGTACACCCCAGGGGACCTGCACGGTAATGTCGTTGCAGCGGTCTGCATATGCTTCCCCCGCTGCTTTGACCACCTTGTACGTGTCGCGTGCGGCTTCCGGGATAGGAGGCCAGGATTCTTGGCTGTTCCAGTATTGGTAGCCCGTTGCGTTGAAGGCCCAGTCGCCTTGGTCGGTGACGATGCTGTCGATGAGGTTAACGTTGCCTTCGGTATCTAGGGTCATCTGGGTGTGAATGACGTATGGATGTGTGGGGTCGGTGATGATGAGCTCGGTCATGGTCTTGCATTGCGTTGTGTCGAGGATTGAGCGGTGGAAGTCAATGGCTAGTCCGAGGGCTGGTACGCCGCCGAGGATCGAGGCCGTCTGGTTGTTCTCAAAGTACGACATTGAGTAGGCGAGGTTCTCGAATCGGTCGTGCTGGCCCGTTGCCATTAGGTCGACGTACGAGTCTGCTGTACTTTGAAGATATTCGCGTGTGCACTCAAAGGCCATCGCAGAGGGGGCCATGGTCGCGAGAGCGAGAATTAAGAAGGCCATGTTGGTTGGAATGATTGCACTGCCGACTACGGGTAGAAGTGAACCGTGGCGAGGGTTCTCTCGCTCCTTTAAGCCTCCTGAGGTCCGGGATCTTCATAGGATATTCACCCGGGTCTGCGAAAGAGGTTCCTTCGTTCCTGGATACCTTGGACGAATGGTAGCATTTGGGGTGCTGCTGGTAATCTGATAACATCAAGTCTACCTCTTAACCATATTGACAATGACTGTGGGGCATCGCGGCATTAAACACCCATCTCCCGATTCCACGCAACCCCACACGGCCGTTATTGACGTACTCTGCGATGTGATACGAACAATCAAAGCTCTTGCTGTCTGACGTACGGTAAATGCCCGCAGTTCCTCAATTGGCAGGCGATCCACGATGCCTCACAGACGTTGATGCAATGATCTTCATCCCAGTCGTCTAGGTAATCCCACATTGTGTTCATAGAATGTGCCTGCATGTGATCAATATTTCTTGTGTCTAGACTGCCTCGTGACCAGGACAGACGTACTATCTCCTGTGGTGACGGTTTCCGCAGTACATCGTCGTCGGTGACCTCTCCGGCGCCGCCTTCGTCGCTGACCGCCTGGGGATGCGATAGCTTCGAAAGCTGTTGCTGATCTTGCCGCAATAGAGCGAACGCGTAGTAAACGCTATAGATCAGTAAGGAGGAGAGTGAGAGTACCAGCAGGATATGCGCAACTCGGAATATCGCCTTCATCGCGGGTCGCTGTCGATTGGCGATGTTGGCGCTGTTGAACTAATGCGTTTTGTGCCAGGTGGAATGGCTGGTGGGGTGCGCTAATGCGATACAGTAGCGCGTTCTTCATGATCAGCCCAGGGTAGGTCGTCCTCCCGGGTAGGCGCTTTGTTCAAACAATCCGCATCTTGATTTTGGGGCATTCGGAAAAACTTTGCTCATGCTGTTCCTCGAGTATTGATTCTAAGAGCGCGAAACCTGATTCTTGCACCCCAACAAGCTCGTATGTTTGAGTCGTCTCGTCCTTGCGACGCAGGATTATCCATACATCGAAATCTGTCAGCTTTTCTAAGCACGAGCAAAGTATATCACCAGCGCGTACGTTATAAGAGTCGATCTGAAGCTGTAGAGGACTAGGCCGAATAACTTCCGAGATCTCATCTGATGGCTCACGTGAGCTGCAGACTTGCCAAAAGAGATCATCCCACACGGCGTGGAGGTCATGTGTCCTCCGGTAAGTGTCAGAGTGACCACTGGACTCTTCGTGCGTCCGTAAGACCCCTAGGCAGCGAACGTCGCAGACTAAGGAGTCCATTTGAGATAGCTGTATACCCATCGGAGGTTCGCGTCCTCCATAATGAAAATTTACCAAGCGCGGATCCGGAACCCACGATGGCATTGTTAACGATTGCTGATTGTTCGGGGTTTTTGCAGCACAATAGAACACCCATATCCATTCACCATTGTCCAGCATAGTCTCGGCAAATTCCTGAAAGACTTGGGCAACCGTTAACGAGTAATCAATACGGATTTTGGGTATGGCCATGCTCGCCAATGCATAATACATGTCTTTGGGTTCAGAGCACTCTGATGAGTGAAAGTACCTCAACAAATCGTTCCATGTTTTTTTTTCTATCATGTCGTGGTTTTGGGAGTTGCACAATTTTGAGAGCCCCATTGTCCGGGTTCTGAAGGGGTGATCGCCGGCTACACTATCAAGTGACACGGTGTAGTAAGGCCACGCGGCAGTTTTAGTAAGATCCTTTGATGTTTCCCGAAGCCCATGCCCAACTAGCCAGATTGCCTGGAGAAGGTCTTCGATCCAATCTTCGGGAAGTTTTGACATATCCAGAACGTGCTGGCCCCAGTACCAGTGATGTGTGTTCGAGAGAGACAGCTCCTGAAGTATCCATCGGCGCTTCCAGTACCGCCTGGAGAAGAATCTTATTGCCATATCGGTCCTATCTACAGCGGCTTGCCTAAGGGAAGGCTTGGATCTGAAACACTCTTTCAACCAGTCGACATGTGCGTTAAATTCATGGAGATCACCACCGCCGGGCTCACTCTGCTGGTATGCTACACAGCCAGAACAGGGCAAGGAGTCCTCGCCAAGGAGAGGAAGAATGAAGCAGTTTTGATGTCTCAACCTTGGTTCCTTCCATGGTTTTATCTGTTCCGTGCGCTTCTTGATACGCTCGAGTAGATCTAGCATAACTAGATCTTCTTTCTCTTCAGTACCGTTTCCAAGCCAGACAAAGATCTTCTCGGCTCGAGCGTAGATATCTGCCATCATAGCGACCTGGACGGATCTCTCAACATCGTCTTGCTGATTGATGCAAACGGCGTCGATCCAGATACGTATAGGTTTATCACAGACTCTTATTCTTCTTAATCCCTCGGATAGATTCCTAGTAATCCACTGCCGATTACCGTGAATAAAAAGTTCGTAATCCTGTGAAGAGTTGCCGTCTTCATTCATCCCCCAGCTGTAAGATAGAGCATCGTATGAGGCTTCTTCAAGCTCTGTTGCCTCAATCATACATTCGATGGCGTCAGTATGCTGTTCGGCGGGACAAAGCGTTAAGATCCGGATGGATCGAGCACTCGGTAACGTTTCGTACTTGAAGACTATGTTGACGAAGAGTCACTCTCTCAGAATCTAGATGGTCTCAAAGATGGTGTATTCTTGTCTTGTAAGACCGCCCAGGATATACGTGAGACTAGATGAGGCCTGCGATTTTCCAGGACTGTGAGGTGGTAGAGAGAGCGTATGGCGATATCACGTCCTGAGCCGACTCATGGACGTGGAAGATGGTATAGATATATCGTGCTGGTAAGGGTGTCTCAGTACTGACTGACTGCCACGTAGATAGGTGCGGAGGATACCGTCACAAAGTGTTCAGCCTCAGCTGGAAACTAGCTGACTGCCAAGTAGACAGATCCGGCGGATGCCGTCATAAGGCTTCAGCCTCGGCTGACAACCTGCATCTCGATACTCTTGAACCTAGGCGAGCCAATCATCCAATGATTACTTGTAGTTACCTGAATATGCCTCCACAAAATATCGCATCTGCGATCGCACCATGGTTTTCGACTTTGCTACACACGCGTCTCATCAAACACGCGTTATAAACTCTATCCAGCTCTGGGCTATCGCCTGATGCCTACCTACGACTAGGAGCACCATTTTCGTCTATTGAAAAATATGATCATGTTCAAACGGCTCGAACTGACGACTTACTCGTCATGGTTTGTCTCTGAAAGACCTAGCGATGACTATCTAGTCTACAAAATCCAGTCACTTGCACTCCGAGCGGGCGGAAGCTGCTCTGCAGAGACGATGGATTCCAGGCGGATGTGCCCAATTTCCGCGACTATCAACGCAGGGTTCTGTGCAGCGTGCGGAGACAGAGCATGATACACTGTAGCCTTCGCGACTGACCTTTGTTAGACTCTCCTTTGTCTACATCTTTTACCGCACCTTGGTCGTATATTAACTACAGCCATTCCCTACTTCAAAACTGCGACTACAGTATCTGGAATCCATCGCTCAAACCACGGCACCCCTAAAAACCAGACGGCATTCTCCATCTGTCCCTCCCTGTAACGTGCCATCACCCTCGGGTTTCCGTCGCTTTCATCCAGTCCGACGATGAGTGATTATAGCTCGGATGACGACAATCGCCGAGTGGACTCGTGGCGGAAAACAAAGGGCCGTAGAGCGAAGCGACAAAGTAATTTCCTTGAGACCATTTTGGATTCGTCAATCGCGAGCAGCATGGAAAAGCCGCTATTCAAGGCCATTCGAATGTGGATCCACAGCAACACGGGCCTAGACTTGAAGTTTCTGGTCTGGGCCATTGCTTTATGCGTTCCCACCCACAAATATGGCAGCGCAATCTGCAAATGGCTGAGCTCAAATCTCACAAACTCTGTCGAGCTCGATTATCAGGATGCGCTTGTCACTGATCTTTTGATATGGATTAGCAAGCAGCCTTCCAATCAGCTGTTTGCCTGGCTTCCTAGTTTTGAACACCTGGAATGGAAAGATTTGTCAAACGAGACAAAAACAGCCGATACTGATGAGAGTAATACTACCAGCTCATCGCTTCTGTAGGCTACACTCCTTTCTTCCATGGAGGTGTGCCCTTCTTGCTATACAAACCGGACGCCAGGCACTATGAAGAAAAGCTTACGTTACGTTGTATGTGGGGGAGTAGAAAGCCTATCGAAGCCTTGCTACGAGATGTTCGCGAAACCGCTAACGCCCAGATGACGTTGTTAAAGATCATACGCGTCTCAGCTAGATACACTGTGAATGACACTTCTAGGAAGCGTAGACTGGAGACGATCGATATGGATCCGCGGAAGAAACAGGAGCTTTTGACGGATCTTCAGGTCTTCTTTGCTGAGTGAACAGAGGATTACTATTGGCAAAATGGAACACCATACCGGATAGGTTACATGTTTTATGGGCCAGCCGGTACTGGTAAGACGAGTTTGTCTACGGCGATTGCGAGCCACTACAATCTTCCACTTTGTGTCATCGATTTAGCTGGCATGGACGACAAGATCCTGCAAGACAAAGTCAAAAGCTTGCCACCCCGTTGTGTCATCTTGGTTGAAGACATTGATGCTGCAGGTATTGTACGTGAGCGCACAATGGTGCCGAAGACTGACGCTAGTGACGAAGGAGATGAAACGAGCTCGGAATCGGAATCGGAATCTTCTGACACTTGGGACACGAAGCCTAGTAAGGAAAAAGTGAAGAAGATGGATTCAAAGAAGATGAATCCGTCGCTTTCCCAACCCTCAAGGACAGAGGTCACTCTGAGCGGTCTTCTCAATACGTTAGATGGACCCGGATCACGGGAAGGCCATATCGTCATCTTGACAACGAACGCTCCTGATTCTTTGGATGAAGCCTTATATCGCCCTGGTCGTATAGATACCCAAGTGTATCTCGGCTTCGCAGATCATGTCACCGCTGGTATAACCTTCACACGCATCTTTGGCAGCGACAAACAAGTTAAAGAGTCGCAGAAAGCAGTCAGAAAGCTGGGCGGAGAATTCGGGCGGTTGGTACCATCTGATTTCTTTACTCCTGCAGAGATTCAAAAGTTCTGTATGAACAGGCGTGGTCAGCCACAAAAGGCAGTCGACGAGTTTCCTGGATACATCGACGAGAAGCGAACAAGAAAGACCAAGTTCCAATATGACATCCATCGACGCGCACCGAAACCCACGTTTCATAAGGAAGAGGTGATGAATGACGATGACAGCAGCGATGAAGTTGAATATACCCCGAGGGATTCCGAGGAGTCTTTCGAAGGTGCACACACTACCTTCCCAGAATTGTCTTGCATATCATCAACAGAGACTTCTGTGAAGCGACCTGCGAAAGAGCAGCTGTTTGTCGCGCATGGATACGAGCATGATGACGACGCTTTGGCATATGGCGACTACTATCCGCACAGACAATGGGTATGGGAAGATCGTTTGGCTAAGGATGTCGTTGATACGTATCAAGGACTCATAGATATGCTCACCTTTCCATCGGTAGTGCCATTTCGGCACCAGAGCACACCCTATAAGGAATGCAGGTTACAGGACTGGGCAGTTCCTGCATTGAGCATGGGGAAAGGCCAGCATATGTCCCTGTCTGGTACTTATTGCGAGACGGATAGTATCGAGCCTTGGGTACTTTGCAAGCCTGACATTCGGCCATGGAGGTTGTTGCGCGAGCACCACAATCTACGACCAAATGATATCGAAGAAATGCACTTGCCGAATCTTGACTCTTGTACGGCCGTACGGCCGTCGCTTCCTCAATCCCACCCAGGTTCAACATCTCTCGATGAGTCTCGGTCAACTTTGCCCTCTCCGACAGAATCCACAGAAGCATCTTCATACTACACGCCTTTGTCCGTTGGCGAACAGATCGAGCAGACTTTTCAGCGCCACCGCCGCCCCAGTCACCCAGACGTCGCTGGCCGCCGCAATGTCTATCCTTATCACGGGCCTTTACCACGCACCGCTGAGGAAGATTCTTGGGTAGATGAGGCATCGCCCAAGTCTGCTACAGTTTTGCTTCGCAATGTAGATCCGCAGCCATTGAAAGGTTCCGAGCAGCTCAGGCTGACAGAACGCGACCGTGATGCTGTGGACTAGGGCCGAACAGTGGCGTCTTCAGCAGTGGCGGGGCGAGGCCACGTCGCGACTTACCGACAGGGTCGCAAGCTCGGTCCTACTACCCGACGCTATACTGCCCAACTGAAGTCTCAAACCATTGCATACCTGCAAAACGGTAGAAGGAACATGGGAAACAACGCGAGATAATACATGATCGATTACAAGAGTAGAACGAAGTGGAAAGGGTTTTCCAAAGAGATCGATTTCTTGAATGCGAACCTCTGAAGATGTGTTATGAGGCTTAGCCAGATGCTTACTCTGACTTACTATGCATCGGGGTGAAGATCTGCCGATGTAGCTGCGCTCTTCAACATGCATGTCCACCTTGTTGCAAATTGGGTAGGAAAAGTCGTCGGGTACATCTGGTACTTTGGGCCGTGCTGCATCCTAATACCGAGATGGACGGAGGATATCCCCAAGTATTAGATTGACCGAGGTATGCGCAGCGGCCACTCGCGTTCCATGTAGTGGCTGTAGAATGTTTGATTGAACCCGCTCAGGTACTATTTGTCGAGCTGTATTCGAAATCTTGTTCCTGGCGTGTGATATTGCGTGACCTATTGTACAGCCAACTATCACGAGCGCGATGATTGGACTGGAGCGTCAACGCGGTTCCGACCACACTATTCCTGCATCGATACCATTTTGTGCACTGTACATGAACCGTGTCCGCTAGGGACACGTACATGCAAGTCATTCTTTAGGGGTTGCTGGCACAGCGATCTGTACATTTTCTGCCACCGCAATCCTACGTTAGACGCAGTGACGTTCACTCTCTCGACGCATACCTCCTACATGAGGTACTGCTGACATCGGCGATATTTCTGGTAATTGGTTCCTGTCCAGTCCTTTGTTGACTCTTTCATGTTTTCGCTGAGTGAAATACCGCGCCCTTTGGTAGCAGCCCTGATCAACTCCTTCGTATAGTTTCAGAGCTCTAGGACTGTGGCTGCTGACTGAGTTCACAGACATCATATCTAGCAGATATGGGCACACCGACTGCCGTATTCATGCCTCCAATTCCACAGGCCACATGACATTCGACTCAGTGAACAACCAGCTTTTCTGACCCAAGCATTACCGTCATGAATACAGCCACATGTCTGTATTAGAGACTAGCTTCAAGGACTAGACTCCGATTTGTAGAAGTCCATTGAGACTAGGAATGGTTGTCTTGATCGGTTGAATATCAATGCGCACCCATGGCAGAATGATAGAACGGGTACGGAGTCCGCACCCCACTAAAGCAACGATCAGAACCTTGATAAAGAATCTAACAGCTTGAGGTCTCCGTATGTGGCTTTCTCCGAGATTCAGCTTTGACATTTTGCTTCTTGGAATCTTCCGGAACATTCCGCGCATGACCTCTCCAGGTGTGCTATCGTTTCTGGGCTCTTCGAGACATATGAGGGGCAGGTATTCGGGTCCACTGCACGTACGAATCGTACCATGGATATCTCGATATTATTGCAACGCGATGCCAAACGCAAAAATCGATGCTAGTATCATCTTAGCAAGGTTCCAGCTGCTCGGAGAAGGAGTCGTCTTTTTCTGCACAGACTAGCCTCAAACGGTATCTAGCTTACCCCACCACAGGATTCAGACAACGACAGGAAGGACTTTCCTGCCGAGACCAATGAAAGGCTGCCGTTCCTTAACATCCTTAGTTGCTTCGGATCTTCTTCGCCGTTTCCAAATACCACCTGGACCCTGAGCTCTTGCGATTCTAGATTCCGTTCATGCGCGATTGTTCGAGAGCCGATATCAGTAGCTTCCATTCAGCGTGTACCTGACTCACGGTAGCATACCTCAACTCCAACATCTGCATCCAAAGCCACAGGTGTGCAGCCTCTTTCATTGCCTATCAAAAGTTCCGGCTACCCCTCTTATCTTTCGTCAACCCAACGCCGGCGGTGCCGCACAGGATACAACCATGGGCCTCCTCGATCTTCCACCAGAGATTCTCGACTTGATCATTGATCGCACCGCACCTAGTGGCCTTGAGAGCTTTGTGCTCTCATGCAAGACCATATACGGGCGGGCTGCAAACCAAATCCGACAACACAATGCGTTACGGAGGACCTGGAGCCATACCACTAACATGAGCCGGACTCGTCGCGGCGACACATTGTCAATTTTACACGACATCGCTCGCGACCCTATCATTGCTGAGTATATTGAGACTCTCTCCCTCTGGGATCGTCGTGCGGATGATGAGATGCCGAACCATATCGATGCGCTCAGTTTCCGCGACGACGAGCAGGCAATGCAAAATATTAAAGATTTGCTGCGACATGCCGAGCAATACGCCGATGCCGATGAGGACGATTGGTGGAGCCGCATTCTGGAAGAAGACCGCGCGGGTGACCAGCCGAACATGGATAAACTATATGCGACTGTCGCTTTGTTGAGTCTTTTGCCCAATTTAAAAACACTGCAACTGCCTGATAGATGGCATGAGGTTCGAGAAGGCGAAAGTGCCGAGGCTCTGGTCCCCAATGTTCAGTCGCTTGTTGCCATGTCCAATAAGAATGGGAACCGCGCAAAGCCCTTGGCTCGACTAGAAACCATCTTACCGTTCGTGGAGGAAGGCTACGATGTCAGAGTTGGCTTACAATGCATCGCACCGTTCATGGCACTCAAAAGCATCAGAAATATTTATGCAGTTAGTTGTGTGGCTGTCGACGAGGATTGGGGAGGCGTGCCTTTCACTTGGATGAATCCACTTACCAAGTCCCCGCTGACACGCGTTGAGTTCGCGTATTGCTGTATGGACGCTACCGGTCTCTCAGCCTTCCTAGAGAATACGCCTGCTCTTGAGGTCTTCAAATATTCCCACCAAACGAAATGGGACGGTCTTGAACACGATTGGAATGCTGGCGAGATGCTTGAGGCGCTGGCAAACTACAACAGTGATACCATTGTTGAGCTTGCCATCACCATCGATGAGCTGCATGGCGAGGTTGTGAATGGTCTTTCCTCTTTTCTACGTTTCACGAAGCTGAAGAAGCTGGAGGTCGATGTTGAATGCTTCTGTGGTCCACCTCTGGAGAGCGGACAGCGACAGGGCCGCGATGCGCACATTCCGCAGGGTTCAAGGACGTGGGGACATATTGACATTCCGTGTATGGGCGACATGCTTCCGGACAGCATGGAGGAGTTGCATGTCAACACGAACTTTCCACAACCATCTGAAGAATCCTTGAAGGCTCTGTTTAAGAACATTGTGGTGCGGCGCAAGGACAAGCTGCTCAACTTGCGCACGGCTATCATCCGACAATACGGGTCAATGAGTGCAGGCGCCATCGCTGCGAGTCATGATGTCGTATTCGAGGTGTTTGGATATGACGACGAGCACCCACTGCCGCGATCCATGATGCCCTTGTGGAAGAGAGAGTTCAACAGTCGTGTCGGTGGGATTGTGTTCGCAGACGGCTAGCGAACTTACGTACCGTCGATGTATAAAATAGCAAATACCGTTATCGCGCTTTTTTAGTGCGGTATCGTGCTCCAGAAAATAGGGGTTTTTCGTGCGCAAAGTGTATTCAGTGTACAATGAGGGTCTGGGAGCGGCTAGGTTGATGGGTTAGTGACGGAGATACCAAGGGCCATGACCCGCAAACGCCGCATTGAGCTTCTTTGTACGTTTATCAACAAAGGATCGGAAGTATTCGAGGTGTGAGAATGAAGCCTCATTGTTCGCGGGCTCTGCATCACCCCTATATAGTCATCATGATGATGCGAGTCACGATTGCGTCATACCCGATGGCATCTTCAAAGAAGCCACCTCAAGCATTGGAAAGACGAAAGTAGTTAAAAGATTAGCGAAATTGGAAACACTTAAAAATTCTACATAATAAGAAGTCATGCAGCTAACCGCGGCCTTGCTTGCTGCGCCGCTCAAGCCTGTTGCTCTCTTCGGCGCAAACGAATAGGTACACATGTAAGATCCATCCCGTAACAATGAGTCTACTGGCCATAGCAGATTGACAAGCGCATTATCCATGGTCTGAAGCCTTTTAACCGACGAGGTCAGAAACTTAAGGCGATCACATTTGTCCCAGCAGGCACACAGCCTGCTCAACCAGACAACGTCATCACCAAGACTTTTGATGCGAAAGAGGCGGATCTTTAGGAGCTAGGGAAAGGACTCGAATGCGGGATGTGTATGTGAGCACGTTGAGTGGTCCTGCATTGGAAGCGCAAACCACGATTCAAGACGCGTTAGCGAATACGGGCGTAAAGCGCTTCTACCTATCCGAGTTTAGGTTCCACCAACTACATCGCAAATCAAAGACCGTATGGGACATATCCATTCCGCCTAGAGGTTGAGAGCTCAATGCGTTTGGCTATTATTCCAGTACTTTCGTCTATACCCATAAATGCGACATCATGGCCAATGGTTCGCCATCATCCACCCAGCCATCTAATCCGGCAAGATGAGCTTCATGATGATTGGCTACAGCAACTCCCACAACCAAGATCATAAGAGTATAGTGTGTTCCGGAACCGACCCCCAAACTCTTCAAACGATGATATCACCCATTTTATGCGCCGCCAGAACGTGGAAGCAAATAGTATGCACCTGGATGACTGCCGACTTCCTAGTAGCTACTCTACTGAAGTTCGAAAAGCGCGATGGCCAATACCTCAGCATTGTTGGGAATACGATATCGCGTGTCAGAAATACGGGATCGCTGCGCAGGTACACCGGAAAACTGGCCGGCCTGGAGGTGCAGGGCGATGATGCGATGCATGAGGTCTGGGTCGACCCAAGCAAGGCGCCTAATGAACATATCGAAAGCGCGTTGCCAGTGTGCTTTTGGTACTCGTTGAACGGTAGGCAGGGTAAAGGCAATATCATGAAACCGGAGAGCCAGACAAGCGACAGTATGTTCGAAGAGACTCTGGCTACATCATTTGAAGGATACTTCAAGCAGAGATTCGGGGGGAGCGCGAAGTTGTAGAAGCTGGAAGACTACATAGCTCAAGAAACTGTTCGAAGTTTTCATGATAGTAATATGACACGAATACCTTGTAACTATTAGTCGGAATGCATCTTTAACATCGATACCTTGGTGCTACTGCTACGTATGAGTTGGATCAGCGATGTGTTGTATGGTGCAAGCATCGTGGGTGTCGTCCACATCTTAACCACGGTACCAATTTCCTCTGAAAAATGAGCATCTTCTCAGCATATATAATGCCCTGCATCCTATCAACATCTGTCTGTTTCCTCATCATCTACAAATCTCGTATCTTCCAAGTCAGAACAGCTCAAGAATACAACTTACCATCCACTACCACAACACCAACACCAAACATCAAACCAAGCAAAAGCTTCTCTACCACAAACATTAAGATGTACGCCAGAGCCTTCGTCCTCTCTCTCTCCATCTCTCTGGGCATTGCCATTCCCATCTCCCCCGTCGCCCGCCCCTACATCCCAAGCAGTCTTGGGACTCTCGGCCCCATCGCCAGGGTCGTCACCGAAGCCGAAAATGAAGTTCTCACGGCACCCATCCCCAAAAAGTGGATGCACACACACGGTTTCTCAGAGTCTGAGGAGCCCGAGGCAAAGATGCGATCCACGGTTAGAGATTGCCCAGAGGGCATTGCGTGTGCCGGTCTCATCAAGGATGTGATTCACACGATGGATAAGGTTCTGGAGAAGGCCAAGGAGGAAATTGGCGAAGGACTTGATGAGGCCAAGAAGCAGATTGACGAGAAACTTGGCGATACGTGGATGCCCAAGTGTTAGACGGTTCTGCCTGATGTGAGAAGGCAAGTGCGCTGGGGGTATGAAGGGTGGAAACGAGATATCCTAGCCGATGGACTGATTCGGATGATCTGATTGATTGAAGGGTATCTGTTGGTCGCAATACTCGCCTTACACACCTCACTTGTGTGGGCTTGTTCCAACTTGGTAGCGAGAGTTCGGTCGAGAGCTTGCCACGGTTTATAAATGCTGTATCTCCCTATACGTGATCCATCTGAACCCTTCCAAATATGCATCCTCAAGCCTTTGCCTTCTCCACATCTAACTTTTCTTTGATAGGCTGCAGCATGTTCGTCATGAAATTCTCATCTAGGTCCTGTCCCGAACCCTTGCCAGCCGGCGGCTCCACACCCCACTCCGGTATAAGTCGCGTCCCTATCTGAGTGATTTCAAGTACACTTCCACACAGATACTCCTTCTTCTGTAGTAGGTCTAGCAGAGAACTCGCACATGCATCTGGCGTCAATGCCGTGTCGGTAGTCACGGAATATTGTTTGCGCTTTGCTTCATCCATCATCGGCGTATAGACGGCGCCAGGACAAAGTGTCGTAATCTTCACACCAGTGAGCGCTTCTGTCGCTCCCATAGACTTGACAAATCCGACCACAGCGTGTTTTGTTGCACAATAGAGTGGTGCTGCCATGTTTCCTGATAACCCGGCAACCGATGCCTGATTTCGTGTTAGACATGTTGTGATCAATCATACCCTGCTCTCTTGAGCAGACGTCGATATGCTGGCATTACTTACGATGATGCAAACACTGGCCCTCTTCCCCTTCCCTAAGCTTTTTCTGATAGCGAGCCTTGTCAACTTGATAGGATGATTCACATTGACCTCGACCTGCTTGTACCCTTCCTCTTCTGGGTCTTGCCAGAAGTTGGAGAACGGCGGATCGAACAGTCCCGCGCAGATGGCGTACCCATCAGGAACGTCGTTCCATTCTTTTTCGCACGCATTAAAGATCTTGTCGAAGTCTGCCCATCGCGTCACGTCAGACTGCACATAGAGTATGTTTGACTTGTTCGCGGCGAAGGTATCGAAGTCGGGTGTTGTTCTGAGATCCGCAACAAGAACGCGCGCGCCGAGATCATGCGCTTGCTTCGTCACACAGAGACCGATTCCTAGAGATGTCAACTGCACATTCTCCATGCATCCATACTGGTGCAAATACCTGATGCGCCTCCTGTAATGAGCAGTATCTTGCTGTTCAGTGGCTGATCAATGGACGTCATCTTATTTACACGCTTTCTGGTAGTAATGCGGTTCAGCAGGAAAGAACAGGTTTCGAGGTTTACAGAGTATTGATATGCGTAGTTGATCTAACGTTGCTACTCATGTATTCGGAAGCCGGGTAAAAGCTTCCGGGGGCTTCACCGAGCAATGCCGTCCCTAGGGAAGAGGGGCTTCGGGTCACTGATCGCCGCATCACGGGCGCTACCGTTAGCTTGGTGACAGAAGGTCCTTCTGTTCGTGTGTTGTCTCCAAGCCAAGAATGCTCGCGGCCGGTGATTGATCGCAGCATCTTTATCATCTGTGGAGGGGTGGAGAGGTGGGGAACCACTCGTATCGTTCCCAACATCGTTAAAGCTGCGCGTACAGTGTAAAAGCAAAACTGGCGACGTGGTGTACAGCGACAGGTAGATGAGAGATTGCTTGGTCAGTAGTTCATTCGAGAAGAGCACGTTGAGCAGTATATGCGAGCGGGTGAGGAGACGCCGATTGGGTTTCTGCAGGGAGTGATGCGTCATCGACCCTGGCAATCCTCATCCTAGCCACATCAGCCACATTTACGACACCTACAAACGATAGCAACCATGTCGACAGAAGAGTTGGTTCGAGTCACTGTCCTTGCGAATCGCAACCCCAAGCTTTCGGAAACTGAATTCAACGACCACTGGGCAAACAAGCATGGCCCTCTTATCACATCGTGGCTACAGCGTCACGGCATTGTCAAATACGTCCAAGTCAGCTTTCCTCTACCAATCCAGAATCTTGCCTGCGCGAAGCAATGCGGATTCTCTTCTTATGGATGCTGACTCTTCGAAGTATCATACTACATCGAAACATAAAGCGCTTTTGAAGATGCCTACACTCTCATACGATGGCATGGCGGACTTTTGGGTGCGAAACTACGAGGATTTCGAGAAAGCCTATGAAGATCCTTTCTACTTGGAGGTCGTGAAGAAAGATGAGGAATACCTGTTTGACTTAGAGAGTTTGCGCGTTACTGCAGGTGTAGAGCACTGTGTTATCGAGGATGGGAAAGTGGTGCAGGAGCATGCGCGCAAGATCTAGTTGTCTCCGCACCTAGTCGCACGTGAGCACGGCAGTCGACCATGGAAAGAACGTAGTATGTCGGTAGGTCTCATGCGCAAAGTTGCGCGTTGTGAAGACCAGCAACTGCAAGCTCATAGGACCCAAGCTTGCTTCATAGGCAATCAGTTACATGGTACGTAAAGGTAAAGCAAAGCTGTGTGCGAAAACCTTCCATATACCTTTGATCACTCGCTTCTGATTTCTGATTGAAAAGATGACAATACCCTGGTAGCCGGACCAAAATCGTACTTTCCGTGGTCCTGCGATGGCCTAGCAAGGACGAGCCACTCACAACTACCGTTCCACCGTCGTCGTCTTCGGTGATCGAATCGCCTGCATATACCGGAGGGTCAAATATACTCGTAACTCTACAAGATGCTGTCACCTCTACATAACCCCTTCTAGTATCGCAAGATGCTTGGTACTCACCCGCGTGGCACAATGCGCTGATCCAAAAGTGGTCCGTGAATGGCCTTGTGAAGCAATGACTCCAACGCTGTCTACCACGGTGACGTGATACGGAATACCTTTGATTTTTCACTACCAGCGGATGCCTCCAGCGCGCTTACCATGCATATATATAAACGCCTACAGGCTTAATATCACTTCTTCTCAACCACGGTGTCGAGTTCTCCGGTCGATCTTGATACCACCGAGAGAGCCGCTGCACGCAGCCATCTCACAAGAGCAAGATCAGCGCAGCGTAAGTCGATCGAACTAGAGTTATCGAGAACAACATGCTGACATTTGTGACTAGTGATTTGGAAATATGCCGGTGATCATCATTAGCAGACCCGAAGAGCAGCAGCCGGCTCGCAGACGCGATTTATCGGCCTCATTCGAGCTCAAGCCCATCGATTTTCCTCCTTTGTCTACTAGGGTACTCTCTCCACAGTATTACAGTACTGCTGAGCCGGCCCAGTCGTGGTCACATATTATACAGCATGGCTTGAAACCACAGCCTAGCTTTGCGCGCTTCCTGGATCTACCAAAGGAAATCCGCTTCCCCATTTGGACCCTAGCATTCTCTTCTATCGGCCAGGTTGCGGTGCGAGACGCCGTCAAGCGTGGAGACAACCCAAAGAAACCCAGATTCTTGCCCGTTTTGTGTTTCACCTCGAAAAAGACGTTCGAGGAAACAGTAGTGAACTTCATCATTACCTCCAAGATCCTCGTTTGTTCGTATAACGACAACTTGTTCTTGCGCGCTTTCCTCGAGGCAGAAAACGGACGCTTCGAACAGGTCCGTCAACTAGACTTAAAATTCTTTTCCAGATACAAAGGCAATACTATCGAGAATGCCGACCTTGAGCTAGCAGTCCAGTGTACCGGACTGCGTATCATCAAGCTTGGCTTCCATAAGGAAGAGCTCACATACTATCGCCTGGACGATGACTCGGATATGTTGCTGCAATGTTCGACCCAACCAAACAAAGCTACCGACCTCTTCTCCAAGTACAAGCTTGAGCGGCTACTAGATTGTGACATGCTCGAAACTATCATCATTGAGCATTCCGGATACTTCTCACTGACGGCAGAGGCGGTCGCAGCGGAACTAGGCGTGATGTTGAGAGGAAAGTTCGCAGCCAAGGTGTCGAAACAGGCCATCGAGGTAGTGTATACTCGGAAGGGAAGGCGGACTCGACAGATGTACGACTGGTAAAGACACTGCAGATCATCAGGCGTAGTATAGTGATTACACTATGAAAATGCATGATGGAGTGAAAAGGTTGTGGATCTTTGGCACATCAGTTGCCTGCTATTGAAAAAGAGCGGTCTGTTGTAGTTCAGCCACAATATCATCAGCTTCGGAAATATGTACTGCATCGTCCCATGCGACAGGCATGATCACCTAGATGAGATACCCAATGACCACGTTCCTAGACGTATATACGCCAGCTGGGTAGCTTAAGTTCAACGTCACAGCTCCCACTTCGATATGTTGGGGCACGCTTCTCTACTATAAGCTTGTTTCGAGCGTAGCTGCGTACCCTTTGCGGACATGTCTAAAGCCAAGAACAATCTGGGTTGAGACAGTCTTAGAGGTCATAGTCGCAACGCAATCCAGAGTGGACGTATCGGTCGGCCGATAGCATGATTGAATTTTCTGGTTGTGCCGCCGTCGGAGTTTACAAGCGTCCGCTTTCGCAGTCTACAAGTGTCCGCCCTCGGAAAATAGATGGCTTTCGCCAATGTAAGAAGCCCCATATAAGCAACGAGGTCTCTCCACTTTCTCCTATTCGAATTGTATCTGCTCAAATTATTGCCATAACAGAAAGAATTCCCCTTAATGCAAGTCTCTCGAGCTTTTGATTCAGGCTCGACTGCTGAAGTGCATGCCGCTAACGTTGAAGCATGCGCGTGTCGACAGATATTCCTTCAAGTATGTACTTGAGTAAGCAATGTTATTGCAATCAGAACCCAGCCCGGTCCTACGCAGAAACTCATTTGCTACCTAGCTGCCATCAGCCTCAACACATTGGGGCGAAGTTCATGTCGAATTCTCAGTCATCGACGTGCCGAGTTTCCGCTCTCCGCCCCAGGGATGAATGGCATCTTGGCATTTACCGGTATTCCACCACAACGCCACCACCACCATATCCTTTTGCCGGTTAAATGGAGAACCTACACTGAGACGCGCAGCGCGGTCCCAGCAATCGGGGGGCATCTTCGCCAAGGTGACTTTCCAGGTCGGTTCTGTGTCCGTAAGCGCCATTGATCACGACTCTATGTACCACTTTGCGAGCCACCCGATGGCGAGACGGGACGTTTTGCGATGGGAAGAAAGGCCCCACTAGCCTGTTCGCTTGCGCATGAGCAATATCGCGGTGACACCAACAGCTCGGCGCCTGGAACTCGTTTATGTAGATACGGATCCAAGGAGTTGAAGTACCTGTCGTATCTGTGCGAGCACCGACCTCGTAGTTGATTACTCCGGATGCCTCCCGTGGGCGCATGCCAAGGCTGCACGCGGCCTGCGGCATAGCTCCGAAGTTCACCTAATCAGCTTCCCGCCACCTCGCGTCGCACACGCGACTTCTGCCGCGGGACGACTTGTCCTAACCCTCACAACCTATCTGAGAACACAATGGTAGCCACTTGCGCTTTCTCGACGTCTGCCAATGCAGAACCTCAACTATCGACTCCGTCACTACAAAATAACTCTCGGAACGTCAGGTTCGGCGCGTAGGGCCATTTATCCACCTTGGCAGGTCATGGCATCGCATTACGAGCTTGACCTACCACAACCGGACTCATGGTTGGCTTTTCCAAGACTTCAGTGCAGAACTCCAAGAGACGTGCCGGATGGTAGGTAAAATTATCCGCGGGACGAGTCACAGCTTCACAGGGCGTGTGTAGAGTCTTCGAGGGGTCTTTCGATCAATCCCGGAAGCGTATGGAGCCTTGGTGCTGGGCATCGCGGAGCAGACACAGCACCAAGCAACACATGGCTCAACGTCGAAAATCCTTTCCAATCAGATGGCGTCAAAACTTTGTGATGAAGGCGTCTATCATCTGATCAACTCCAAGTGATACACTGGAACCAACAGGCTTTGCAAGCAAGTCTCTCTACACTTGCCGCTTCTTTGCCCCGCAATGTATGCCTCCAAGGTATGCCTCCGTCGTCTACTGACTATCGCGAACAATATCAAGGCGCTATCAAGCACCAATGATAGACTGCATCCTATTATTGGATCTGCCATCCATCGCTGTTTCATGTTCTAGCGTTCAAATCACGGACTTCTCGAAGGCAGCTGAGCACCCCATGGGGAGACCACAAATTGCATCGGACCCTCGATATCGGTATTGGCGAGCAGTGCCTAGATATGACAAGACGGGCTTTCTCTAGTCTTATAAGTCTAGTCCTACGGCGCTGCGGGCCTGGTGCCAACGGATCGCTCGGTGGGGTTCTCTTGGTATCACCTTACTGGTGCTTTCCTCCGTTGCTGTCAGGCTGTCTTCCTGCAAATTGCGGTACCCATGTCCGTCAACCCGCGGTGGAGTAAGCATGCGAGACGCTCATCCGGGGTGTGGGTCTCTTGTAGTAATTGTAGATCGAATATAAGTACTGGACGCCGAACGAGCGTCAGTCGCATCCTCAAGGGACTTCGCCCATCAGTAGCAAAGACTACCGGTCCTGAACCCCAACCAATCTTCACGCTATCTTGTCGCACATCGCTTTTTATCCAAGATGGTGGGCATGTCAATGGGAGCGCCGAAAGGCAACAGCGCGGTTGCTCGCGAGGAAGCGCCTGAGTTTGAGAAGGTTATCTGGTACAAGGACCCAAACATGCGAAAGCTGTTCTGGCACTCTTCAGTCCTTTGTATTGCCTCTGCAACTACTGGTTACGACGGGTGAGTATTCCTTTTCGCAACACATTGGATTCGACTGATAATCATCTAGCATGATGATGAACTCTTCGCAACAGATGAACTACTGGCAGACTTACTTTGACGAGCCCTCCGGTAACCGACTGGGTCTCATGAACAACATGTACAACATCGGTTCGATCGTTAGTTTCTTCCTTGTTCCGTTCCTCACCCAGTGGACCGGTCGCAAGATTCCAATCGCCGTCGGTTGCTCCATCATGATTGCTGGTGCTCTTGTCTCGACCTTTTCTACGAACTGGCAGATCTACATGGGTGGCAGGTTTATCCTTGGGTTCGGTAACTCTTTCGCTCAGATGTGCTCGCCCATCCTCCTCACCGAAATCTGCCATCCCCAGCACCGTGGTATCTTCACCGCCGTATACAATTGCTTGTGGAACTTGGGAGCGCTTTTTGTCGCATGGATCGCATGGGGTACATCTCAAGCGAGCAACGATTGGTCTTGGAGGTCTATCACCCTTCTTCAAGCCCTTCCTTCATTCCTTCAACTGTGCTTTCTTTGGTGGGTTCCTGAGAGTAAGTTCAACCCACATATTAGTCGATCGGAGAACTCAAGCTGATATAACTCTCCAGGTCCTCGTTGGTTGATCTCCAAGGAACGCTACGAGGAGGCTCTGGACACTCTCGCGTACTACCATGCCGGTGGCGACAAGAACAATGCAACCGTTCAGTTCGAATACATTGAAATGAGAGAGGTCATCCGTCTGGAAGCCGATGCGAACAAGAATTCTAGCTACGTAGACTTTGTCAAGACAAAGGGTAACCGGTGGAGGTTGGCGATTCTTATCTCCCTCGGTATCATCTCTCAATACTCCGGCAACGCGCTCTTCTCCAACTACATCAACTTGGTTTACGAAGGCGCCGGAATCACTAGCGAGAACCAAAAGATGGGTGTAGGTTTACCTGAATCGATGTACAGAAATCCGTACTAACGTCTTGTTCAGCTTACTGGTGGTGAGCGTATCTTGGCTCTTTGTGTTTCAGTCTACGCCGCTACCTTGATCGACAAAGTTGGTCGCCGTCCACTTTTCCTCGGTGCCACCACCGGTATGGTCATTTCGTTCATCTGCTGGACCGTCACCTGCGCTGTCTACGAGAACTCTGGCGACACCAACTCCGCAGCTGGCTACGCTCAGATTCCATTCGTGTGGATCTTCGGTGTTTTCTATGCTTTTGCTTGGTCTGGTCTACTCGTCGCATACGCCCTGGAGATTTTGCCCTACGCCCTTCGTGCCAAAGGTCTCATGATCATGAACATCACTGTTCAGGCTATTCTTGCAGTCGGTGGTCAGACCAACCCTGTTGCGTGGGACAACCTTCCCAAGCATTGGAATTTGGCTCTCTTCTACACTCTCTGGATCACTGTCGAGCTTGTATTCGTTTACTTCGTCTACCCCGAGACTAAGGGTCCTACACTCGAGGAGATTGCCCGCATCTTCGATGGTCCGGCCGCTGTTGCTCCAGTGGATATGGATGCTATCGCGAGGCAAGCCGCTAAGGAACGCCTCCACGGCTCTGGTGATGATGAGAAGGAGCCGCATATTCAGCAGACCCAGGTCGTCTAGGGTATCGAACTTTACTCAACGGAAGTTCGTCTCGTAGACATGAGGGACATCCGGCTTCGTGGTTTTAACAGTTCGCTCGCGTTGAGGTAGCCTTAGTTTACAATAGAAGAGCTGTTTTGATATATCCTGAACGATCGCATACTGCCATGTTGACCCGTAATAACCATGTTTCAGAAATGCATAGGAGGTGGGGAGGATCTTCAGACATAATTTCTAATGAGAAGGCACGTGTTAGCGCGACCGCCAAGATACCATCGCTGGGCTAGGCAGATACCCCGCATCGGAGGAAACCCCCCCTCACCTCCTCACATGCCGTATTAGCGTCTCACCGACAGCCGTTCCTTACGGGTAACATCTTACTACCCAAGTGCTCATTCCCGTCAGCTACATTACCATCTCATTGTCTTTATTCGGCCCGTCATTGTAATCATGCAGGTCCATTTCGGTATGCAGATTATTGTCGTTTAGAGCACGCAAACCTGTCATAACTGGCGACGACACTCTATACATCTTCGCTGTTCTATCATCGAGCCTCCTCTCCTTGTTTAGGAAATCTCAAATCTTGCTCAACTCTTCGAGCCAGCTCCCAGCTCGTCGTATATTTAGGACCGGCCTGTCACCGCGACATTGATCCAAAGGTCTAAGCCAACCTCCGATCACGAATTCTATTCTGCTACTAGACCTAGCTGTTGAGGTCCCCATGTTGTATACAAGGGTACAGCATCGTAGGAGAGATTGGACAAGCCTGATGGCCCTTAACTGGTAGTGCTATCATCCCACGCCATTGCCAAGATTCTCACTATGAGCAAGCGTTCAGCGTTGGCTGGATCGTATAAGCTTAGCAAGGCGTAAGTCCGTGTCTGCGTTGAGAACCAGCTTGGCAAGGCCACCCTCAGGTTAGACCTGGAATACACACATCCAACTCATCGTAGTTTCCCTCCGTTCGTCAAAAGGGTATGAGTGGGTTAAAACAGCAGTGGAAGGCCCGTTCCGCTGTGCATTCGGTCATTGTTAGAGCTGAACTGCCTCGCTAGACTAAAACTTCCTTTCCAGTAAGAGCAATAGCCGAGCGATCGCTTGAAACGCCTGAAACTGTCTCACTCGGAACGGAATACCAAGCGTTCCTCACTGACATATCGCTCATTATATACAATCATGCAATCTATCTTGCATTCTCTTTCGATCCGGTCACCCAACTCCAAGCGTTCATTTGCTCTCCCTGGGGCTCGGCCAACAATACCAAGTGAATCAACATGCTCATCAGCAACGCTTCCAAGCTACCAGGCAGACATTAGTAGTGACCAGAAGTGCGTCTTAGGTAGAGCAGGTATGGTCTTGATCACAAGAGAATCATATAAAAAGGTGGGTGCTGGCTACGTTTGGAGTACCAAAACCTTCCGAGCAATCACATCATCGTCTTCACTTCACGATCACCAGACTTTCAATATCAATATGAAGTACCTCACTACCATTTCGGCTGCTCTCAGTCTCATCCTCTCCACTACTGCGGCGGCTACTCCCGGACCCCTGATCAATGCCGACCTCCTTCCTCGCGATATGTCTGCCATGCCTCGTGGTATAACATCTCTCTTGACTAGAGACGCGATGATGGATCGCCGTGCTCTCGAGAAGCGTGCTGGTTGCTTTCAGGCATGTAATTCAGGATGTGGAGGCTGCACCAGTATGGGCTGCCTTAGCGGTTGCCAGATCAATTGGTGAGATTAGCTCCAACTCCGCGGTTGAAGTAGCCCTCTAGGTATTCAAAATGTTCCTAACGACCATCTCATAGCTCAATCTGCTGTGAAATCCACAACGGCAATTGCACCGACTGCGGTACTCAGTATGAGTGTGATCAGTAGTGATCCAAAGACACATTGGTCGAAATGTGAACAAGGAGGCTTGCTATTTTCTGGCGGCTTTGTCGTACGATGAGAGATATGGGGTAGGACACACTTGCTAGTCAAAATTGAATACAATTGTGGGTTTATCATAATATGATGAACCAAGAAGTGAGATAAGCTAGTCTATGTTAAACAGCAGCTCTACTGCTGTTGTGCGTCCATGTGCTGCTGCTATGTGACTTTCCGACGTACTATCTAGATATTCAGAGGACAGCGCACGTTCTTGCAGAATATTGTGGAAAGTGGTTAGCTCGAAGTCGAGTTTAATCCGCTGCAACAAAGCGCCTTACTCAGCACGCCCCACATTGTTTGTTCCTATCTTGGTATCTCCGTTTCCATTGTCTTTCCATTAATCAACACCCAAAGGCCATCAACAAAGCGATACAAAACGCCTTGGTGCTGCTTTGCAACATGTCACAGCGAGTTTATATATGTATAGAGTCGGGCAGTCGATCTTGCAGCTCGTCGCATAACCTGACCTAGCGATCACGACAATTCACGCACTATGGCGAACAACCCTGATCCTCGCGTTGTCAATATTGGAGGTATCGAAACGTATGAAAGTATAGATGACGATGATGCAAACCTTTACGATGGCCTCCTCGACAACCAGACGAAGAACGCATTTCTCGCGATGATGCGGTATCTTATCAGAAAGAGAGACAGAGAATGTATGTATATAGCATAAAGTAGATTCGTAGTGTGTGGTTCACCTTCATAGTTCCCCGAGGCAGCCGCGGAAGGAAGGTTGTGAGTCAATGGGGAGTCAAGCAAAACTATTGGAGAAAGAAGGTATACACTGGCCAACCTGCGGTGACGGCAGTCAGACCACTCCCAATTCCACCACCCATTGCTCCACCAATGGCCCTGCAAGTTCCAGTGGCTTCAGTAGATCACGCACAGGTAGCGCAACAACAATCGCAAGAGTCGGGTGCAACTGGAGACGCACCGGAAGGAGATGGTGTAGACACGCCTACAACTATATCAGAAACTTCAAGTGGAGAGCGTTCGCCTCCATTCTATATTCGAAACAGCCCCGAAAGAAAGCGGTTCTTAGCTCCTACGGCGGGGCAGCGACGTGAAGCCTACAATCATCAAGATGGTAATTGGAAGTTTGCGATGACTCTCTATCAAACTAGACTTGACGGAAGCGGGGCGGATAAGCGACGGTTTGAGAAGGGGACGATGCCTCGCAAGTCAGTTTCCCTTTATGTTCGGACGAGTGATGCTGGGGTAGTTGAAGATGTGAGTCTAATAGTGTAGGTGCATTTGGATGGCCTTACTCATCGTTCTTAGCAAATCACAGTCAAATGTCTAGAGGCACTGGATGCGAAAGAGTTCAACGACGCGAAGCACGAGATTCGGATGAACCAGCGCATCAGCCAACTCAGTTGTTCGCATATGATACCACAACGCGGTAGCACCAGAAGATCTTGCACTAGGAAGATTCATGGTCGCAGCAACGACGAAGAACCGGTGCCGACTGTCTTCAATATATACTCGTCTTTTGCCGAACTTGGAACTCTTGCACGCATCTACAACGGGCATAAACTCACTCCCAAGAAGAAACCTGTACCCGAGCATTTCATCTGGTATCTACTCAGTCAGATGTCCAAGGCGCTGATTGCATTGCAACAGGGTGTTTGCTCAACACCGAATCTCGAAGACCAGAATCAGGATCATAAGTCACCTATTGGATCTGGAGAAGACGTAGATTCAGATGCCACCTCGGTGGCGTGGCGGCCAATCATTCATTCCGATATCAAAGATGCCAACATATTCCTGCGATCTAATAACACTCAATACCCCGCTTATCCAAGAGTTGTTTTATCTGATTTCGACATCGCTTTTGAACTAGACGACGAACGTGAGATGCAAATAAGGCAGGTCCAAGGCACGCCGGGATTAATGCCTCCAGTAAGTGGGATGCTGGCACTATCGAGGCGATGCTAACCTCGATTAGGAACGAGACGGTGCTGGATTGTACGAAGATGATTGGAAACCAGATGATTGGCCTATCTCGGAGAAGTCTGACATTTGGAGTCTAGCTATGACCGCGTGGGCATTGATGATGGCCCACAAAGAGGAAAGCTTTTACGAGAATGTCCAAGAGCGATCCAAGGATCCAGAGCATGTTAAGGATTTGAGGAATGGTACTGTTGGAAGCACAGATAGTATTTTCCCGCAAACGCTGGAAGAAATTCCCCAAGAATACAGTGTGCGCCTGTGCCAGGTCATCTCACGCTGTCTACGTTACAATCCGGAAAGACGCATGTCACTTGAGAAACTGCGAAGAGTCAGCGACGATAACCTCTCCAGACTCGATAGGATGTATGGCGAAGAAATACGAAAGGGAAAAGACGCAATCGCCGACGAATTCAAACTCGAATATACCAATGAAGATAGTGACGAGTGGGCACAATATGCTATCGGCCAGGAGTTTGTACCGCCACGAAAACGGCGAAAGACAGACAGCGCCGGTGAATTCGAAGAGAGATTGACCAGCCTGCTTATTGATTGGGCTTCTGAGGCTATATACCCGCGCCCTAGTACAGAAGTCCAAGATGAGGTGCTGAAACATGTCGACAACCTCATTAGCAGCTCGTCAGAAAAAGCAATTGAGATCTTCCGTGAGCGTGAAGCTTATCTCACCGCCTGGCAATATCTTTGTTCGAGTATAGGCAGATACACGTCATCTCAACGCGACGTTTATGTGGCCACCGATATCACCATTGAGGTTTTACAAGAATCGCTCGAACGCAACACAAAGAGGGAAGTGCTTATGTTGCTCCGCGAGACAGTCTTGGAACTCGCCTTGGAAGCCGCATCAGGGGATCAAAAGACCGGTCTTTACGCGTTGCAGCATGTGGTCATGTGGGGTCTAGTGCTGTTGGAGATCAATGCGGAGCCGGTGACGCCAAGATTGGGTGACAAAACGGAGATGCATCGCGGCATGGCCAGCTTCATCCTTGATCAACCTTCCGGTGTGCCTGTGCATGAAGATGCCGACCCAGATGTAAGTATCACATGAGTAGTGAGATCACCACTGGTAATTCTGTACACGTCTTTGTTATTGTTGGTACATTTTTTTTCTAAAACGGCGAGTGCATCTTCTCCATATCAAATGTATTAACGATTTAACGCAAATTGGTCACGCACAGTTGAAATTGAATCTGAGAGTTCTTGTGGTGTACTGTAACCGCGAGATGCAAGTGTCTCCGCGTGAGTTAACCCGACATGCGGCGCAGAAGGTACATCCTTTTGACACTGCATGCCTTACTCCAACAGCACTCTAAAAGATCAGAATATAGTAGTTGGTAATATAAGATTTCGATTAATAGGTTGACAGCTACGGCATGCACAAAGTTCAATCTGCGCGAACGATTTCGCTCGCGCATAATCGCCAACCTTGGTGTTCGCGCGCCCTTGAAAAAAAAAAAAAGACTGCAGAACTTCGCTGATCCGTGTCTGGATTCTCCTGTGGCCTACGGGCTGTCCTACGAGGTTGGGAACGCAAAAAGATGGACTTGCAGGGAATCGAACCCTGGACCACTCCCATGCTAAGGGAGTATTATACCACTAAACCACAAGCCCGATTTTTGAATCATTCTGATTCGCTGACGAAGAGCATGACAATAACAAAATTAATACATTGCGACGTTTGACATCCGCGTAGCTGAGTACACTGCGGAATTAGTTTATAGTTCGACAGTCAATTACCCCCACTAAGCGTTAATACATCGTAAGTGACATGGAAAACGCACTGTCATGCACAAGCCAGTACGACCACGCAATTCAACTACAATGAAATTGTGTGCTCCTGTACTCTCATTCCCGAGCTTATAAATCAGGGAGCGGCTCTTGAGTTGCTAAAAATTCCCTCTCAACACCGTAAATACACGCAGTCTCAAACTCAGTGATCTCGATAACCAAATTCTTACAACCATAACGTCTCTAAAAACCGCACCATTAACCCATCGCCTCTGCTAAGCTTACCAGGAGAAATACGCAACCACATCCATGCCCTGGCACTATCAACTAGTCCCCAGCCCAGGGTGATATCGATTTTAGTCTGACATCCAACGATAGACGCATCAACCAGTTGCAACTGACCTGTCGCCAACTTTACAGAGAGACTCGGCTGTTCGAATTCAAAAGAAAAAAAAACACCCCCTGTGAAGATTGATGGCCATGTGGTTGAGTCCTCACTTAGGAGTTTACTGGACGAAAAACACCCATCAAAAGCAAAGATGATATTCCTTGACCTGACTCGCTCGCTCGGTCCCAAGAGACTTTCGTGGATCACGAGTCTAACACTCTCCAACAAAACACCGCTGTGGACCACGAAAATTGGCTAGAACTAAAAGAGATGGCCAGCACGATGGTCCACTTAACCAAAGTCTTGATGAACAATCCATCGCTACGAGTGAAGTACAACATGCACCACTTCTGCAGAGCGAACCTGCTCAACAAGTTGGGCGACGATGTTACTAACATCTCTATCTTCACGCATGGCATCGTGGTGTCGAGCATCATACGCGGCGACGCTCTAGAGGACACGTGGCCAACAACAACAGCAGTGGTACCAGTAATGAGGGAATCATACGAACGCAGAATGAGTATAGCAGAAAAGCTCTGTGCCCTTCGGGTTGTGAGGGAAGCGCCGTTAGAAGTGAAGAGACTGTGGGACAGGATCAGATTTTTTCCTAATCCGGATATTGCCACAACACCGCGATCATCCGGCTTGACTCCAATCGAATGGGAGCTCAGATTCAAACTATGGGCAGCATTGTTCAGGCGCTGGGTGGAAGAGGGAATCTGAAGATCTTATCAAGTGCAATGACAGATGATCAAATGTGGAGATACGCAACATGTCCAGTGCAGCCAGCAACCATCTCCACTTCTCAGCTCCGGTCTTTTCAAAACCACGACAATGTTGCTTCTGCTCTCTCGTTGGTAAAGAAGGTCTCTATACTGCATCGTGCCGTATGGCAGATCAGGCGTGCGAGGAACTTTGATGAATAGATTTGATAAAACTGGCTCCCTCACAGACCCTAACATTGGTGTTTTTCAGTTCTATTGTTTCATATTTCGATCCAGATGATAGATGTGTGACTGGGGGTAGATGAAAGAGCTCAGATGAAAGCAGACGCATCCGGCGCACGGGCCCACAGTTGCCTCGGTGACATCACAAACAAGCTGCGCAGACTTTCCAACTCCACCTATCGCTCATCACCGCGACCACACGAGCCAACCCACGCCTGTCTCACTTCCGCCCTGCAACTGTCTCGGTCGCAACCCCCGCTGAATCGTCGACTCACCTCAACTACCCCACCACGACACCGACATGGCTGATGCGCGCGGAGAGTATTGGTATTACGAAGATGGCGTGGATCCAAACAAGATAACGGTCCCGGAGCTGAGGAGCATCTTACTCCGACATGGCGTTCAGTACCCTTCCTCGGCAAAGAAGCCCGCTCTGGTTGGCATGTTCGTCGACCTCGTTCTTCCCCAGAAAGCACAGGTCCAAAGGGCGCAGGCACGCACAAAGCGATCGACGCGGGGCATCGTAGATGTTCCCTCCAGTTCAGCCAGCACAGTAGAGACAGACGATGCCGAAGACGAGACGCTTGTAGTACCTACACCTGCGACTACACGACGCACAACCCGACGAACAACCCGCGAACCGACAGAGGAAGCAGATGTACCGGCACCACGCGCCAAGACACCCTCGCGGGCTGTTCCTGCCAAACACAGCAGAGCGCTTGAACCTGAGGTAGACGAGCGACCTGCGACTAGACGTATACGCAAAAGCGCCACTCCTGCGCCCAAGGAACCCACGCCCGAGCCGGAAGCGTGGCATCGCAACGACGCTGCCAGTCCCTTCACCCAGGAGAACCCCTTTCAGAGTGGGAGCTCTCCTGCCGTGCCAGACACGATATCGCGCGACCGTCGTAGGCGCACTACAGGATATGCTCAGGAGAGGCGCAAGAGCGACGCGCATCGCCGGAGGACCTTTCAACCCAAGACTGAGCAACAAGACGACGGCGTTATGGTACCCACTCGGGGGACATTCGACGTGGCAGACCCGCGTGTGAAGCAGCAGGAGGATGATCTCGCAGATGCCGGCGAAGAGTTCACGCCAGAGGAGCAGCTTGATCTAGTGCGCGAGCGGGCAAGGGCTGGTGAAGTGGACATTTTGCCTCCCCGGAGACGTAGGCAGAAAGGCAAAAAAACGGGAACGATCAAAGCAATGGCCGGCACTCTTCTTCTCACAGCTTCGGCCGCCTTCGCTGGCGTATGGCGGCAGGAAAAGATCGAAGTCGGCTTCTGCGGCGTTGGACGAGATGCCATCGGACTTGCTGGTGTGGAGATACCGAGCTGGGCAGACCAAATCCTCCCACAATGCGAGCCTTGTCCGCCACACGCGCAGTGCTTCCGCGGATTGACTCTCAGGTGCGATCCCGATTTCATCATGAAGGATCATCCGCTGTCCCTCGGTGGCTTGGTCCCTTTACCACCGACCTGCGAACCGGACAGTGAGAAGACACGCAAAGTGAACGGTATCGCGAACAAGGCAACGGAGATACTTCGCCAACGCAAGGCCCAATACGAGTGCGGAGAGCCTGATGCAGCAGGAAACCTAGTGGAAAGCCCTGAAGTGAGCGAGGTGGATTTGAAGCAACAGATGGCATCTCAGAAGAGTAAGAGCTTGACGGATCAGGAATTCAGTGAGCTGTTCGACAGAGCCTTTCCTGAGCTGGTTATGCGGGAAGAAATAATCGAAAGCACCGACGGGTAAGTACTTTCCTTGCTAGTCCCATCACTTGTACAGCATTTCTGACGTGGAATTGTACTAATCAGTCACTCTTCCTTGAACACAGAACAACAGGCGCACGGCGTCTCGCATCCACCTCCCTCGCCAAGCTCTCCCTCTCCTGCAGCGTCCGAAGATCCCTCCGACAATCCTTTGAACGACATCTTCTCCAAATTGTAACAATACTCTTCCTCATTGCCACTGGCTCATACGGAAAGTATTCATATACTAGTAACCGGGCGATGGAAGTTCGGGCCAAGCAGCTAGCAAGCGACGCGTATGACAGACTCCAGGACCAAGCCGCGTTGGGCTACTACGACTCAGGCGCTGAGAAGGGCATCAGTATGACACAACTGCGGGACGATGTCTTGAGGACAGAGTTTAATGCAAAGCGACGACAGAAGCTGTGGACGAGGGTACAGGCAAAGGTTGAGAAGAACAGCAACATCCGCGCAGGTGTCCGAACAACAGCTAGCGGCGATGTTGCTCGCATGTGGGAATGGGTCGGTCCTGTGAAGCGGATCGACGATGGAAGAACACCTGCGAAAGGTGAGAGCAGCAGGTCCAGTCTTGGCATGGGTAGCAGCCCTCCATCTGCATCTCGAGATACAAAGGAGGTCCAGAAGTGGGAAGAGGGACATCCGATTTACTAGTCTTCACGTTTGAGCTTCCATTTGTTTTACCGGGTTCATGATCAGACATGGTATATGGCGAGCGATCTGCATTTTACTTAGCACGCATGATACCACAATGAATTCTTACCCGATCAACTCATGATGACGAAGGACCCGATGTTCGCAATGTGCCTCTCCTTTGTCTTGGCTGTGGCTGGTGTAGTGTGGCGTCGGCTTACTAACCTAGCCGAAGCCCACACAACGCTAGCAATATCGGCGCAGCGACCTCAACACCTCCAGCAACACCGCCAACTTTTCGCTCATACTAACCACAGAGCAAAATCCGTCAAAATGGTGAGTGATATCTTTGCTGCTGGGAATATTGCGAAGGACACGACATGTGCGACGAGCGACGAGCAAGCGAATTCACGAATCGATGACGATGGCGAGGCGAAACCTCCGACCCCACGACATTGTACCGACGATACCTTATCAGAACGGGACACGGCGGGCGACATCTGATGCTAAGACGGCTGGGCTGGACAATGTCTCTTGTTGCTGGTGTAAGGGAGACGCGAGGGCCTTGGAGTAGAAGGGCGGCGACTCCACCAGCAAACCATCATGCGCTCATATATCTTACGTCGCACTACGAAACATCCGCAAAGGCGCAGGATTGCGCTCGTATAATTCATGGCGGCATTGTCTTTCCAGGACTTACAACATCGCATCCTCGCGTTACCGATTCTTCGCCATCGTCTTTTTCGCTCGCTCGTCCCGCATTCGTCGCTAGCAAAGGAAACGGGGAGCTTCAAGGCATTGATCACGGACGCTGACTTCCACCCCCAGGTCAACGTTCCCAAGACCCGCCGAACCTACTGCAAGGGCAAGGACTGCAAGAAGCACACCCAGCACAAGGTCACCCGTACGTGATGCACGTCCACGCATTCGCACCACCCGTATACTGAGACTGTGTAGAGTACAAGGCTGGCAAGGCTTCGCTGTTCGCGCAGGGTAAGCGTCGTTATGACCGCAAGCAATCCGGTTACGGAGGTCAGACCAAGCCCGTCTTCCACAAGGTATGATCGCACGCATTCGAGATGAAGAAACGGGCGACTAACACCCAAACAGAGGGCGAAGACCACCAAGAAGGTCGTTCTCCGTCTAGAGTGCACACAGTGCAAGACCAAGGCACAGGTATGCTGCACTCACCTCCCACTAGCTCACAAATACTAACGCACCGCAGCTCGCCCTCAAGCGATGCAAGCACTTCGAGCTTGGTGGTGACAAGAAGACCAAGGGTGCCGCTCTCGTCTTCTAAGCGTGCATCTTCTTTCTCTCTCTTTTGCTGGGCTCTCGGCGTAGTCTTCGGGCGGATGGAATGGAACGGCTCTACCTTCGACTCAAGCAATGCATCAAACCATCAGTGCGATAAAGAAATGAAGGCGTGTGAGGCGGTGGAAGATTTGGCGACAAAAGGTCACCAGCCACGAATTTACGGACTGTAACCTACATATGCATCAAATGGAGCTCGATTGAAGGGACCGCAACATAGCTGCTTTGCTGATTCCAGTCGTGATTGTCAAGTGATGATTTCCAGATGTAGCAGGTACAACGACGCGGCTCGATTCCGACGGAATCATGTTTCCAAGTCGTGGTTGCCCCTCCACCCCCACTAACGCGTCAGTCGCGCCCTATCTTGTCAACGCCATAGACGCCACTTGTATATGTAACGTGAGTATGACCATCTCTTAGACTAACTCTACACAATGGCTGATTCCAACAAGAAGAGCGTGCTAATCGTTGGCGGTGGCGCCGTCGGTGCAATCGCAGCCGTCAATCTCGAAGCCGGTGGTCTGGCAACGGTAACCCTCGTCCTACGCTCCAACTACGACGTCGTCAAGGAACACGGATACACAATCTCCAGCTGCGATCATGGAAACTTGAAAGGATGGAGACCCAGTGTCGGTATGTTTGGCAACCTCACTCTTCTACACCTCGACGACTTTTGGGGGCGGCCCAATATTCAAACTGAGTATGGCTTGTGCGTGTGTAATGTAACATGAGGAAAAAGGCAAGCTAACATGTAAACCATTGTTTTTTTGAAATAAAGTCCGCAACAGTATCCCCGATCTCGTTGGGGAGGGCATCGAGCAGCCATTCGATTATGTGATGCTTTGCACCAAGAACATGCCGGATATCCTTCCCACGGCCGTCGACCTAATCAGCCCTGCTCTCCCCACTGGCAGCAATGCGAGCAAGACTACCTTGATACTCTTGCAAAACGGGTTGAATATCGAGAAACCGTTTCTGCGTCCTCATCCCAATGTTTGTATCCTGAGCGGTATCTCCATGATTGGTAGTGCGGAAACTATGCCTGGTACTATTGTAAGTATTTATCCCTGTTTCTTTTTTTTATTCTTTCTGTATTGGTCTGGAAGGTGATAAGTTTGTATGTGTATATATCTACTGATTGCGCGCCCTGACCAAACTTTTTTTTCTTCCTTTAGGTCCAAGATGAAGGCGATAAATTGTTAATCGGCGCCTTTCCCACATCAAACATCAACCCCGCTGTGCCCGAACGACGCGCCGAAGAATTCGTGCACATGTACTCGGCAGGCGGCAAAACAAAGTGCACTTACTCGCCCAACGTCCTGCACGACCGGTGGAAGAAATTGGTCTTCAACGCCTGTTTGAATCCAATTTGCGCCATTACGGGCCTGGACGACGGACGGCTGCGCCTAGCGGACGGCGCGCTCGACGGCCTCGTGCGACCAGCCATGCGCGAAATCGTTGCCGCGGCCAAGGCGGTCTGCGGTGTGGACTTGGATCCAGGAGTTGTGGAGGAGACGATCCATGTTGATCCGTTGGAGAGCTGGCTGAAGCCTAGTATGCAGCAGGATTTGGAAAAGGGTAATTTCCTCGAGTATGAGAATTTGTTGGGGGAGCCGTTGAGGGCGGGGAGGAATGCTGGGGTTAGTATGCCGACGTTGGAAGTGCTGTATTACCTTGCCAAGGCGATTCAGTGGAGGATCAAGGAGAAGAGAGGGTTGGTTGAGGTGCCGGGGAAGAAGTAGAGTGGTTGGAGGGTGGGAGGTGGTGTTGCGACTATGTACATCACGTAGATGATGCTGGCAACTTGTCATGTCGTCTCACTAATCATAGAGGATGCGTTGCATTATCAAGAATCACAGTGCGAACATGGGAGAAGGTTGTGATGGTCGAAGACACGTATTACTCCGCTGATACCTTTTTGTAGTGCCCACCAGTCTAAAAGTGTTAGAGTATGTAGAGACGTGCTTTCTAAGCAGTGAAGAAGTCGCGTTTAGTAGTCGTAGTTAACAAAGACGAAGAAGTTTTAGTAAGACATGTCTGATTTCAAGTTCTATGTACCGTAAATACGAGTAAAGGGAGTAGGAAATCCGATGCCCTCATGTTGAAGGAAGCTGTCCTTCCTTATATGCTTCGGTAATTGAGTATCGAGTATATCCATCCAAGATACCCTATGTACTGGCACATCAGCGGTATGGTCCAAACGAGTTAAATTACCGCAGTCAGCTTTGCTTAGAAAATCACCTGCGTTGATTCTCCTTCTTTGAGAATAATGGACCAGCTCTTTTCACCGACATGTTATATGTCCGTACTCGCATTCCATAGGAGGAAAACAGTTTTTCCAGGTATCGTTGGCCATGTTCCCTCCATGGCTCCGACCCCCGCTCTAGATGCCATTCTCAACCCAATCCTTCGCGTACTTGTAACCGATCCATTGCTCTGCCTCTGGCACGACCTCGCCGTGCGCCGCCCATGTGATATCCTTCTTGATGATGGGTAGCTCCGTGCCTTTAGGAACATTAGGAAAGTACGTCAAGTTTTTAGCTTGCATATCTGCCAGATACACGGGTTGATCCGAACGTAGGGAGCGATACGGCCTCCAGCTCTGCCCAATATGCGTTGACTTTGTATCGATTTCGGGATACAGCTTTTCAAAACCTTCGCCGCGGATGTACGAGTAGACATCCATAGCATGTGCGATAAAGTCGCTAACAGTCGGAGCAGTCCAGATCGGATGACTTTTTGAAAGGTCCGAGTTGCGAAATGTTGGAACTTTGATGCGCCAATAAGGCAAGTAGTACTTGACTCTCATCGAGGGGTTGTCGTTGCATAGCCTTGTAAGACAATCAAGGGTATCCGCGTCCTCCGTCCCAGGTTCCACACAACGGCTCATGGTCTCTATCGTGATGTTGATCGTCTTGATCCACGACCTTTTCGTGACGGGTATCGACGACAGCCATCGATTCAGCAGTAGGAAAGATGACGCGTATCCGTTCTTTCTGGAGACACGCAATGTGATTTCGTTGTATTTAAGCTCCAAGCCAACGGTCTCAGCGTAAACTTCCTTGCTGACATACTTGAGCTGGTTGTACTCGACAGTGTCAAATTCAAACGCAAGTTCGTCAAGCGCGTCGGTAGGTGTCGCACGGAGGTAGAGATAATGCCTCTTGTTAGTAGGGTTGTACTCGTCCCAGAGGACCGGATCGAAGCAACGGAGAGGTTCTGGGGCGGTGAGAGCGAGCTCGTAGATGGTGTTGCGGATCTCAGCCGGCAGCATGCTCAGGAAGAGCGAGCTGCTGGCCATCTCGATGTGAAGATTGACTTGGCTTGGTTCATAATCGAAGTACAAAGAACGTGAAGTAGTTAAAACGAACACGATTAGGCAGCAGCTGCCGTCCACCAATGAGAGCACGAATACGCAAAGAACGTATTATCAGTATGAACGACAAGGAAATCGCGGGTTTAACCAGAAGTTATTTATTTGCTACACGCCGCCTGACTGGGAAAGCGCGCTGTCTCCCGTACTACCATTTCAACAAGACAGCTCGTGTTACACAAGCGGCCCGACGTCTTTCCGCAGAAGTTTGTGAACCTCACATTCCGTGTTTACTGCTGGCTCGGCGGATGCTATCATCGAGCACGCTATCATGCCTGTGAGCTAAAAGTTGTGATTGAGACTTTTCGTCCATCTCATGACACTGTGCAGGCATTGTTGCCTACTTGAACGAAGTGTTTCAAGAGTAGTGTATCTATGCATAGATGAGAAAGATAACAGCCTACAGTGTTGTTGATCTGTTATAAGCTTATGTGGACTGCAAGATACTAGGTAGGGCTTATTGACCCTGCACCTGTTCAGCTTTTCTCTCGTATGGCATGTTAGTGGCGTAGAGGTCCTGCATGGTTACCTTGGCAGCTGGCTCCCTTCGACGTCACGTGGAAGCCGGATAGACACCCTCACGAAGCATCGTACGATATCACAACATGTAAGCGTGCAGGTCTACGATGGACTCGATGTACCAGGTTGGTGTTGCAGCAGCTCGGCGAGATGCTAACGAATAGGCACAATGGATCAATCATGACAAAGCGAGGCATTTTCTCTCATCGCGATCAAAATGTAGTTCGCATCGTTATTCGATCGGAGAAGGCGACGTATCATGGAAGGATGGCCATCCGAAGCAGGGCCGCAGAGTTGGCGATTGGACAGTCACTCGTTCGCGTCGATGTTGTGGAGGGAGGTTCCTTCTAGCAGGCGGGCCATGGCATTGCCGCTGCAAGGGCATGAAGATCTTTTGTCGTAAAACCGGTAGAGACGGAAGATCTTTGGGCTCTGACGGCGTGCGGCATGCCAGGATAAACCAGGTTTTGGTGGGCTAAAGAGCGGAGCCGAGGTGGCGGTGCAGTTCGGCTTATGGCTGGTGCTTGGCGAGTGACGAATGACGAGTGACGACGCTGTGAACCAACTTGGGCTGCTGGCCATGACCGGCAAGAGTCAAAGAATCTTTTTAACTCCTCCACGTGAACTCCTCTTACTCATCGCCTGTCTCTCCTGTGACTGTACCCTATGCCCTTCTGCTCGCGCACCGAGCAGCCGACCTCACAACGACATTCTTGAGCGCTTTCGAGCGCGCGCGCCCAGGCTTGGATCCCTCTCAGCCACGCTTTACTGCTTAGTACACCAACAACACGACGATTCCAGACAAATCCTCAGCCGCGCAATCAGCCCACGCCAGCCCACGGCCTGAAATACTGGAAAGCAGCGGACCCGACAGCCTGATTCTATCCACACAACGCAGCGAAGACGTATACGCGCCGTGCCAGGCAGAACCGCCTAGAATCTGTGATACCCAACACAACCAGCGCATATTACTCCAAACATGGCACTCAACGGGGTGCGTCGGAAGGACACAACTAAAGGGCCGCCGCTGCGCATTCTGTCGCTAGGTAGGTTATGATGCAAGGCTCCAGTATGGCAGGTGCTAACCCATGTGACAGACGGCGGAGGCGTGCGGGGGTACTCCATGCTGATAATCCTCCAAGAATTGATGCACCGAACTTTTGTCGAGACCGAAGGCCGAGCCCCAAAACGGCACGAAGTACCAAAGCCATGCGAACATTTCGATCTCATTGTAGGAACCGGCACCGGAGGTCTGATTGCCATAATGCTGGGTAGACTGAGAATGGACGTGGAGACGTGCAAAGACGTCTACGTGCGCATGACGAGAAGAGTATTTGAGACGGACAAGACGTTTGCCGGCATACCATATCGATCTACATTGTTCAAGGCGTCCAAGCTAGAGGAAGCTATTATGCAATGTGTGCGCGAACACACCATCTACGATGACGAAGGCAACGACAACCACAATGGGCAGGATGCACCGCCCATGACCCCGGGCAGTGCTATTTCGGGCCGTATGCAAAGGAGCGCTAGTAATGCCAGCAACTATAGCCAGATTGGCATGACGCCCGTAAATATGCGCATAGCCGCCATGAAGTGGGGGAACCCTCACGCTCTGCTATACGACAACCGGGAAGAGCGCACTAAGACGTGAGTGAATCATACATGGGCAGTGTTTCAGTCTGCTAACTTTGACAGCGCCGTCACGGCCGTGTACAAAGGCACAAGGAAATCTGGCGCTGGCCAGATCCTGCTCCGCTCCTACGATTCCCGCAAAGAACCCGCCATCGAACCCAACGCCACAATATGGCAAGCCGGCCGAGCCACATCCGCGACTGCCCTGGCATTCAAGCCCATCCAAGTCGGACAATCCGTCTTCCTCGATGAAGGTTCCGGCAAATACAACCCAGCCCCCATGGCCCTCGACGAAGCCGTCTGCAACGAATGGCCCGGCCGCGAAGTCGGCGTCTTTGTGAGCATAGGGACGGGAAAGCGACCCGAAGGCACAAACGCCCAACAACATCTGTGGTGGGAAGGTTTTGTGTCAGGCGGCATCGGCGACTTTGCAGAGGCCCGCCGCAAGCTCATTCAAAAGATCGAAGACTGCGAAAAGACACACAAGGAAATGAAGGACCATCTTGCGAAACGACATGTCAATCCGGAAAATTACTATCGCCTGAATGTCAATGTGGGTGTTGGGGAATTTGGAATGAATGAGTGGAACGCCCTCGCAGAAATCAGCACAAACACGCGCATGTACCTTGCAGAGAAGAGCGTCCAATCCATGACCCTCGATTCCGCCGCCAAAATCGCCAGAATCCATTTCGCAAAAGTCCGCTGGGAGCGCGCGGCCAAAGGCGAGTCTCCTTTCTCACCAGGCGCCCAGGCACCCAATAAACCCCTCCCTACCGTCCCAGACCCTGCACCCATGGCCGTCGAACTACCAGCCGAGGACCTTGCACCAGAATACTACACTAATATCCATCCTGCATTTCGACCCGCGGCGGAACCAAGACGGCCGAGTGACAACGACAAATTCCTCGTTGTGTCAAGTGATGAGTATCCGCAGTCGGCCAGTACAGATGGCTTCTCGGACCTCCCGCCACGTCACTCTGGTGAACTAGTGTCTCCGGGTCGGCGCTCAGATGAGCAGTTTCAAGCGGGAAGGCCGGTTTCTTGGATGAGCAGTGCGACGAGTTGGGACGATAGGTTGAGCAATGCGCCGCCGAGGCCGCCCAAGACGCCCTTGCAGGATGGCTATGGTCCGCCGCCGCCACTGTCGTCTGGCGGGTTGAGGACCAGTCCGCCGGCTGGAAGCAGTTTTGCGAGACCACCGCCTGGAGCGCCGCTGCCGTATCCGGATACAGATGGTCCGCCGCCTATTGTTAACAAGGCTACAAAACCGGATTATTCGAGGTGATAGAGAGAGAGAGAGAGTCTCCTCATGTGTGTAAGCGAAACTCATGATTTTGAAACGGCCGAGAAAGTTGCATGTTGAACGATGTATAGTTTAGATACCCATTCGAAGTTTTTTTTTTCCTCTTCTCTTTTGCTCCGTTGATGAATATTGAGGTGGTGTCCTCTTTTGTATTTCGACATGTTCCTCATGATGTGATTCCTTTTTGCATCCCGTTGTGTTCATGCTGTCTGAGAGTAGAGGACATTTCGCTCGCGAACGCCGATCAGACTATATGAAATAGCTCCCCCGGGATCCAACGATATCAGTAGTACATCCTTGTGAATGCGACTACGCGATCAGACCCAGCCCTCTGATTGAATCAGAAATCTTCGCCGACTTGCCCTTCCTCCTTTGGCTCAGGCTTAACACCAATCGTCTCCCCCTCAACAAGATCACCATCAACAATTTCTTCGTCGGTGAGATCCCTCCCAAGCTCCTTCTTCTTACGACCGCGTTTAGTCGGAGTCTTGACATCCGCTTCTCCCTCAGCAGCAGCAGCAGCAGCAGCAGCACCGCCCTTGGCCTTGCGCTTACGCGGAGTCGGAGTCTTCTTCGGGGTACCAGTACTGTCGTTGGTACCTGGATCACCAGACGTGAGAGCTTCGACCTCGTCCTTGAGCGCGGCCTTCTTGAGGCGATCTATCATGCGCTGGCAGGCGATGATGGAACGGCCGGCGGGGCGTGGAGTGTTCTGGAGTTCTCATGTTAGTTGTCGGTAGATTTTATGGCAAGACGGGGGAGTATGTGGGATGTGCGAAAGAGGGAAAATAGGGACATTGGCTACGTACGTTGTAGTCGAACTTGACGTTGGAATTCTCAATGAGAGTGAAGAGGTAGGTGAGCTGTTTGTTTGTTTTTCTTCTTGTCAGTCTTTTTTTGTGCGGAGGCTTGGGGTGAGGAGGGGAGGTTGGGGAAGATATACACGCTCCTTGTCTGTCCAACCAGAACCAGTCTTCGTGCCTTCGTTGCCTGACATGGTGACTCTAGTGTTTCAAGGTTGTGTTGATGTTGGTAATTTGTTTGGATCCTAGTGTATGGCCGTGGTATGTAATGGCAAAGGGATGGCGGACTGGTGTGCGTGGAAAGAGTTGCGAAGTTTTCGGAAGCGGGGGATATGATGATGGATCTTTGTTCGTATATGGTAGCGTTGTTGTGATGGTGAACTGATGGTGAACAGGTGAAGGTGAGTTTTGACACACGTAGGCCCTACTAAATGCAGAGATTGCGCTATCTCGAGTGTCAGAAATTCGTCAGTGAGAGCCATCTACGAGTTGTACAGTTGTCATGTTTCCCTTCATTGAGTATCCAGATATGGCATTGTCGGTTTATGTTGGTGGGCTAATGTTGCATGCATTTCTATAAATATGCTGTGACAGATTGAACGGCAACCCCCAAGGTCATATCATATCATATACATAGAAGGGTAATGTATACATGACTTGGCGTTGATCTTCAGAGCATGGCTACCACGTTTCCGTTAGCAATCTGTACTCACCTTCACCACGCATCGTGAACTCTGCACCATTGACCACGTGCCGTCTTTGCTGTTCGAGGACTCACAGTGAGGTTGAGTTCCACCCGCTTGGCAGATTTCCCACTCTAGATACAAACGTCAATCGCTTCCTCACCCTGCTTTCTCGCTCTACCTCTATTTTCCATCCTCAGCCTGCGACGGCCATAACCCTTTCCCTACTATATCTGAAAACTCCTGCTCAGTCAATATCTCCTTCGGCAATACCACATCATGTCTGGTCAAGGTAACGCTCAGAGTTGGACTGAACACGAAGTTGTACGTTCCCTTCCATCCACTTACGAAACCGCAAAACTGACAGTGAACAGCTCGTCTACCTCCTCAGCGTTATTGAGGCTGGCAATGTGCAACTCGACTACAATGTGAGTATTCCTGTATTCACTATGAAACCAGGTGTACCACTCCTAAGTAGAGCTCTTTTGATTGACATAATACAGATTGCTCCTGTACCTGCTGGCCGCAACGTGAACGGATGTCGTCAGAAGATGAACAAGACTAAGCTTGCGCTGAAGCCAGAGATTGATGCACTCAAAGCTGGATTACCCATTGCTGCCGCTGTCACTACCCCTGCTGGTGGAGCCCCAACCAAGAAGGCTGCTACACCACGCAAACGCAAGCCGAAGACCGATAATGAGGGCAACACTGGTGAGGTTACTCCCAAGAAGGGTCGCAGTCGCCCCAAGAAGAACAAGGAGCCTACTCCTGAGGCTGAGGAGGATCAGACGGATCTGGGTGTCAAGCCAGAGTTTGGAGAAGACGAGGAGGACGACATCCTGAAGGAGGTCGAGCTGATCTGAGACTGTCCCTAGCCAGCAGTGTGGCACCAAACGCATGTGCATGGAAAAGTTCATTGTGGGGGTTCTGCAGCACGTATTAGCGTCTAACGTTCAGACTACGTTGACGGCATGCTTGGAGTATTATCTGCGTCTTGGTTAGCTGTGCCTCCGGCTTCCACAATCCCCAGGCACCAAAGATGTACTTGAAGAATACAAGTCAAATACTTGAAACCGACATGCCTTATCCTAATCAACACACCAAGCCAAACCCGTCTAATAAAGAAGCGGAGTTAATCCTTTTTTCTTCTTTCCTTTAAAAGCCCCCACAGGAAGGAAAAAAAGCATACGAGTCAAAAACCGCCTGCAGCCCTACCCGTTCGTCGATCTGGTTCATGCGCGTGCGCTCGCTCCAACCATTGCTGCATGTAAAACTGTTGAGAACCGGTGAAAGTGGGTCCCGGGGTCAAGGCAAGCTAGCAGCGGGCCATCCCGCAGATGAGAGCGGAAGGGAAGGGGGGAGGGGCTGGGCTGGGCGGTCGTGCATGGCATTGTGGCTGGTGTGGTATGGGGAGGGGTCTGTGCTACTATAGTCTGGCGCTGTTGTTAAGGACGCGTGGAAGATTTCGGGATCCCGTTTTATCTCGAGGTGATACGAGATAAGGGACTTTTGTGATAAGCTGATCGTCCTTACTGCACTCATGTGTGGAAGTAGTCATTGAGGTCTTCGGAGAATGAGGGGGGCCGTCGTCGGAGGTAGAGTATGGCAGATGGTATTGTTTAACGCCAGTGAAAAGGTAGTCTCAACAAGTACTGTTGTTGAGAACATAGTAATAGTGACGTGAGACGGACACTCTATCCGTCAATGATTTGACATCACCATTGCAAAGTGGAGACGGGGGATTGATCTTAAGATTGTCCATAACATGTTGCATTTTCATTCCACAGTGCAATCATTTGCACCAAGGTCGGAGGTATCTAGTGTGTACTACAAGTCTCGTGAGAAGACGAATGAAGTGTAGTAGGGTATCGAGTATCCATCCAGCCATCCCACAAGCACAAGTCGAGAGAAAAGGAAAAGTAATTTTGGTGAGACCCAGTGCCCAGTCTAAAATGAAGGCCGTTACCGAAACAAGAACCAAAGAAAGGTGCATCTTCAATTAAAGACGAACCGTAGCGCCAAAAGCATGTTCAAGAATCGAAGGAGCTCTACAAGTGAGCAACACCGTTGGTGACCTCAGTCACACCAACAGTAGTGCCATTCAGCTTCTCGCTCGCAACAAGCTGCGACACCTTCTTGTCGAAGTACTTGGGCTCAGTGTAAGGGTCGTACATGTTCTTCTTGATGTAGGCGTCGAGTTGCTCGTCAGTGAGACCACGGAGCTCGGTAGCACGGTCAACACCGTTCTTCTGAGCCGCACGAATAACACCACGGGTGACAATGACGGAAACCTCGCGGATGCGGCGGATGTCCGGATACAGCCAGCCGTCGGCGACTTCTTGCTTGTTGAGAGAAGTCGAGAGTGACTCTGCAGAGGCGTAGATCATGTCTTGTGTGACGGAGACGGCCTTGGAGATGATGGCACCCAGTCCGATACCAGGGAAAACGTACATGTTGTTTCCTTGGCCGGGAGTAAGCATCTTGCCTCCAAACTCCATTGAGGGGAAGGGAGAGCCGGAAGCGAAGAGGCAGCGTCCCTCGGTGGCAACGACGGCCTCCTCGAATGTGCACTCGGATTTGCTTGAAGGGTTGGAGAGAGGGAAGATGATGGGGTGGTTGTTGATCTTGGCCATCTTCTCGAGGATGTCCTTGTTGAAGGCACCGCCAATGGTCGACAGACCCATCAGGATGGTGGGCTGTACGTAGTCGATGAGGCGGCTGAGTGACTGGTATTGACGACCGTTGTTGTCGTCGCGAGCGAAGAAGACCTTGTGCTCGGCGAGCTTGTCGCCGCGGTCTAGGGTGACGAGACCGTTTGAGTCGACGAACCAGAACTTGCGCTTGGCCTCGTCCTCTGTCAGACCCTCCTTCATGAAGTACTCGACAATTTGCTTGGCAACACCGACACCAGCGCTTCCAGCACCGAGGAAGATGGCCTTGTGGTCCTTTGCGGGGACACCGGACGCCTTGACAGCGTTGATGAATCCACCGACAATAACAGCACCAGTTCCCTGGACGTCGTCGTTGAACATGGCGTATTGGTCTTGGTAGCGTTCCAAGGCGGGGAAAGGGTTCTTGAAGTCCTCGAATTGGATAACAATGCTGTCACACGATCAGTTTCCTGAATAGGATAATAGGTGGATGTTACGTACCTGGGCCACTTGTCGGTAAGAGCAGCCATGAGCTCGTCGAGGAACTCCTTCTCCTGCTCGGGAGTAACCTTGGGCATCCTGGAGCCCATGTAGAGAGGGTCGTCGCGGAGGGCCTTGTTGCTGGTTCCGAGATCGAGAGTCAGGGGCAGGGTGCTGTCTGGCTTGATACCAGCGCAGGCGGTGTACAGAGCGAGCTTTCCGACAGGAATACCCATGCCGTTGACACCAAGGTCACCAAGACCCAGGATACGGGATCCGTCTGTGAGGACAGTGATGTCGACCTGGTGTGGCCAGTTGTCGAGGATCTTGCGGAGGTTGCCCCGGTCGCTCCATGAGAGATACATGCCCTCGGGTTGTGTCCAGATTTCGTGCCATCGTACGCAGGCTTCACCAACGGTGGGGGTGTAGATGAGGGGGGTGAGTTCCTGGCTATGTTAGAATCGTGATTGCAAAGTGCCTCTGGTTGTTTCGTACCTTGATGTTCTCTCCTAGGAGACGGTAGAAAAGATGTGGGTTGGTGGCCTTGAGGTGGACGAGGTACTGGAACTTTTCGATGGGCGCCTGCTTCATGGCAAGGAGTCTGAGGCCTGGGAACGTTAACAAGGCTGACTTCTTCTTTCCAGGCATATCTACGCACATCGCTCGCTCTGAACGTCGTAGCTCTCAACGGCAGGGGGAGTGAGGCCGTATGTGCCCAGGGTTTTGCGGACATCGGGCGTGTACGACAGGTCGTAGTCACCGGAAGTGGTGCTCAATTGGCGGGCCATGTTGGGTCGAATGGCGGAAGGCATGTTGTCGGTTGCTACAGTGGCCATATAACGAACGAAGGGAGGTTTCTGGATTGAAGAACGGAGGCCTTGGGCGGGAGCCGTAACTTTTATAAGCGACCTGAATCGCTGCATTGAAATGAGCTGAAACGACGCGTCGGCAATTGAAAAGGAATTAGGAAGACAGCCCGCCTGGGGCGCGGAGGATGGGGGGCTACATAATAGTCAGCCTATCGGATGGGTCTAGGTTCCGCAACAGTCAGTCTGTGAGGAGATCCGTTCTCGCCGTCAAAGTGTGCCTGTAAAGGAAGCATGGACCAGCCCGTTGGTGACTTTTACGCGAGTCCCTTCCCCAAGTATCTCTCTTGGCGACGACAACTCCGCATACCACGACGATAAGGTTTTGTCGCTTCTGTATACACTCCTCTCTACAATCACACCATTCACACAGCACACTCGCGACATTCTTCAGTAATTTTCTTGCTAAATCCGGGACATGCCATCCTCGTCGTGTCACAGCCACAGCCACCGGGTAGCAGGGGTCATGACTGGACGTGCATATCACTCGGGAGCAATCGGAACGCCCATTGCCTTGACGGAATGCCGTAGGATTCTTCCATGGCCAAAATCGTTGTCCGTTCTGTGCAGATTTGTTTTTGCCGGTACTGCAAACCGAGCTGGCAAGTAGCCCGAACGCGTGGCAGCAACGGTATTTGTCTCTACCATACCGCTGTTTTCTTTTGTTCAACGACGGCCTTCCAAGGTTCGCATAGCCCAACACACGTCTTGTCAGGCATCGAGGCATTTTATTCCCGCAGTCACAGTCAATGCGCAGCGCCGCGTTGCAACAGCGTGCTTAATTATTAATCGTGTTGATCTTACGGGAGTTGTCTCGTGTCCTTTCGCCACAGCACTGTACGAAGGGTACCTTGGATGCGTTACTCAGGTCAATAGCGCCATGGACATTAGCCAGATCAACACCTCCGTCTGCTCTCGCGGGTCCGCACCGGCTCCATGGACGTACACCGCGACCCGACGAATTGCTAATCAGTATGAGCGGTGTGTCTTTGTACCGCACAACGGAGCCGCTGAGGGCAACTTTTTTTTACGCAGAATGTGCACCCCTGACTGTTCGCTAACGGACCGTTGGTGGCATGGTGCCAGGGGAAGCGCATGCAACATCCGATTGCTCTCGCCCCATGTCTGTGACAGGCCGGACTGTCTCTTTAAAATAACTCACTGTCTACAGGTAGCCGTGGGATCCGGTCCGAGTGTCGACATAATTCCATCTGATTCAGTTCACGTTTGACCACTCCTACTATATATCGGAGGTCCCAGACTCTACACCTGCAGCTGCAGATGCGACTACAGTGGCTGGTGGATCACCCGCGTGGTGTGGGGAAAGCTTGATGGCTTGGGTAAGGCAGCCGCCTAGGGCTTCGCGCCCAGTTCCTACCATCTTCCGAGAATTGGGGCACGCGACTCCACAATCCACAGCACCACGGGTGGTTACGGACGACGAACTTTATTGCGTGCTATTACCCACATCCGACTTTCGCATTCAAGTCTCTGCTCACGATGGCTAATTTGCAAGCATCAACCATTGAACAAGTCACTATTATTAATCGATTGCCTCTCCTTACCGCAAAGCTGCGACTGTCATGCAGCTGTCAAGTCTCACCGTCTCTCTGACGCCTTGGCGGGCGAGTCAGTACAGTACATCTCAGATCTGGAAGCCCACGCTTGCATGAAGCCTTGTGGTCCGAGCAGACTAGCGTGGGTCGTAGTCTGTGGCACTCTCAGTCTATAATGTCTCATCGGAATCGGAGTCGGTGTTCACTGCATCCTTCAGGATCAATAGACCCAAAGATCCGAGACCATGAGAGCGGACTACTTTGCACACAACAATGACAGCCTCAGTTTTCGACCCACCAGCGCGCCCATAGCTATCGACATCCTGTAAATATCCTCTTCGAGAGGCCCATTCGGGAAGAGCAAACACTCATTCGATTGGTAAGGAATCTGTTGTAACAGCACCACAATTAATTTTAGCGAACAACAGTCGGTCGACGTTGCCTACGTTGAACTTCTTCTGTAAACCTGCTTGTATATTCTCAGATTCTTGGTAAAGCACACTGATGGCCTTCCGTTGGCGTCAAATGTCAACTATGACGCAGCGATATTCGGAGACACCTCCGCGTGGCTGCGACAGACTCCTAAGCGTGTTGATAACCTGTTCACGATAATCTGAGTGCTCGGAGAAATATCGAAACAGCCAAATTTACTACACGGAGCGCAACCCATTCATCTCATGAGGCTTTTGATCACTGCTTTTCTGCGCCTTCTCTTGACTACCTACGAATCCTGGAGCTAGGGAGTGACTTGCCTCGGCATCGCAGAGCACCCAGCCAACTTCGCATGCGAATATGAACATAATCATGGCAAATCGATATGTTGTATGCTTATAGAGTCGATGCAGATGCAAACAACATGAGTGCATACACACCACGTGCTTCGAGAGTGATGCGCGAACCATAGGTTGGGGCATGACACCCGGCCATTCGTTCTTGGCGCATTTGTGGGGCCGCGGATCGACGAGCGGCATGACGTGGGTCGTAGCTTCCCTCGTCATCCTGACCAACGCGTAGTTGGAGCCTGGAACCTTGGACAGCTTCAATAGCTTCAACGCGAGCTATACTCCAGCTCTCCCCACGTTTTACCAACCTCAATTGCTCTTTGCTCGGCGAATTAGTGACAGAAATCATCGCAATGTCACTCTCATCATGTTTCGGGTCGCGCAAACGCGACGATCAACAGCCGTTGTTGCCACAGGTATGTTCACGCGTTCAACCACAAAATGATGGTTGCTGACCGTAACGAATAGTATCGTGATGACACAACGCTCCAGCGTGAGGTGCATCAGAAGCTCCACTCGTACCAGATGTGGAGGGCGCTTACTATGGGTTTCATGCCATCTAACGAGCAACTCATCATCAATTTGCGCAGCTTGCTATCTGCAGATATCCTGAATCCAGAGAACCCCGATTTGAGCGATTCAGGTCGTCTGCTAGTCAAATTCACGAAACAATGGCTTCATCAATTCATCGACACGATGAACCACAAGAACAGCGAAGATCAGATTCAGGACTTTCTCTGGTACCTTTCCAAGGCTAGAATCTCTGTTGATGTTGGTGATATGGCGAGACGGACGACAAGGTCAAAGGCAAAGGCAGATGCTACTGCAGGTGCGTGCATACACATGTGTCCGACTGTCATCCGCTAACGCGTCCACAGCATACCAGAGCCTTCAGACTGTCGGGTCTCTACTCCTCACCAACTCAGACTTCCGCCTTTTCCTCTCTGATCTCAACGTCGTCGGTCGCGAAGTCTTCCGAGACTCTGCCTTTACACTGTCGAATGTGGCGAAGAAAGCTGCAAAGAAGATCGAGCCTTCGCCAGCAGAGTACAAGGCCCTTAAAGAGCCAGGTGCCGATGAGAACCTCGCACATTCCGCCGAGGAGCTGAGTGGTGAGGTCACTGAGGTGGCTCAGGTTGTTGGAAATGGTGTGGCCAAGGTTGCTCACAGGGCAGACGTCAGCCTAGCAGAGAAGCTACAGGGCGACGAGGGTGAATCGCTCTTGTTCCGTCTGAAGAAGACGGTCACGAACCTGAGGCAGAAGAGGGACTACAACGACTCCGTATCTGTACTGGCACTGCTGCTGAAGCGCTACGCCATGGCATATTCTCGCACAGTTGAAGACGCCATGGGCACGCTCGAAGAGGACGTCGACACGAACCCAGCAATGGACAAGGCTGTCAAGAACTTCTGGACTTTCATAAGCTCCTTTGGCGACAAGCAAGAATGGAAGAAACTCGAGGATGCCTTCCACAAGGTCTTGGAGCACTCCCGCAAGGACCCCGAATTTGAGGATCTACTCACCGACGTCGGCAATTCCCTCCAGAAGCTGCTTACTGACCCCGATTTCTTCGACCACATCGACGAGAAGTTTCAGGAGCTCAGGAAGAAGGCCAAGGGTGTTGGAAGCGAGTCGTCGCTTCGCCAGGATGTTGATTTGTTCTTTGAGCAAGCTCAGCGAACCTTTATGGCTGTTACACAGGACGAGGACATTGCGAAGATGATGAAGACAACCATGAGGATCTGGAACATCCTGTCGCCCATGCACTCAGCCACCAACAGCGAACTGGTTCAGGACGCCATCAACGTGTTCGTTCCTCTGGCAGTTCAGGCCATCCAATATATTCCTATTCCTCGCCTCGAGGTCTCCACACCCGAGATCGACATGCTCTTGGAGAACTTGATCATCGAACCCGGAAAGACGGTCAACCACACCTCCTTCTTGCCTTTCCGCTTCAAAGTAGAAACCTACAACGACTTTGAACTGCGCAAGGCGCGCTTCCGCGTCGCATCAAAGGCCACATCCAAGTTCACCATCAAGATTGACGGTCTCTCTTTCCGTGCTGACGAAGTCGGCTTCCTCCTCCGCGCACATTCTGGTCTTCTCCGTCTCGCCGACGAGGGCATTGCATCCTTCCAGCTGGACGAGCGCGGCATCGACATCCACCTCGACGTCGAAGTCGGCAAGGAGAAGCTAGAACAGATTCTCACCCTCAAGGCCGTACGTGTACATATCCACAAGCTCACGTACAAGCTGCGCAAATCCAAGTTCAGCATCCTCGGCTGGCTGTTCAAACCCCTCCTCCGCCCCATTGTCCGCAAGGTCATGGAGAGGCAAATGGCCAAGGGTATCGCAGATGGCATCCATGCTGCTAACCGCGAGCTCCTCTTTGCGCGCGAGCGATTGAGGGCGACGAGGATTTCTGATCCGGATGATCTCAAGACTTTTGTCAAGGCGGTCATTACGAGGCTCACGCCGGCTGATGATCCGGACGTGTATACGAGGGTGGGTGTCGAGGCGAACAAGAAGGGCGTGTTTGCGGGCAAGTATGCGCCCGGTAGTGTTGTTAAGTTGTGGGAAGAGGAGGGGAGGAGGGCTGAAGAGAGGATTGATGATTGGGATGAAGGGGGTTGGAGGAATGATGTTTTTGACTTGCATGCGTTGGCTATGGCTTAGGTGTGTACGTCTTCTTTCTTTGTTTTCCTTTCGGTATGATTGTTGAGCGTTAATGGGTATGTGGGGGTTTATGATGGGCATCTCTCTCTGGGCACAAAATGTTTTCATAGCGGATCATGGTTATTGGGCTGCTGGTTTGTTCTCGGTCATGGCATCTTCTAATGTAGTACAAATGTTACCATTATGATCATGATCCAATGTGTGCTTTCATGACTGCAAGCACGCCCCAGCCTTTCCATCTCACCGTTCATTCATGCAGTCTTAGCGGTTCGTCCGCGCTAAGAATTGCAGTGCACAGCGCTCTCTCCCGCTCCCTCACGGCTCTTCCCTTTGTTCCGCCCTAGACATGACCAATGACAGCCCAGGGCACGCAGCAATACACATGCAGCCTTCCCACCCCCCTGTTACGAAGTATGGGAGAAGTCAGCACACCTAGGTACACAGCCACGATTTCAACTCTTCGTCTGCGCTAAAGATTGCAGCGCAGCCTGGTGGTAGCCTTCCACTTGCACTACAATTCTTAGCGTAAATGAGTAAAGATCAACTCCAACGTTCATACTCCCCCACCAAATCAATAGAACAAGAGGCAACGCTGAATAACCAAGAAGCCTATGATATTGTTGCTCGATGGTGTGTCATGTATGGAGCTCTACTAATGAATCATCGTTAGAGTACATGGTGTCAAGGTTTTCCTCGACCATCATCTTGTTTACCGATTAATGCTTGCACTGCGATCTTTAGCGCAAACGAGTAGCCAAGATTGTGGCTACGTATTTTGAAGTCTGCCTTGCGTACTGGCTCTAGCAAGTCTGCCGTGCACTGCATTCTTTAGCGCGGACGAGCAGGTAGACCTAGACCATATGCATGAGGGAAAATGCGTGTGATTGGCAAGAACATTTCCACGCACATACGTGTACGAATTCACTACGAATGCACTGCAATCTGTAGCGTGGACGAGGGGTCGAGATTGTGTGGCCAACATGCAACAGGGCCGATCTGGACTACCTTGAGAAGACTATAGACCAAAAGTCATGTAGATATCGTGTGAGTGGCTGAATATGGTATAGTGCGCAGCCGCATATGGTATCTCGACAGCTCGTCTACGCTAAAGATTGCAGTGCAACTAGCGAGGGCGGTGATGCACTGCGGGAGCCTAGCGCAGGTGTCGCTATCTTCCTGTCAACCCGCTGGGATATAGTTAGACTTCGTAGCACACCGAAATTCTTGGTATGACACATAATCGTTTCCCCCAACAAGATGCTCCTTTATCGTCTACTGCTGGCAGCCTGGACTTCAAGCTAGGATAATTAAAGTCATCCCTCATAGCATTTTGAAGGTACTGTATCTTTTCCTCCGACGGCAGTTCAAGTACAGAGCTGTGGGACATATGATATTGACGTTTGAATTGACATCTACTTCATGAACGCCAGCTTTCACAGATTACTTTTTATCATACAAAGTATACATCGAGCTCAAGCCGTGAGCTCAGGTTTTTGGCACCATTGGAATGATATACCCTTGCAGGTAGTATGAGTTTCCAACTCTATACTCTGGTCTCTCACCGATTGAGAAGTCCCTGCAACTCCTTCTTCTTCACCCATCACCTTTCATCTAGAAAGGAGGCAGATAGAACGGGTACCCACCATTCTTCAACCTGAAGACACTCAGCAAGAAACTGTACATACCAAACAGCACACCGGTCCACAAGAACACCGCAAAAGACTGCGTACGCGCATCCTTAATCCTAGGAACCTTGATGGCAAGGGAGATGGCCGCGAAAGCAAGTACACCGTAGATGGCAGCAACAATCTGGCTCTCGAGACCATACTGGTTGCTGAAGCCACCAGCGAAATAGCTCATACCACCTTTGCCATCACCAACAACATACGGCGTCTTACGAATGTGATTGAACATGTGGCCAGACGTGAAGAGCAAGACGGCAATAAGGGAGACAGCAGCCCACAGATTGCGGTTCTGCAGCAGGGGAACGAAATAAGGCCATGCAACGGAGACAGCGGTGATGCCACCAAGCACAACGGTGGTGACGGTGATGATCTTGATCCAGTTGATGGGGCGCGAGACAGCAGGCTTGGGCAGTTCAGCAGGGACTTGTCGTGAGATCCAGGCGTGAATTTGTTCTGCGGTCTGGGGACCGGCGGTGAAGTCGAAGCGGACGGGTGAGGCATCTGGTTTTGCGTGGGTGCCGACGGTGGGGTGGAAGTAGAGGAGGACGGGGGCGGTTTGCAGCATCATCTTCGAACAGTTAGTATGTACATTCTACATTTAGATATATGGGAAGCAGAGGGGCTCATCTTACCGACTGGAAAACGTTCTTGCCATCTACGAAATCCAAGGTTCCGAATACAAGTCTTGTCGCACCGTTCTTGTCACCTTTCATCCAACTCTTACCCAGCAAATCCCACTCTGGCTGGAAATCCCGGCATAGCATGCAACCGAAACGCGGCTCCAAGGCTGTCAGCAGTATAGCGACGCCGTAGTCACGCGGAGACTTTGTCAATTGCGCATAGCTTGCATCGTCGAGCTTGAGTGGATGGCCGATGGATAGCGATTTGGCGCGGGCGTCATTGAAGCGGTCGCCGGTCGGTTTCTTGGCTGCGAGAGCTGTGAAGGGCAGCAGCGAGGCCGTGAGGAGGTTTAGCCACCGCATTGTGTTGTTGGGAAGCGGGTGGGATGGTTGGGGTTGCGGAGACTTGGTGGGTTGGACGGGAGCTCCAAAGCTTGGGAACGTGGCCTTGAGCGCTCGCCCGGAGATGCGGCGGCGTGCGTAATGGGCGCCAAGGCTGGCAGGGGTGTCGCGACATGGGCGTGGACCTTCACTCGGACTTGCAAACCTCCAAGTCGTTCGTCTTGGAGAATGCACTCGGTTTATTGACCTTGATCCATCGCGTCGTTTTGAATCCATTCAGAGTCATTCTTTCACTGTTGTGTTGCTAGTTCGGTACAGGCGTCTTCTCTCTGTTTGTTTACTCAGTCGCGTCCTCCCAAGGCCCCACCAGATCGATCGCACATCCACACTACACCTACAGATACAGACACATCATTGAGCAGATATTATACCATGGTCGCGACTATGGAGGCGGATATAGATACCAACTACGAGATGAAAGATGTAAGTAAAAAACTGCTGGACCCTGTTCCGCTGGTATCTTCTTAGACTTTCCGCTAACCCTTTGTGTCCTCTCAGCTCCAGAACTCGCTGCGGAACGCGACTCTCGAACTTAGTCTCGAGCGGAGTAAGCACTCGGTCGAAGCGGTAGTCAAAGACGAGGAAATCCGGAAGTTGCGGGTCGCCCAGTGCCTCCTGCAAGACGACAACAGCGATCTCCACGAACAACTCGAAGACGAGCAGGCACGCTCCGACGAGCTAGAGGCATCACTCGAAGAGGCCCTTGCACAGTTGGACGAGCAACGAGCAGAGGCAGAGGCAGCGCAAAACACCATCCGCACCCAGGCGCGGGAAGTCGCCAATCTCAAGGTAAGCACGTCCAGCTTGCCGATCAATGCACTGCTTGCTTACACTCCATCAGGCCGAGCTCAAGGCTATGGAGAACGTCACATCCGACTCCAACAAGATCCTCTCCGACAAACTCGCCCTCTCCCGCGAAATCTCATCATTACGCCCTGAAGTCGAACACCTACGCGCCCAAGTCGAATCCAACACTGGCCTCCTTGCCGAGAAACTCGCGCTACAACGCCAGATGGCGACGCTGCAAGTCGAGCTTGAGAACGAGAAACGGACTTCCGCCCGGACAATCGCCAAGCAAGGTAAGAAGATGGAGCAAGACGAAGACCTCCGCAACGAGCTAGAGGAAGCGCGCAACCAACTCGCAACCGAGAAGAAGGACCGGATGAAGGCCGAGGCAGGACTCACAAAGGCAGAGAAGGCTATGGAGAAGGTGCAGGCCGATCTGGAGTCACAACAACAGGCGACCGAAAGTCTGCAAGCCAAGGTTGAGAGCCTGTCTAAGAAGGAAGCCAGCAAGGCTGCTAAACACAGTGAGGCTCAAGATGCTGCGATTGAACAACTTCGCCAGGAACTGGAACAAGAAAAGGCTGCTCGTATCCAAGCAGAAAAGGCGAGCAAAAATGCTGCCTCCCGTGACGCAGAGATTGAAGAGCTCCGACAGGAACTAGAGCAAGAGAAGCGCGAGCGTCAAAAGGCAGAGAAGACAGCGAAGAAGGCTTCACAATCCTCGCAACAACCAGACGATCAAGCCGAAGCCACAAGGAGAGAACTAGAAGAAGAAAAGCGAGAGCGCAAGAAGCAAGAGAAGGAGTACACCAAGACCCTAGCTGAGCTCCAAGGCAAGAACGCCGTCCTTGATGACAAACTTGGTGCCTTCCGTGAGAAGCTACGAACGACAAAGGAGAAGCTCAAGGAGAAGGAGGCCGAACTCGAGAGAGCAGACAGAGCACAAACTGCGCCACCAACCAAGAGCATGGCGCCTCCTGCCACCATGCCTGCGAAGAATGCTCGGAAGCGCATGGCTGCTACGGCTGAACCAGAGACTATGCTAGGTACGCCTGGTGACGGGTTCCCTGCGAAGAAGGTGAAGCGCGCCACTTCTGTCACAGCTGTTGGCGACACATCGACATTCTCCCTCACACCCTTTTTGAACAAGACGTCTAGCATTGCACTTGGTAGTCCCATTATCGAGGAGGAAGAAGACGAAGAAGCTGAGCAAGAGGTCGAGGATTCGATGCAAGAACATGCCACACCAACGGCACCGCCCAAGAAAGCTCTCAAGCAACCAAAGCCTAAAGCCCTGGCTCCGTCCGCGTCCAGCAAAGCGAATGCAAAACCCCGGAACAAGAAGAACGCTGCGGCCGCCACCGTCAACCCAGCCCTCGAAATGGTATCGGAAGAAACCGAAGACGCCCCTGAAAATGCAGCACCACAAAAAGTAGCAACCAAGGACTCGGATGGGCCCTCGAAGAAATCCAACAGCAAAATGATGAAGCCTCGCAAATCCCTCATGTCCTTTGCCACTTTTACCGAAGAACCGGCTGCCGAGAAGAAGAAGAAGCGGAAATTGGGCGCTACGGCGGGCAAGACACTTTTCGATACCGAGGGGGAAGGGGATGATGCAGAGGATGCTGGTGTGCTGCCCAGCTTGAAACCGGTGGGACTTAGTAAAGGCCTTTTTGCTGCAAGGGCGTTGAGTAAGAGTGGTGGTATGGGGAAACAGTCCAGGCCGATTAGTGGCGGGTTCAATATGATGAGTGAGGAGGCGTTTACGTTTAGTCCGTTGAAGAAGGATAGGAGGGGGGCTAGTATTTTGAAGTAGAGTGAAGTAGGGAGGAGGAGGGGGTGGTTGTACGATATTGCATTCGGTGTATATACGTTATGGAGTTTGGTATTATTGGTGGATTTGCATTTGTTAGACTTCATTATATCGTGCACACGCACTTGATCGCAGAAGACTATCACTCTCTCACCCCTGGTACTGAAGCAAGTGAAGGTGGACACTATTCGTGCGCGCTAGAGGTGAGGCGCTCATGTTCTCTACATAAATTTAGTCTTCTTTTGATATCTAAACTTCTTTCCGCTACCTCGCCTCATATTCTCCCAATTCTCGAGTTATCAACACATAACCTACACGAAGATGGAGCCTGAATGTGAAACAGACGAAGGGCCAGTCTTCTTCTCCTTCGACAGCGACCAGGGCAATGGTTTTCTCAGTCCAGCGTTCCTCAGTTCCTTCCAACACGAGAACACTGAATACAATTGCAGTGAGCGGTTCTTCCAAGCAAAAAAAGCATTATGGTTCGAGGACGACAGTGGACTATATGAGGCCATAGTGAGCGCGACATATCCTCAAGAACAAAGGGCTATAGGCAAGCACATCGAAGCCAGTAACCCCTTCTGGTCACGTAGCTGGGCGATGACAGGTGAGTTATGGAAACACTAGATTTGATATAGACAACTAATGGACGGCGGCAGTGGCCTATTCAGTTATCAATCTTGCAACGTGTCTAAAGTTCATAGCTTCAGAACATGCACCGATGCTTGCGCAGAAGCTCATGGCCACGGGACATCGAGAGCTTGTTATGGCAGATCCAGATGATGTGTTTTTGGGCATTGGGTTGGACAGGGTTTCAGCAGCCACACACGTCGGGCCTTGGCCTGGACGGAATCTGCTGGGGGAAGTGTTGATGGAAGTAAGGTTGAGTTTGAGGGTGGAGGCGAGTTTGCAGGAAGAGAGGAAGGTGTTTTCGATGGCGAGGTTTCACGTGATTTGTCCTGCGGTGTCGTCTTCTCAGGTTGAAGTAGCAGAAGAGACAGAATAGTTCATCGTAACGAACGACTTGGAGGGGAGCAAGTTGGGAATTGGAATGGGAAATGATGCGATTTCTAGATCAGAAGTGATGGATTGCAAACAAAAAGTGATTTTTACTTTGAGCATCTTAGACTTTGGAAAGAACACGCTTGTAAGTAGCTGCCGATGAGTCTACAAAGGCTTCGCGTGTGGCGGTTCTGGTTCCATGCGCTTGACATGCGATAACTGTGTTCATGTCGATGCGTTCTCAGTTACCTACTTAAATAACACTGTGCTGTTGCACATCGCGACGGGGTCTTGCTGTTCAGCAACCATTCTGAAGAACAATTTGCACATCAATTGCACAAGTTTAGGGTACCCTTATTGCGCTGTAAGAGAGGAGGAATCTGGAAGTCTTCCAGTAGCCACATAATCAGATGATTGACATCATGATGCAGGCCAAGATCTTGGTATCGTAAAGCTATCAAGATGGTGTAGTTCGTTTTGAGTTTACATGATAGCAGCGTACAAATTGGGAAGCTTTTTCGGCCAACCCCAAAAGATCAGATGGAAGCAATCCGTCACCTAGAGATCTAAGACCGAATGGAAGCAACCAAGTGCCTAGAAATATAATCCCCAAATTATATGATGAAAGCAATCCGCTACCTAGACCCCTTAAAAAGATTGGATAGAAGCAATCCTTCACCACGAAAGATCAGATGAGAGCAATCTCTCACTAATAGTTTTGCCTGATCGGGCAATAATATTCAAAGGTGTCGATAACTTAAGTTATTTTAACTACAATTTAGCAGCGGACCTTCTATCTCGTCTACCTCCTTTCGTCTCATCCGATCTTTTGGGGTTGGCCGAATAGTAGATGGGGTTGGCCGAAAAAGCCTTCCCTACAAATTCTTCACCATTTCCATGCTCCTGGCATTCGACTTCGTGGTTTTTTACCTGAACGTGCGCGTTCTTTGTGTTCTTTGGCAGTTGTACGACGGTTGAAACGCGCGCTACGGTTGTCCAGGTACTGACGGTCCCAATAGTCCCGTCCACCAAAGGGCCAATCGAGACTCCAATCCTTTTCCACAGTCAACGTGGGATACTCTGAGAGCAGGCTGTAGCCAGGTGCTTGGTGATCCAAAACCCATTCGAAGCCCAGAACCCACTTTTGCTCCCAGTTGCGTTCAAACACAATCCTCCGATTATCGATATATGGTGACCTGTCCGCTCGTTCGCTAACCACACACAATTCGGGGTCCAAATCCAAAGAGACGAGCCAATCCAAGAATTGAGCACCAGCAATGTAGCTATACATGGATTCCTCGCATACTGTGAACATAGCTTCGATTATTTGATAACGGCCATATTGGATGTCGCTGAGGATGTCTCTGTTCATCCGGAAGGCGGGAAACTGGGATTTGTGCCATAAGCGATGTCGCCTTCTAGCAACACTAGCACAAGATCGTCGGATTATGACCCGTTGGTTCCTTCGAAGATCTGCGCCTACAAATAGTTCTAAGCTTTTTTGCCAAAGCCATTGAGCTTCATCATTTCCAAAGCAAGCGAGGCCATCAAACCACTTCTTGTCTAATCTCTTGAGTTCATGGACCAGATCTAGATCGTCGAGAAAACATCGATATGTATCGATCGTATTGGCGGGTAACGAACGTGGCTGACAGATGTTCAATGCTAGTGATAAAGGTGACTGGTTGCGTAATGAGAGTTCTGGTTTTACGCCGTATCCAAGGAGTAGTCGACATATATCCGATCTGTGGTTTATAGCAGCATACTGGATTGTGCGTAAGATGAGTGTCTACAAGTGTTTACAGGTGCGACTCACATGAAGCAGGGAGTGTCCTTCAGCCGTTCGCAAGAACGGATGAAGAGCGCCAGAACTAATCTCTTCTTGGAGCTGTCGAACGCTTCCGTCGCATATGATATCATAAAATCTACTACTTGGGTCACCTATAGGATACGTTCTGAGCGTGGGAAAGATGCTGCCGTATGGATACTGCTGGGTGAAAGTCAGACCGAAGCCTAAGAACGTCCACACCGCAGAGACTTCATGAGCTGTCCAAAGTATGTCTCTTTTGTAGCTTTTAACATTACTTTGCTGATCTTTGAGTGTCCAGTCCTGGTAACGTACGACTTTGCGACGGTAGAGTCCAAGTTTTTCAAGGGCAGAGCGTACAAGTATCGTCTGTTGTGAATATCGGACCGGAGATGGCGGAACCGAAGACACGGTATCGGAAGTTCCAATAGTAAGCTTCGAGTCTGAGCATGAAACAGAAGTCACAGCAGAGTTAGTACGACTGTTCAGCTTTGTTTCTTGACTTCGGAGTAATATTGGGAACAGGCTCATCCTATCAATATCCAGTTAGTTCGCAAAGTCTAACGATATATAACAGGGGCTTACAAGATGCCGCTTTGGTTTATTGAAAGATTAGTAGTAAGAAGATCAATGTCATGTTGTATACGGGTCTCAAGGGTTGTGATTTCCTTTGCCTTCAATCCAAGCTTGATCTCACTTTTGAGCCTAGCTGTAGACCAACTAGACTGAGATTGCGGCAGACTGAGTTTCTTTACAATGTCCACAAGCGGCTGTATAGACTTCTCACAGTCTTGAAGACACTTGAAGATTGCCATCGAAGGTGCTGGGAAGTGCATTCCTGAGAGAGATGACTGTTGCTCCAGGACCTTTGCCGCATCGTCTAGCAATGCGTTAAGCAGCTCCAGTTTGCCCACAAGCCGTTGCAACTCTTTCGACGCGCCTTTGACATCTTGTATGAACTCTCGTACAAGTGCGACGGATTGGATTAGTTGTATTGTCAGGGAAACCACGGCTATGCCGCTGGCAGCCCCGGAGAGGGCTTCCATCAATGGTGACGTCGGGATATCTGCAAGCGAAGAGGTACAGTGGCAGTCGCAAGAGCCAAACGGGGAAGAAAGGAGGCAACCCTCCAAGCTGATGGGTAGGACAAGTAGTCTTCGCACATGTGAGCGCAAAGCGGGGCTTAGCGATTCAGCCTCGTAGGTGCCTACTGCAAAAGCCAAGCGACGTGCTGACTGTGGATTGGTTACATGATATGCATGTAAAAGCTGACCGGTGAGAGCTTGATGTGGCGTTAGCAGAGAAGTAGGCGATGATTCGGTTACCTACCTAGGTAAGATGCTACAGCGGAGTGTCCTGAAAGGGTACAAAACGGTTCCGCCACCATTCTCAACACCACCACTGCCAAGAACCAATATTATATGTTCATAGATGTTTGTAAATCGGCATTATCATTATCATAAAACTGTCTATCAGAGGAACAAGCGAGTGAACCGATAATGATCAACTACCAGGAAGAGGGTATCAAAACAATTGCAAAAACCAAAGAAACTCCCTCATGTCAATCTAGACCCGCCGATCGTCTCATCCGTAGTAGTCGTATACCAAAACAGAAACAAGAATAGTAATAGAGATACAAAGAAGCAGCGGGTAAAGACACACACCCTTATACAGTAGTGTGAAGGTCTTCACCACATCTTCGAAAGGTCTGCGTGAGAGCCGTGGCGAGCTGAGCATCTGCCAGAGTCTTCAAGCTGTCGCTTTACATGTTCTCGATAACATGCGAGTTGATGGCGCTCTGGAAGCCATGGCTGTTACCGCCATACTCCTGTGCTGCGGAACTCTGGACACCCATTGGGTTGCTGGCGCCGTGGGAACTTGGGCCTTCGCCGTAGGAGTCGGCCTGAGCGAGGGCGCTTTGGACAGTTTGGTTTTGTGCTTTGTCGAATTAGTAAATGTTTCATATATAATGAGTAGAAAAAGACTAACCTGGTAAGAAGATGACCTTGCTGTTCGCACTCTTGGCCATGGCTTGCATGGCTTCAAGGTATCTGATCTGCATAGCTGGAGCGGAAGACAGAATGTCGGCAGCTTGACGCATCAACTTGGCGGCCTCGACTTCGGCGCGTGCAGCAATGACCTTGGCTTCTCCGGTACGCTTGCTCTGCGCAGCCATGGAGAGCGAATCCTGAAGATCCTGGCTAAAGATGATGTCCTTGACAAGCATAGACTCGACCTCGACACCCCATCCAAGAGCCGTCTCCTCAATAATCTCACGGATCGACTGAGCAATCTCCTCACGACGCTCAATCACATCCTGGAGCACACGCGCACCAACAACATGGCGAAGCGTCGTCTGAGTACGCTCAACGAGCGCCTGGCGGATGTTGGAAATGGAGAAAGCGGCCTTGTGAGGCGAAGTAATGCGGTAGTAGATGACAGATGTCAATTGCAAGGAGACGTTGTCCTTGGTCATGCAGACTTGCTTGGGAACTTCGACGATCTGGATCTTGATGTCGACTTGGACGAGTTGCTCGGATAGCGGGTTCACGTAAACGAGACCGGGATCGACAGCGCGAGCGAATCGACCGAATTTGGTGACGAGACCGACGTTTCCTTGGTTGACTGGCTTGTAGGGGTTGGGGCATACGACGCAGCATGGGATGGCACCCAGAGTTCCGATGCAGCCACCTAGCGTGTTGATCTACTTATGTCAGAATGGCACACAGGATATATGACGTCTGCTCAACTTACCATACCACCATACCATCCATTCGTATCAGCATCGGCATCATCAGGCTGAAGAACCTTTGCATAGCTGGGCTGGAGATCCTCTCGTCGCGGTGGCTGAACTTTGACAATTGGCTCATCGAGACGCGCTGCTCCATTGCTGCCACCATTGACAGGCGCCTTTCCGTTGATGTCGCTCATAGTCGCGGTAGCACGTTGTTCGTTAGTTGTATTGTTATCGTGTAGAATGGGCCTCGATGAAGAAGATGTAGACTCGGCGATCGTAGAGGGATGCGTGTGGGACATTGTTTACAGGCGTCGGGGTGTAGTTGGCTTATATGCACCAGGGCAACTGCACATTCACAGGACCATGCATCTTGTGAGCGGGGAAGCTAGCTTAGCTCGATCCCTGGCCCTTGTACGCTAGTGTCTGGCCACTTCTTGGGGCTGTGCCACGCTTCTGATCTCACCACCGCAAGCAACAAGAAAGAAAGTGTTGCTGACAGGAAGGAATGCGCATTCCATTATTACCTGATACAAGGCTTACCAGGTTTCTCTATATCGAGCGACAGGTGATTTCACCTCCATTGATCACATACATTCGCAGCGCACATTTCTGAAGTTTGTTGCGCAACATCGTTCGAGAACTCACGTCACACACAACACCATGTCCAAGGCCTCCCGCACTCGGCTAAGTCGGGACCCAAGCCCAGTGCACACCCTACCAGTCTACTCGTGACGTGCAAATCACCCTCAAGGCACACTCGATATATGTAAACGGGCCATACAGAGTGCACGCCTAAGATGTCCGACGTCAGCGATTCGGCCGTTCGATAAGCCAACCAATTCAGCCATCTCGGCAATATCACGCGCCTCATGGATCGGGCAACGTGTGCGTCCCTCCGGGGATAGGATTCAGCCCTGTAGGTGGATTTTTGTGGCGAATGCTCGGTTGCGGATATGGCCAATACGGGTTGGTTCGAAAGGCCTTAACGAGGCTGGTGAGTTGGTGCTTTTCTGATGTGAGTTATTTCCGACGTGTAAGCGTGATGGCACGGAAACATTGTGAGGCATCGCAGTCAGGACTGAGTGGAGGCTATTTGTTCTTCACGGCACAGTCGCAGACTGTTCCTTCTGTCTTTTGTGCGGCTTCGTTGTGTAAACCGCCCAGCTGTCTATCCTGCAAGCGAGGCGCCACGGCGGTACTGCGTACTCGGCGTATGTCCTCGGCGCATGTTGTCTTCGCATTCCATACGTTTATACTCCGGTCCGCACCGGTCAATGTATCGCTCGTGCGGTATTTGGCTGCGCCATTATATCGCTGGCAGCCATCGTTAAACCCCGCGTATTCCCTATCGTCGCGTGAAATCTCTTTGCAGTCCGCCGGTGAGCATCAATTCCCTCATCGCGCAAAAGGTATTGGTGACCAAGCGATGCACAGCCCATTTAGGCCCTCGATCAGACAGTGTCTCTTTGACATTATTCTGACTCTATTGGACCCATCGCAAAGCAGTTGCTCCAGGGCAAAACCTTGTTGTTGGTCTATTTTGTGGTCGTGTCTTTGCTCGCCCTGAAGAGGCACAGTTAACATGGCCTATATATACTGTTCGACTACCACGCCGCATCCCCGTGCCATGGTCCTGTTACCGCGCCACACATGGCTTTCCAGGTACTTAAGCGCCGATGGGTCATTTATCTGGCCTACTCGAAGACCTTCTTAGCGCAATGACTCGACCTGTGGAACTTGGATGTGACTTCGATTTACCGCATACAGCTAGAAGTCGCTCAGAGTAATGCCTTCTTATAAGATACCAAAGAGGTATTCACAGAATATCAGCAAGGCGACAGCGGAATAGACAGGGTGACGTATCTGGTATGTCAAACCACAGATACATCTATCATCACCCTACACACCCCTTGTCGTCGCCAAACCCCATGCCTCTCCGCTCGAAGTATGTCTCCTAAGGGTTGAAGCATGACACGCCCCAACTAACCCCTTCGGCGCCAACACAAAAACGCACTAGCGCCAACTACCAAGTATACATAAACTTTCTCTCTGACCCTTCTCTGCTTCCTCAAATCACTTCCACAGTGATGTAGAAGATGGACAACGCAGAATTGTTTTTTATGGACCAAAGTTGCCATATACTTGGAACATGGCTCGACTGAGACTTGGGTTGCTTTCGATTCAAATAACTCGACATCAACGATAAGAGGCGGATACTACGTGGTTCTGATTCCAAAAGCTTAAGGCAGAACCATCATGTGGCGGATACCGAGCGATTTCGAACATCTTAAGAAGAGGCCCTTGAGTGGCGTGTCGAGTCCAAAAATGAAATTTCATGTGTTCATTTCATCTACGAAAGTATTTGTCTTACTCCTCGACCCTTTCGAAAAAAATTCAATCCTCTCACAAGACATGCATGTCCTCTTTATACTCCAAAACGTCCAAGCTGGCATACCATGGTCGCTCGCTCAAAAAACACAACACATGCAATATGGAAGATGCATTTGGAGACATATGAGATGATATGAAGCTAAGGAAAAAAAAACATCGGATATAGTGATAGGAGGAGACGGCTCCAGCTCCGAAAGTGGTCAACAAGAATGAAGTGAAGAAAGAATAGCAGGGTGTCTGCTTTATGAAGGGAGGACGCTCTTGTCAGTCGTGGCGTTCCCGTTCCCTAGTATCGGGCGGCTTTCCTTCTGTTGTGGCTCGCCATATGCCCATTTCGTGGCTGCGTTGACCATGGTCGCGAATATTGGGTCAACGTGCTTAACCCAGAGTGCTGCACTCCGGTAAAGGATGTAGTAGAAGACCGCAATCGCAATGAGGATATGTGTCGTCGATCCACGTTGGAGGTCCTGTTGCTCTCCCTTTTCGTTCTTGGGCGGGTTCATTGCGGAAGGTAGGTAGATCATCCAGGTAAGCACAGACTTGATGAATGTGTTGTGCAGCAAGTACACCGGGAAACTGACGCGACCGAGGAAATTGAAAACAGGTGATGTGAGGAGTTTACGGGCGTTTCGCGAGAAGAAGATTCCGAGGAGGACGAAGGCAGCGCCGAGGTGGTCCCAGTATCGTCGGATATCCGTCTTGTCGGCTGTCAGACTGTGCATGATTGTCGCCATTGTGTGCGACCAGCGTGTGTTGTTGGCCGAATCTTGAGGGAATCCCGCCATGAACATGCCACAGATTATCATAAGTGCGGGGATGGGTGCGGGTAGGACAGAAGTGGCGGCGTCCTTGTAGTGGTTGTGTAACTCGGCTACGAACATGCCTGTGACGATGTTGAGGCCTTTGATCGAGCCAACTGTAAGGTCTACTATAGTTAGCAACTGCGCTGCTCTCCAACCAGTTCGGGATATACACACCTTTGCCAACTTGCCAGAAGTAGGCGTACATGACTCCGTACACAATGAAACGTGCTTTTGGTCGGACCAGAATTGTAGCAAGCATGGTTGTGTAGACCAAGAACGCGCCCTCCAAGAACAAATGCAGCGTCCATTGTGTGCCATCGTACTCGTCCCAGCCAGTTGTCCAAGTCTCGGTTTGCGCCCTGAAGAGCGACTTGAAGGCCATCCACAACGTAGGCTCCTGTCGGTGCCAACCCTGCCGTATCCACTGCGCATCGACATGCTTTGTCATATGGTATGCGTTCGTATTCGCCATGAACCACGTAACGATTGTCGCAGCCATGGTGGGGAGAATCAGCCTTCCTGAGCGCGCGAGTGCACTTCGTGCAATGCCGTGGAAGGCCGCATCATGGTTTCCCTGACGCGACTTGCCAATAGGTCCAATTGAGTTGACGTATCCGGTTACGAGGAAGAATAAGGCTACGGCGCTACGGCCTCCGACGGCGAGACGGAAGAAGGGTAGTTGGAAGAGGTGCGGCGCGGTTTTGGCATCTTGGGCTGGCTGGTGCAGCCATGGTACAAAGGCAGTACATAGGTGACCGCATACCACCATGAAGGAGGCGATACCTCTGAGGCCCTGTAGGACAGACTGTCAGCCCCAAGTCTCACAGGTGTGGCAGTGGCAGCGAGTACGACTTACATCTATCCAGTTGGCGTCGCGAGGAGGCATTGTGCGAATATGGAAGGAGTGTGCAAAAAGCCAAAGAAAAGTCTACTATTCAAGGAATGTAAGGATCTAAGAACTATGTTGTGTGACCAGGCGCATCGCCGTGGCTTGGAATGGCTTGCTGATGCAGTGCCCAGGTGGCTTCGTATTCCGATGGTGCCGAATTCCGACAAAGACGGGTACCAAGAAAGCAGAGAAAGACGGCGCTCGTAATGATGAATCGCCTGCAGCAAAAAGGCCAAGGTCGACAACGGCAAAGAGGGGAGCAGAAGGACAGAAGGCAAGTGTAAATGTAAACCCGCACTTAGTCCATGGGCTTGACGACCCTGGCCCTACCGGTGGGGGCTACATCTTTTCAGGAACGCGCGCCCTGCAGATAGACGCGGCTCACTGGGCAGATGGCGGACGCTTGGATAATGCCAAGAGAGGCTATCGGGAAGGTCACTTTAGCACTCTCCCTGCCCATGCCTTCAGTGGTTTGCGGGCGCGGCAAAACACCCCAGGAAATGCTTGAATGTAATGGCAGGACTCTACCAAGCAGATCACTCCTGAGCCACTACGAGGTTGGTGCTCATGTCGCGTGCCCGGGCAGATGAAGCATCAAGAGAAACGGTGCATTCTGCGCTAAAAGACTCCGAGGCTGCTCCTCTGGTCTTTACCACAACTCCATCGCGTAGCGCTCTCCTGACCATGGTTCCCTAAAACTGAAATTCCCCGCCCCCTCGGGTGGTGTCACAGCCATTACGGCTAGACTTGGCGGATCTCAATGTCCCTCGGAACCAGTCTCCTCTCTAAACTACAACATCAGCATCGACCTATAGTCACGAACCACAATACGGGGCATCACGAATAACCGTAATCGTAACGTCCGCGTAGTCGGATCACGATACCGAAAAGACGATTCATCGCCGCATGTAGGCGTCGCACTAGCTTACGCCTCGTAGAATCAAGCACGCGGAAGAACGTCTCGCGGTCTTGGCACGCTGACGTGGAGGGCCGCTTTAACCGAGACGGCGCCCCCTGAGCCAAGTCAGGGGTTGTCGAAACGCATGGTAATTTGCCAGATCATGAGTTTGCGATAGAGTGACGTTTCAAAATGGGCGGTAACAAAAGTCTTGTGCATCGTGGCATTCGGAACGTCGCCAATGCTTGATTGCATATGGTGTCGTTGCGCGTCTGGGGTAGAACGGCAGAACCATCTGGGCAAGGGTTCTCGAAAAAACTTACGCAAATCAGGAAGAACACATTTCCACTACCACGCCTCGTCCGAACTCGAGGGTTACTAATCCTGACTCAGGATTCGAGATACGCCTTCAACGCCATTGTCATTTTACTCCGCCCGCCTTGCCCATCGTAGCATGCGGCAGCTACTCAAACCCACTACTGAGGATTTTAGGTAGCGTGCTCGCAGTCGCTGGCGTTATCTTCGCGCATGATACCTCAATCGAGAACCCCGGAGCGTTCTCAGGAGTAATAGCATTGTCATTGACCTGGTACAATCCGGTTAGCAGAGGCCGTGGTGCATGGTTGCGGTTCCCGAGGAATGGAGGGCCTTACATGAACGAGCAACTAATGTAACTTCTCCTGCAGATACGCTCCCACAATAGTCTCATCCATACTGCGCATTTCCCCGTTCGCATCCAGTCTTCTAGCGCTACCATCAACGCTACCACGCGAATTGTCTGCATCTTGGTTGTTTTTTCCATCTCCTTTCTCATCAATGGCGTTCTGGAAACCCGGGTATCCCACAAATTCCCATTCGGAGATGCGTTCCCGAACGTCTGGAAATTCATCGTGAATCTTCATGCTCCCGCTCAAGAAGACGAGAACTTTGAAAACGTCTCCAGGACCCATGTGTTGCACGTGAACACGAGCGGCGTATCGGTACTGAACATCGCCACTCCGAGGAAGAACAATTTACATACCTGTATGGATAGTTTCCCAAGAGAGTCGCGACGTTGCATTACCACCATATAGTGCATCACCTCACGGACCAAAATGTCTGTTGCGGAGAGACCGAGAAACTCTGGACACATGGAGCCGAAGACAGTGTAATCGCGGGCAGAAGCTGAGTTTCGAAGGTCGCCTACCGTGTTGCTACGGAACGAGGATATAGCTCCTGACGTCAACGTCTCTCAGCATTATGGACAAAATCTAGCCAATACTTACGCGTGTCTACACCGGCATGCGAAAGGGGTGATGTTGTAAACATTAGTCAGGAATTGACGTGACTATCTAATTGCAGTAACCAATGAGTCAGACCACAGCCTACGATGAGCTCTCGAGGATCTAATGATGACGGCGCGACAGCGGTTTTTATTTTTGACATTGTCCAAAATCAACAGCATAGTAGACACCCACAGACGGCAAGGTCTTTGCTAAGGTGAGCTACCTCTGCTGAATGAGGCGATATTCAAGTCGTATACACTCATTCACATTAGGAATGGCTTCGATGAAAGGGAGCTCTCCTGATGAAAATCCCACGGCATTTCGACTGGAGAAGAGGATGCGATTCTCTCATTGAAGTAGCGGATCTTGTGTTGGACAGCTGAGCACGAGTATCAAGAGAAACAAGGTATACACCATGCTAGTCGTGTCGTGAACATTACAATACTGCAACACACCTCCACAATCTCGACCGTTGAGTAATCGGCCATAGTTGCAACACTTCCTATTCAAATTCGAACATGGCAGACGCCACAATCTAATTGAAAAAAAAAACTGCAAGAGACAGAGTCTCTCTAAACACGTAAGTTTACGATGATAAAAAAGTAGATACTCGTCGTAAACCATTGACATGGTAACGCCCTCGACTCCCAGTCATACAAACAAACAAAAAACGACACCGTAATAGTACAGCCCCTCTCTCCCCACCCCAAGAATGAGAAATTCCAACACTTTGGAGTGTGAGACAATCAATCCAAATCCAGGCCATCTAGATCCAGGTCCAAACCTGCATACTACGCATTCTGGTCCCCTTCTCCAGCCTCATCATGATGCATTTCCGTCGCATGGAACGCATCGCCAAAAGCCGAATCGTCAACAAGGTCCAGGCCCAAGTTGTCATCGTGCCCATAATCCGCCAAAGCATCTCCAGCACTATCGATATTGTCAAAACTGCCAAAGTCGGCTGTGTCGAACATGCTACCTGCGTCGGCTTCGATGTTGGACGAGGACATGCCGCCGACGTTGTTTGTGCGCTGGTTGTTGTTGTTCATGTTGGGTTGTTGGACGCTGCCGGTCGACTGTTGTGCATTGCCAGATTGATCGTTCATCGTCCAATCATCAGTCTTCTCCCCTGCGCCGGTCATTCCAGACATCTCTACGTCCAGATCTAGGAGATCGGCTCCTACGTCGAGACTTGTGTCCTGCTGATCGAATGTGGATGTCTGGTTTATGTTGCCGTGAGGCGCATTGGGTGTACCGGTGGCAGACTGCGATTGACTCGGTGGCTGTGATAACCTAGGTAGTGACATATTGCCGATGGGTGTGCCGTTCAGTGACCCCGATCCATACTGGTCCAACAGACCCGCGGCAGAGTTCTCCTCCATTGTTCCTTGGTTGTTCATGCCATTCGATGTTCCGTTTGCTTCCTGTTGGGCTCCGTTGCCGTTCATCTGTGCCTTTGGAGGAGAGGGTGCTTGCGGCTCAATGAATCCACCCTTGTCTACACAGACGACCGCCTTTTTCGCGTCGAATGTAACTCCGAGCGTCTTCTCCAAATCTTGCACGACTCCTTCGACCAGGTTTGCGTCCTCGCCGTCGCTCTCGGTAGAGCGGGAAAGATCTCGTAGTCGTCGTTCGGCCTTGATGTACGTTCTGGTGCGCTTCAATTGTGCCACTTTCTTCGCGTGGTCGGCCTTCATCTTGTCAATCTCGGCCTGCTCGTTCTTTGTATACTCTGATACGCGCTTCTCAAAGTCCTTGAGTTGTTCCGCATCCAGCTTGTAGTAGTTCTTGACCTGGTAGTTCTCTTTGCCCGGCTCCACGTTTTCAGCTCCTGGAACATCGAGAATGCCTGCAGTAAGCGGGGCGAGCTCGCCCATGAGGCCCAGTCCTAGATCGATAGGTGCAATCTTCCCGACGGCATAAGGTGACGAGAAGATCTCTTCCATCCACTCGTGATGCTGCTTGTAACGCGACAAGCTGATCTCGCGCGGGGTCAGGAAGTCGAAGGCATCTTGTGTCGCATTCTCTTCTTCCTCGAGTGTGTTGTCTGGTGCTAGTGTGCCTGCAGCGGGTTGGCGAGGTTGAGGCTGAGTCGGCAAGCGCTGGCGTTTGGCTGGCGGCGGTTGCGCAGGATATGGTCGGCCTGGTTGCATGGGGTTGTAGTAGGGCTGCGGGCCTCTCATGGCTTGTTGTCCGAATTCGACTTTTGGCCAATTGGCTTGATCGACCAACATGAACTCCTTGCGCATCAATGGCCCGGCTTGCTGTAGTTGAGCGCGCATCTGTATCTGGGCCTGGACTTCTCGTGGAATGGGTATCTGCGAGGCAGGCATTCTGCTCTGTGGATCTGCCGGCTTGTAGTGCACAAGCCAGAGATTGGGATCGATAGTACCCGGGCCTGCAGCAATTCGATAACGATGGCGCGCATGCATGGCGTATGGTTCGTGAGGGTAGTGGTATCCACTGTTGTGGACAAGGACCTGGAGAGTCTATGATATGTTAGGTCATTGAAGCGGGCATCGTGTCCTCTAGATACGTACATATCCGCGTACGTTCATATCGTATGCAGTTTCGGCGTCAGCCCACACCATTCCGTCTGAGGCGAACATGGTGCCCATGCGCGGGGGCTGCCATGTGAGGATGACAGTGCCATCTTGGGGAGGTGCTGAAAGGAAGGTCCACGCGACGGGCGACGTGTCGCGCACGATTTGCGGGCCTTTGATCAGGTACTCGAGGGCCTGCGGAGCTTGAAGACCCGGTAGAGTAGGGAAGCGGTACGAGGATATCAGGTGCACATGGGCAAGCAGATGATTCGGCACCTGCGCACTCGGGTCGGGAGCATGCCCGTAGGCCTGATTCATGCCATACATGATTGCTGGGGTAATGCGACAGAGGCGCCGCGTCGATCGATGCGCTTTGGGTCGTGATGTAGCGGGCGCGGAAAGCTGGGGTTGATGTCTGGAATCTTTGGCGCAGGCGCGTTGAGGACCGCGCGACTGCCAAGACTATCGTCACATGCGGTTAGCGCAACTCACCATCTTCTCCACTACTCATACGCCCTCCGTCACCCACTTTCGCACTGCAGCTTTCCATACTGACGCAACATCTAATCAACTCTTTGTTCATTCATCTACCCCTCTACTCCCTCCACAGCCCTCGGTATCACATATGCCTCCCACTTCTCTTCACTATCTGCCTCTCTCCATCCATCCATTCCGCCTGCAACCCCACTCTCATCAATCTGCCAATCGCCCCTCTCTACCATACCCCTCCAATTCTTCAGCACGTCGACAAGACTCTGCTCGTGATGGTTCTCGAGCGGCTGATGACCTGGACGATATAAATCCACGTGACTATCTCCTCCAGTCTTACGTCGTCCAAACCTGCTGCCATCACTCTTCCTTGCATACCCGTTCGCCCCAATACCAAAGGGCAAAATAAACAAACACTCATCCTCGGATTTCATCGCAGAAGTCGGACGCAAGTACAGGCCTGCGGGATATGTTGTGGTGTCGCTGAATAATGGAAAGAGCTGGGCTATGCGCTCACCGGTGTGAGTATTGAGCGTTGTCTCGTCAGTATAATCTAACTTGGAGCGGAAAAGCAGGATGGGAGGAATTTCAGAAGTAGAGGAAGAAATATCAGAGCGGAACGGCTGCAGACGTGAAGGCACGAAGTCAGTGTATTTGTCATATACATTCGGCACAGTCACAACCTACCTGGTCAAACAATGCAGAGTCGGTGAGCACTTCGAGACCGGGAGCGATCATTTGGAAGCGTGGACGTCTTGTACGACGGACAAATTCGTAAGCGAATCTTTGGGGAAGTTCTGTAGCTTGAAGTACGCTGCTGTCGACTAGTCCATGTACAGCCTCTGCAACTTCTGTGGTGGAGGCCGTTGGAGGCATGCGGGCTTCGATGGACTCTACAAGGCGATTGAAAGCGTCGATGTTCTCCTCCAGCATTGTGTCGTTATATGGGATAAACTCCCAGGGATCGAAGCGCTCGTAGACGTAATTCTTATGCGGGACTTTTGGCGGAGTAGCAATTCTTCCCTTGCGAATTTGGCTCAACCAAAACTCCAACGCAGTTTCCAACGGATACCAAACTTCCTGTTCAAAGATTATGTCTGTGTCGTAGATAGTCGGACTGATTATGCACAGGTGTGTTTCCTGGTCATATCTATAGCGACGTGTAAGCTCGTTGTGTATCAAAGATGTATAGTGGTCTCGTAGAACTTACACTAGCCCACAGAAGTGACCCGTAAAGTTGCTCATAGCGTAAAGTACCAAGAACCTGCCCTCTTCTGGCCAATCGTCTTCCTGCTCAAACATGAACCCTGGATCAGCAAGATTTTGCACCCAATAGAAGAAAAACAGGACAACTTTCGCCTCTGGATCACAGATGACTCGAGCATGTTGAAGAAACTGAACAAGATCAGGCGCAAGGTCAGCACGAACGGCCTCAGCTGCATCGCTGAATGTATCAAACCAAGTCTGACAGGAAGATTCGAGAGACTCTACGCTGCGACCTGAGCCAACCCAGCCGTGGCGCAAAATCTCATTGTGTAGCGCGATGCATCGATCGACGTTCATGATCAGCGATGAAACGATGACAATAAGATAAAGTATTTATTCTGCAATTGAAAGTGATGTCTCTTGTCACCTCGTTCCTCAAGCGCGTTACTATACCGTGTGGGGTGTTCTGACCATTTTGCGGCGCAGTTGACAGAATAGGGGGCTAGCATGAACTAGGTGTGTACTAGTGACAAATGGGCTAGCGTTACATGAGTTCTATCCATAGATGTTACTGTTCATCCTTTGTAATGTGCTTTCTACACTCATCGTCCTATGCCACTGTTTCGGTCCGGAGAGTTTTGGAACATACGGAAATATCATATTTTCTATATCAGCTGGCGATTCGAATACGTCAAATTCACTGCCCCACAGTTTCTGTGACTTTGTGTCTAGGTTCATGGTACAAGCTACGCTGGAACGACTGCGTGGCAATGTTACCTAGGCAATGAGGCAGAGAAGACAAAGTGTTCGGGCGTCGTAAAGAAAGAGATTTCCTTCGGGTCTTGCTTACAACAGGGGCATGAAGCGTGTTGTGTGCATTCGTGGTAGACAATAAACTGATGATTGCGAGGCTTCTTGTAGCAAAAGATGTTGTAGGGGCTGGCGTGCGGGTAACTGCCTGTTCCCTGGCGGCACGCAGGAAGCATACGATCGGCAATTGCGCGCCGCAGTCAACGCCTTTCCTTAACGCACCTGTTTCTGCCTCTTTGTGAACCATTCGCATCCAGCAACTATTGTCCAGCTTCTGCCACAGGACGAGCTGGTAGGACCGCTGTCCTAAGCTTTCAAGCCTGCGCTAATTGTGGGGTAGGCCTCGGCTTAATGTAGCTTAATTTCGACACCCTGCGAGATCGTCTTTCCTCCACCAAGAAACCCGCAGTCCCTTCATTTCTACGAAGCCTTCGATCTCCGGCATCGAAGCATGTGCCGCTGTCGCAGTGACGAGAACCGGGTTGCCATTTCCCGCGCCGCGGTGAGACAAGGCGCAATGTGTGCCGGACCGGTTGGCCGCCACTAGATCCACAGCTATATGTGATACCGGCGGGTGCAATTAGATTGATTGAGATATGTGGTCACGCAGTCCACGTTCAGTATGTTCTCAAAGTAAAGTGCAAGCCATATGTTGTTTCCCGGATATTGATGTGCAGCGCTTAACCATGAAGGGGACATCTTGCCTCCATCTTCGGGTCGAGGTACTCTGAGCATTTACTAGGGATGATCTTTATATAGCGTCTTGAATGCCTCAACTTTCAACGCCTCAACCATCAATCTTCATCGTATCCATACGCAGCGATTCTTTTGCTCCCAGTTACCAACATGTTTGGAAAGGCAGCTATTGTCAATGCGCTCCTGAGCGCCGTGTCCGCGGGTTCGTTGGCTTCGTCCACGAATGTTACATGTCGCTGACCAGAGACAGGCACGATCCTTTGGGATGGCCGCTTCAACGAGATGACATCCTCTTCTGATCTGGACAAATGGTCCTGGGCAAACCAAGTAGGCAGTGAGTACTACGTTCAGGCTACACGTCAAACATCACTGATAAAGCCTCTTCCTCTTCCAGATTACCAATACTACATCCACGGATCGGGCGCTACCACCAAATACGTAAACCTCTCGCCAAACTACAAGAATCCTGGGGATACTGGCAGCAAGCAAGGTGCCAAGATCACGATCGACAACACAGCCAAGTGGAACAGCGACATGTGGAGGACGGAGCTCATTCCTCAGACCACAGCTGCTATCAACAAAGGCACTGTATATTACCACTTCTCGATCAAGAGATCCACTACCAATGTTCCGAGTGCGACAAACGAACACCAGATCTGTTTCTTCGAGAGCCATTTCACAGAGTTGAAGTACGGATGGGTCAACGGAGAGTCTGGCACCAGCAACACCAACCTGTAAGACAACCACGCGACGAAGCCCAGTACGAAAACCATGCTAATTCCAAAACAGGCAGTGGATGGTGGGTGGCCAGAGCAAGTGGAAGGTCGAGCTCAAGGCCGACGAATGGCACAACGTAGCTTACGAGATCAACTTTTCATCCAACCAAGTTACCTTCTGGCACTCCACTGGTAACAACACGCTTGTTAAGACTGCTGGACCGTTCTCCAGTAGCACTTCTTCAAACGGTGCCGACTGGCATCTTGGTGTTCTTCGTCTTCCCCGCCAGGGTAACGATGGGACAGGTGCGGAGGACTGGTTCTTTTCTGGGACGTACATTGAGAGCGGTTCACTCACTACTTCAGTTGCTAGTCCTGCAGCATAGATGTAGATCACGTTGTGTGGTGTGTGGTCAGACCAAATGTACATATTGGCCCAGATTTAGTGTTCTGTACATAGCATACTCGAAGAAGCAGTCTTATCTCGTCTTGTCTGCTACGAGATTCAGAGCGTTCCACACACTGCGCTACCTTCCACATCAGATCATAGCTCGCCGAAACATGGTGCGCCCCTCTGAAGACCTAATACCCATTCTCGATCCACTCTTTGGCTATGGCTACTAGACCTTCAATGCCATTTGGCGCAGTTGGGAGTAGAAAATGTTGTACGAAGTCATTCGTCTCGCAATAACGTCGAGTAGCAGCCTCGTCGAACTTTTTATCCCAGGGAAATTTCTTGGTATAGGGCGATAGCTTGGAAAAGCCAGCCGAACTGCGCACGAGTTGTTGATAGTTGACGTTTTGGGTTAGTCGGCTCAAAAACAAGTGATTTTGGCGACCGAACTCATGTATGACTCCTGCAACCATGAAGAATGCATCTCCATCTAAACTTACCTCTGGGAGTTAGTCATGGATCATAAATCGGGGATGCATTGCCTCGTGGGACTTGATCTTGATGGGCCTTCTCGATTTCCTCTTCGACTGCACCCGCCTAACGATTTTCTGAATCCATAGTCTCTTATGGCCGACAACACTATCGATGAACTCTGTGAGATACCGATATTCTCCGAGGATGTGTATATCGTTGTAGCGAATAACCAATGCCCTAGTCTCGCTTCGAAGTTGATGGTTGACGAATTGAAGTTGGTTAGCGACGACATGTCCGTTCACTGTGACCTGCGCAGGGCGTCTCATCTTTCTGGTAGCTACAACGGGTTTTTTGGTAGTTCGACCAGTCTTTGTAAGCCTACGACGTTTTCGTGCCGGAGCCTCGTCCTCGAGCTCTTCACCGCTGGCGCCGGCAGCTGGAGTTTGAGCAAGTTCCCCGACATCTCGTTCCGTTTGTTGAGGATGGAGACAAAGCCAGCCTACACCGAGCTTGTCCTCGCGATAGCAGATTCCGTCATCAATTGTGAGAGCGTATTCGAAGATCTTGTTACGAAGCTCGCCTGGCAGTTGCAGAAGGCGTGACTCCATCTTATATTGCCGATATAGGCGTTGAGCGTTTTGTCAGCGCAGAACCGACGAAGTGATTGAGAAGTACGATGATGTACAGATGTCGAGTTGTCGAAGAAATACTGTTAAGATGTAAGGCGGTTGAGGAAGTGAGTCGAGGTGTCGAAGCAGATGAACCAGACCAGGACCAGTTTTGGATGCAGCCGTGCTTGAGCCACAATTTTCAAGAGCGGTCGCACTGACCCAGAGCTCAATTTAGATGTAGGAAAGAAAGTGAAAGAAGTGACAAAAGGCTCCAATAATCTGCTGTACCTTATCAATGTTAGCTGGTAAGTGATGCAAGGAGCCGAATGACTGAGCTCAGCAAGTCATCGGCAAACGAACAATGTTGAGGTCGTAGATGCGAGACGGATAACCTGACTAGGTTCCTGGTATGAGATGAGACGACAACAGATGCTTTTACAGAGAGACGATTTCACAGAGAACAACGACTGTTTTGAAGGTACGTAGCATGTGCGAAGGGAACCTAACGACGCGCACTGCGTCACCTACTGATGTGGACTCTGGCGACGAACTCTTCGAAAGTCATGAACACTGGGCGCTGCGAAGTCTCAGTAGAAGTAAAAGACAGTCCAAGGATGCTGGGAAGTATGTCACCAAGAGAAAGTGACGTTCCAGCACACCAATCACGATCCCCGCAACGCAGCTTACCACACGCAGGCCTAGCGCGCCTCATCAACCTCGGCATACCTCCACTCCACACTCCTCGCCATCCACGACCGAGCCGCAACCCGAGCTACTTCCCTGGACCGTACCCCATACAACCCCAGGTTCCTCCCCTTCCGTGTTTCCTTTACTTCTATACCCAGAGCCGACCAGCTCTTCCGCCTTCCGAACACAATAAATCGTCCGCCTAGACTCGACGCGATCGCCGACGTGACATTCTTCCCGCCTTTTCAAACGCCGACGAACCTCAGTCGCCGTTGCGCATCCACGAAACTCACCATGTCCGAGTCTCTCACCACCAAGCAAGTCGCCGAGCACAACACCGTTGAGAAGGGACTGTACATAATAGTCGATGGCGATGTATACAAGATGGATTCGTTTGTCGACGAGCACCCAGGTGGCGCCAAGATTCTGAAGAGGGTGGGTGGAAAGGATGCTAGCAAGCAGTTCTGGAAGGTACGTTTTGACTAGGATGTACAGGGAGGGGAGTGAACAGTGGGAACACATGTCGCGCGCGCGTCCCCCCGCAAGGCTTGCTTCTGTGGCGCGCCTGGGTCTCAGTACCGCCGGGCATCCAAGGTTCTCGCTACCAAGGACTCGGTCGCAAGCTGGACCCTTGATTAGACCAGAGCAAGAATCGTTATCAAACGTGACGAAAGGATTCGCTAACGGACATGCAGTACCACAACGAGAGCGTATTGAAGAAATACGCACCCAAACTCAAGATTGGCACAGTCAAGGAGGAGTCCAAATTATAAATACTACATAACGTTATATCAACGCAGATTACTTAATTCACATCTATTGCACTATATTCATAGCATGTCTCCGTGTCAAATATTCGTTCTTTAAACAAGTACTAAACTCATGGCACTTTGCGAACTACAGGTAAAACATCCAATTCACTAAATCGGCGCGGATTCTTTGATCGATGCAATAAACTATAAATTAAGGACGAACTTCTACTCTATGGACGTATCGGTTGGTATAATGCAAACTCTCCTCTCCTCGATAACAGACCTGCAAAACAAGAAAACATGCCGTGGGTATCGTTATAGCAAACGCCTCTTTTCAATGCCGCGGAAAATATGCCAAAATCATCGCTGCGTAATATGCTCTCTCTCGCTCTCTGTCTCTCTCTCTCTCTCTGTGTCTTCTCCGTCTCATCTAGAAACACGTCCACCTCTTCGCAATCCCCGGTCTCGACCCTGGTCTAGGCATCGGACTCGTCCTGGGTCTCGCATCATGCTTCTCATCCACATGCGCATCGTCATCCAGATCCTCCATGCGATAACGTCGCACAGATCCAGCATCCGACTGGTCCTTGTCCGAGTAAAACTTTTCCTGCGGACCTGAAACACATCGTGGTGTTACCTTGCGGAAGAAACCCCGAAGACCGCTGTTGGCCTTGTCGATCCTTTCATACTCGCGTTTGCGCGTACATGGCGAGGTCCAGTGCATAGTCGTGTTGGTCTCTTCTTCTGCAATGGTGTCCTCGCTTTGGCGGCGGTGCATGGGTGTTTCTTCGACGACGCGCAGACTGTCGGAACTGAAACGCGTGGCTGCGCTGGGGAAGCCAAAGGTTGCGTCACCACCTTGGGATAGCGTTGGGCTGGGTAGACCGGAATTCGAGTGGTAGGATGGGTTGGTGAAGATGCTGCAGCTGCGAAAATGTAAGGCGAGGACGTCGTCAACGTCCTGGCTGGTTGCTGTGGGAGGTGTTTGGTGGCTCTTCATTCGATAGTGACGCGCCGGTCTTGATGGATCCACAATGGTACAAGAAGTTCGCCTCGATGAGGGTTTTGAGCCATGGCCACGGCTCTGCGATCGACTCTTGGAGTTTTCTGATGATGAGGTGGTTGATTGTTGCCGGTGGAATGGTCGTGAGCGCTGCTCAGATACTGGTCGCCGCGGTTCCATATTCGCAGCCTGAGTGGAAGAGAAGGATTGGGCGTTGCTTCTGTGAGGTTTGTTGCGGTGCCGTATGGTGGTAGGATCTGGTAGCGGTTCCTGGCTGGGTATCTTGGGTAGATAGGAACCCGCAACACTGTCTGTTCGATTCATCGCCGATCTATCAAAGATCGAAAAAAAGGACAGTGACGTAGATGTGAGATCGTTGTCTCTAGGAAAATTGAATCGTTAATATGGCCTTAGTTCGTGTATAATTTCGGTAGTCGTCTAGATCGGATATCAGTATCCAAATAGGAAGGTTCTGTGCTCAAGGGGTAAAAGCCCATACCAGCAGCCAGTGCCAACACACCGAAATTCACGGATCTGGATTCCTCGCGAGGAGCACACACGCCAGAGATATGGGAGAATGGAAACTGGAATCACAGGCAGGCTATGCGACGCCAGTGGTTGTTGGGTCAGTCAAGTGACGAACCGCGGGACCCGCCTGGAGGACTATTGAATCGACCGCGGTCAGTAGGAGGGAAACTAGGGACTAGTATATAAAGAAGAGATTCAAAACGACCCAATTGTCGATCTTGGCCGTTGGTTGGCCCAGACCCTGCCAGCCATGCAAGACGCACGGCATGCACGATCTTCGACGAAGTCTGAGCCAAGCGCGTGGGCGGCTCTACGCAAAAAAGGTTGAGAGTTCACCGCCTCCCAGGATTCGATTTCCGGGGCCTGCAGTGGGCTAGGAGCGTGAAAAGACTAGTGGTGTGATTAAACTGGAGAACGACTTGGTTAGCTTCCGTGCGTTCGAGACGGAGCATGACAGGTGCACTAAATATGTCACAGCAAGAGTCGCACACATGGGAGGTGCCAAAGGCGAATGAGAGACAGAGAGAGTGTGTGTGCAGACTATGATGTCGTCGGCTTTCACATGCCAGAGACGATGTGGCTGCCACACGCACAATCTAGCGTGCTGATCGTTGTGTTGGCTCGTGATAAGGCAAGGAGGGCGCGAGGCCATGTCGAATAGACGCGAGTGGCAGCCTCGTCTACCGACAAGACGATCCGGCATAACCTTGGACCTGCTGCACGGACGGCGGGAAGGACCGAATCAAATCAAAGAACGGCAGGCCAGCGACATCGGGCCAAGATCACACACACTCGACTCGGGCAAGTGCACGCGGAAACGTCGAGCCTGGAGGGGTGGAAAGATGCCAAATGAAGCGCCGCGCATGACATCGTGGGTATTGCTGAGAGGGGCGCGTCGTCGGCAGGGCACATTACACAAACCCGCTGCGGCGGGTATAGGCGCAGAACCCTGGGTGGCCAGCCCGAAATATCTTCCAGCAGCTTTTCTTGCCTCACTGTACACGAATCAAACGGCTGTGTGACTGCGTTTGTTGTAATGTCCTGTGGATGCTCGGCCCGCTGCCTTACTGCTTACACAGTGTATCCGCTGCAAACGCTTTGGAGGGTGGAACTCATGCGGCATGCGCCAAGGCCACATCCAACGCAGCTGATCGGGCCAGGGACGCCGCCAATGACCATGTCATGCGGCGGCACAACACCACCAACTGCGCTCTACTCGCACGCGGAGATGAGTCTGCATCTGCAGCCTGCACCTTTTGCTTCCGCCACGCTAGCCATCGCTAGGGTTGCCGTCTAGAAGATCGGCTCGCACGTGGTGTCTCTATGAACCCCTCTTCACTCCCCCACAGTTCACATTGCGCACACCCGTGAAACATTTCAGAAATGGCGGTATGACATGGCAGGTGTTCTGCTCCTGTTGACTCGTTCGCAGGTACTGTAACGGGGCCTGTGCGATGGAACGGATACAGAACCTTCTCCACTACCCCGTTCCGCGGTTTATCGGAAATAACCATTACGGATAATCTACTGTATCTCATGATAAAATCCCTCTATCAATTTCGCGACTTCGTCAAACGCTTCAAGACAGTGCCAATGCCCAATCCCCTTCATGACCTCCAACTTCTTCTCACCATGCTGCATCTCGTCAAACATCTTCTTACACCCTTCGAGCGGTGCACTCATATCCTCGTCACCAGCGAGGATAAGTACAGGCACGCTGATCTTGCTGTACCTGGGCGGCTTTGCATTGACAATGACTCGGCAGTTGGATATGTATCCCGCTGGATCCTGTGCCAGCAGCAACTCGCGGATCATTGCTTTGACAAGTGGAGACGCCTTCTTTCCGACTGCAGCTTGGGGGATGGTGTCGGCCATGGGTTGCATACCGTTTTTTGTCACGTTTTCTATCCGTTCTTGGAAGCGAGGGGCTGAGGCTGGGTTGGGATAGACTGGGCCGATCAACACAGCTGCTACGATGCGGTCGCTTCGCTCAGCCGCGAGGTGTGCGCCTACGATACTACAAGCCCGTTAGTTGTCTTGGTGTCGTCGCGTCGAGTCTTCCAAGGCTTCTGCCCGGGTAGGTTGCTAATGCTGACGTACCCTCCCATACTGTGTCCGACGAACACAGCCTTCTCGACTTTCAACGCGTCCAAAACCCCTATAGTATCTTCTGCCAGAGTCTCAATACTCTGCTCGACAAACGTGTATGTAGATCGTCCTGCTCCCGTATTGTCAAAGGTGATGCAACGGAACCCGTTTGCAACCAGGCTCTGAGTTACCGCAGAGTAGTAATTCTGCGAAGAGCCCAGCCCGTGCATGAAGATGAATGTCTCTTGAGCATTTCCATCTTGCGGTTTCAGATCTGAGTAGTGGAGGCGTTTGTATCCGAGTTCAAGGAAAGGCATGATGGGTGGAACGTAGTTGTGTTTGTAAGTGTGTTTCACCCGAGCTTCAGATGCACGATGGAATTGGTTCCGATCGGAAGCGGAACTAACGTGTCGGACAGGGACTGTGACGTCATCTGTGTGGAGGTCTGCTGGGATATTGGCGCGAGTCCCTCGCTGTTGTCACTACACACTTTGCCAACGCATCGCATTCGAGGGCCATGATCCATACCGAGATCGTCATTCAGTGTACCCACGAGCATCATAGTATGGTATCTTTCTGGTTCACAATGACTCTTCCGATGCACCCTGGATTTGCTTCTTCAACACTCAAATCACGAAGCATACATTAAATCGCCGCCTAGCACCGTCCCCTTGCCCCGAGATCCGCGGTTAGTTTGTAAACATGTACGCAGTAACCTGTGTTAGTAGGCTAAAGTCAAAAGGGTGTCCAGAAAGTACTTGAGCGACTCACACCAACAGCCCGGGAATACAGACAATGATGTATGCTTCAATCCTCAGTTCAAGTTACAACCTTATTACAGCGAACTTTTCTACGCATTCATTAAAGACATGAAATGTAGGGTCCAATCCTAAAAACAAGTCCAAAATGCCCAGAAGACGATAGATATCCCTAAGCCGAACCATCCCCATCCCCATCTCAAGACCCGTCACCTTCCACCCCCGTAACAGTCACCCGATACATCTCCTTTAACGCGCCCATACACTCCTCTCTCAATCCCGCCAACTCCTCATCAGTATGCACCAACGTCCAAAGTAACTGCGCCAGCCCCTCCCTCGTAGTAACCTCCTTCAACGCCTCCAACGCCTCGTCCTCCTTGTCCTTGTCATCCCTCTCCGGTATGCCCAGCATGCGACTAACATCGCTCTTTGCCCTCGACCTCCTCCGCCGCCTGTTGCGGAAGAAGAAGATACTGCGCGTCATACCCGCTTCTTGCTTCTCCTCTGCACTTGCATCCCACAGCGCGACACGGCTGAAGAAATGCTTGATCGCCGTCTCCTCAAACTTTTCTTTTCGCCCTGCAATCGCAGTTGCAAACTCCGGGTCGGGCGTGCAGTACGTGTTGGCATCCCATCTCCTTTGCAAGTAGCGAAAAGCGCGGACTTCGGCGTCGGGAAACGACATGTCGGCAAAGTCTATAGTAAAAGGGTCCGAGGACATGGAAGAGGATGATGATGTGGGGCGGTCGCTACTGGTGCTCGTTGGTGTTTGTGCGGCATCACCATGTTTAAGTTCAAGGGCATGGTGGGTGTCTATGACGCGTTGGAGTGCGACTTTGCGGTTCTGGTGAACGGCGTCTGTGCCTTCGAAGATGCGGGGTGGTGCGTTGGATGATGGTGTGTCGAGTGTAGCAGAGTAGGAGGAGGAGCGTCTGGAGAGGTAGCTCCCGCTGCGGTGGCGGCCAAAGTGATGGTGCCGTTTGTGTTCTAGAGACTGTCGTTGGGACATGGTGTCGTCCATTATGTAGCTCAGCTTGGACTTTTGTGTTCAAAGTAGTGATTAGTTGGTATCAGGAGTGGTACAAGTAAGATCAATATCGTGATTCTGATAGGATATTAGGGCCCTAGTACAGCGTGGAAAGTGTATTGTGAGAGGAAGTGAATCATGGGAAAGACCTAGGAGGAGAACCAAGTAAGAAAGAAACCAGAAACTCAACCCTCTGCCAACAACGAAAGCCGGCTAACCCAGCAGCCCAGTTGACGCACATGCCGTTAGCCGAGGGGGCAGAGAGGGGTGACGCAAGCCCTTTCTGACATGCAGATCTACTCGTGAGATTAATTCATCACCATCCCGCCGTGCAATGTTAAAGTCGTGTTACGGAACTTTGGCTCCAAGATCGACTGATTGGCGACTGTGCCACCGTGAGCCACTGCTTTGTTGAGCCACTGTGGCTCATGAAGAAACCCAGGGGCTGCGGTATTTTGCTGCGTCGGCGGTAATAAAAGTGGGGCTGGCGACACGCTCGCGGCGTGGAGAGGGATGAGTCTGGCGCCCAGTCCAGGTTTTGCCGACCTTCCGGCGAGTGCAATGGCGCCGTGAGGTAGGTGATGCGGACGGGCTTACGCGTCAAGGATGTCGGCATCTTGACTGTGAGTTATACAGGATGCGCAGAGTGACATCCTGGCGTATGATTGCTTTGTGTGGTAGGATTCTGCATAGTCATAGTCACCAGTAGCCAAATAGACGACTCGAGACATCAATGATCACAGTGAAGACGGATTCATTCAGATTTCCATCTTCGACAGAGATGAGACGCTATCTGCGAGGATACTGCGACGGAATAGAAACGCCTTTTCGTCCTTCCTGACACCTTCTTCGTGAGTGCAGAACGAACGCCATGCAATGCACCGATGACAAAGCGAGCGGAAGAAAGTCATCCGTAAATGAACAACGACATCTGCCCCCCTCAACTCCTCAATCCCTCAAATCAGTGCACCTCTACTCAGAAGGTGGCACGGGTTCTGTCCTACCGTTAGGTAATATGTGCTGTGTAGTGCTCATCCTCACACTGCTCGGTCGTTCAATTTTCTTCCCCTCCTTCTCTGCTGCCGTAATTCCATTCTTCGTGTCTCCCACAACACTTGCGCTTCCGTTGCGGTCCTCCTGTTTCTCCAAATCTCTGTTCCCACTTGTGACATCAGGCAGCGCTTCCGCCTCGTTCAATGCCTCTTTGACCAGCTTCTTCGCTTCGATCGCTAAATTAGGAATCTCTTCTACCTCGTTGTTTTTGTTCAGGTAGGAATCCAACAATGCCTTGAGTGTCTGCGCGCGCACCGGCTTAGCGAGATAATTGTTCATTCCTATTCAACAATTAGCACTTTTCTCTTTCTCAACGATTAAATTAATTAGAAGCTTACCGGAGTCCAAACATTTCTCCCGATCTCCTTGAATAGCGGAAGCCGTCATGGCAATGATAAGGACATTACGAATCTCGGGATTGGGATGCTTGCGGATAAGTTTTGTGGCTGCATTTGTGTCAGCAATCTGGATGCTATTAGGCATGAGGGCTTGGCTTTACCTTCGTAACCGTCACAATGCGGCATTTGCACGTCCATGAGCACCAAGTGGAAGGGCCGACCATTCTCTGAAGCGCGTTCTAGCGCGTCAATCGTCTTGAAGCCGTCGAGATAGGCGTCGCACTTGAAGCCAAGCTTTTGCACGAAACTGATTGCAATACGCTGATTGATCAAATTGTCTTCCGCAATGCACACTCGAAGGTCTCGCCTAGGTATGGTTGAAAGATCGATGCAAGTACCCGATGACTGCTCATGACCGTTGTTACCCTGGCTTGAGAATCTTGCCATGGGATCTGGCTCTCGCGTTCTTTGCGGTTGGTTACCTGCTTGCGCTTTCGGTACTTTCTTGAACCGCAACGAGAAGGTGACTGTTGTACCCTGGCCTGGCTGACTGTCGAGGCGCACGGTACCATGCATGACATTTTCAATAAGAGCTTTGCAAATACTGAGACCTAGACCAGTGCCACCATAGCTCCTTGCGGAGCTCGACTCTATTTGCGAGAAAGGAAGGAAGAGCTTCTGCTTTTGCTCGTCTGGGATACCAATGCCAGTGTCTATAACGCTGCATGTCACGTCTACCCAGTCGTCTGTTTCTTGATCCACAACAGCGCGGACAGTGACTGATCCCCGTGGCGTGAACTTGTAGCTGTTAGACAGCAGATTCATGAGAATCTGGTGCAGTCGGACAGGATCGCCCATAACAAGCATCTCGGGATCCAAATGCAGCTGCTCAATGGTCTTGAGACCCCGCTCGGCGTTCGTGTATGCAAGAGCGCGTACGACCTCGGCAATCGTCTCAGACAGTGATATCGGCATCTCTAAAACACTCATCTTGCCGGCCTCGAGCTTAGAATAGTCTAGTAGGTCGTTGATAATGGAAAGTAGTGTATCGGCGCAAACGCGAATCGAATCGGCGTATCCGGACTGTTCGGAGTTGAGTGGTGAAGCCTTCAACAGCTCAGACATACCGATCACGCCATTCAAGGGGGTGCGCAACTCGTGGGATACGTTAGCCAGGAAAAGGCTCTTTGCCTTTGCAGCCTCTTCTTTCAACTTCATATTGCGCACAGCGATGGCCTCGGCCTCTTTCGCCTTGATCTCCGCCGCTCGCGCCTGCGACAAAGCACGTTTCTGCATTTCGAGCATTGCTTCGTTGCTGGCAGAGACTCTTTCCACTTCCTTGAAGAGCAATGCGTTGGCCAAGGAGATGGATATCTGGTTTACAAGCAATCGAAGAACCTGGGTGTTGCGTTCAGTGAATGAATTCGGCGGGCCTTCCACGTATATCGAGCCTAGCAAATGGTCGCTATGGAGAATCGGGATGCATATGACTGCTTTCCCCTCCGGATTGCGCTGTAAATAGGCGTCTGAGACATTAGAAAACCGATCGTCTTCATATAAGTTCTGGACGAAGACTGTCTCCCGGAAGCGAAGTGTGTATAGTGTCACCTGTCGAGCGACAACATCATCCACAGTATCCAAAGGTTGACTTGCAGGGAAGGACGTGACGCCGGAAGAGAACCCGCTGTCGTTGTCAGGCTCGTTGGTAGCGACACACGCAATCGACCACTCGATTTGCGAGTCTTCAATCACTAAACCGCACAAGGTACCGCCCGTAGATTCGAGGAGAATTGAACTCATCTTTGCCATCAGTTTATCGACAACGAGTTCGCTGGAAAGAACTTGACTCGACTCCAGGATTGACGATAGATCCAGCATGTCAAGGCCCACGGCCGAAAGCCCGTTGTGGAGAGCTGGGGCGGATTCCTGGCGCCGCGTTTCCGGTACGATCCAATCTTGGGTTCGATCGACCGCGGTTTCCGGTCCCAGGAAATGGTCGTGGTCGTTCTGCTCAAGCCTGAAGGCTGTGTTACCCGTGTCCACGACCGAGGTCTGTACGGCTTGGTCTGCTGTCGTAAATGATCGACCACTGTGAACTAGCCATTCATAGCGGCTAGCAAAGTGATTTGCTTTTCCATACGCGGACATCCTTCGATACGTCGAAAGGCAGTCCTTGAGCGCATGCCGAGCCGCCCTGTAGGCCTTCTTATTCACTAACCATCCAGTGTATAGCTCCAGGGCGAAAGCTTCGTCTAAGATGAAATCGTAACGTTCGTTATGGTCCATGGCTGCTTCGTAGTTCTCCAACGTCGACTGAGGATCGCCGTTGATATCTGCAAGAACGGCAGTAAGAAGATGTATCCAACCCCGGTAGTTGGCATCAGTTACAGTGCAACATGCTTCAAGCAGCTTCAGGGTACCTTGAACGTGTTGGATCATGTCACCTCTCCGACTATGCTCAGGTTCGTCTCGAAGAAGAACCATGTATGCTAGCGATAGGTAGTACCTAACCGAATAGTTCAGTCTTTCTGACCAAAGACTGCTCAGCATTGGAAGCAACATCTCCCCAAGCGCAACTGCTTCCCGATTGTGACCATAAAGTACCAGCAACGGAAGCTTGGTAGCAAGGTATATAGACTTTGGACGCTTCGGATTGCTAGCCGTTTTTTCGAGAAAGTCGATGTACTCGGCCTCGTTGTGATCGTGGTCTGAGAGGAGCAGTGAAGGGCTGCCTGTGTCAGTCTTTCCCTGGAGCGCTTTCGCGTATTGCCGAGCAGCCATGAGGAAAACGCCTCCTCGCATGTCTTTTTGCCAATTTCGCATGTCGAGTGGAGTTTCCTCAATCCAGGCCTCTAGTTCTGCGGCGTCGTGTGATGCCATGACCCTGAAGTGGGCTTGTACTCCAAGGTTCAGAAGCGTAAGGATCCTATCACCGGCGGTAAGAGACGCTTGCAGCGCTCCTTCCAAGCTCGGTATTAGATCACCCACAGGCGCTTCCAAATGACCCAGAAACATTGGCTGCAAAGTTTGGCCCCTACCCAGGGTGTAATAGTCATCGGGGAACATTTGGAAGATCCGCTTCGCGATGGCACTCGTATCCACAGCGAACTGCATCATGTTGAAGCGGCCGCCTGCAACAGTCCCCAGGTGCACATAAGCTAGGGCTACCTGTGACATGGTACCCTTTTCGAGATGTATTGAAATGAGCTTCAGCGTCGATTGATAGAACAACAGGCTGTTTGACCAGAACGCCGCACTAAGAAGCTCGATGAACACAGGCCCAATCGTCATCAAGACGCGGTCATCTGGCGACGCCCGACGTTTAAGCAATTCTTCTTTGTCGATATTCTGAAGCTTGCCATATATTTGTTGAAATTCGGTGTCGCACGCTTCCCATGTTGTCGGAGGTATAGGGGATCCTAACAAGGAAAGGCAATCTTTGAGAGCCTGGAATGCACCAAAACTATCACCACGAATGGCAAACACTCTGGACTGCAGAATAAACGAGCTAGCCATATCGCAAGGATCCCGCGCGTGCTGGAAAGTCGTCCTGATCAAGCTAAGCGCCTCATCGAACATGCTTTGATGCCA